ATTGTTTCTATTCTTTTCCTTCCTATACTTGGTTGATAAGCTCATCCTATTTAGCTTGAAATAAGAGATTGTGTCTGTTTGCACGTGCCTCAATGCTGCTGTATATTTTATAAAAAAACTTTTAACGTTAGCATGGTACTTATAAAGTAGATTGTTCATTACTTGTTACGTTCTATCAAGGTTGCTGTCACATTCTACTATGCATTGCTGAGGAACTGAATAGTAGAAAATAGTAGGGTGTATTAAAGTGAACAAGCATGATGTGTTCCACAGCTTGTAGTTAAACTTTGTGCTAATTCTAACCTCGTCTTTCTAAATTCCCAAGTTATAATAAGACTGCTAATTTAACATAAATAATCACTGCTGAGATTATATATGTAATCACTTTTTCTTTAAAATTAAAGTTTTTTTTAAAAAATCTTGTTAATACCTTGTGTTTCAGTGATGAAGGACCCAAATACTGTAACACGAAGAATATATACAGTATTTAACTTCTGGTTCTTTATTTGTAATTGACTTATATTTGACGATAGAGAGAGATGTATTTGAAATTTATTGATCATAAATGTCCAAAGACATCATAACAATATCTGTTGGGTTATATTTGTAGTCGTTTACAGTTGATGTCCTGTTTTCCATTTTTGTAGTTATTTTTCCTCACGTGAATGTGCCAGGTTCCGGTGCAAGTTACTAATTGTTTTGTACATGGCTCAGGTGGTTGGAACTCCCAATTACATGTGTCCTGAATTGCTTGCGGATATTCCTTATGGTTTCAAGTCTGATATATGGTCTCTGGGTATGTCTTCTAATGAGTATATATTTGATATGTAGATCCATTTCTTTGGTTCTAAATTGTTTCTTGTTGAACAGGGTTCTGTATTTATGAGATGGCTGCTCATCGCCCCGCTTTTAAAGCTTTTGTAAGAGTTATTACGGTTCTTTTGGCTGAATATGTTCCTTGTATTTTGGCAAGTAGCATGTGTTTCATTTGGTATCATGTGGAACTAGGATATTGTAAAATTTCCAAGTTTTGTTATTCCTTTTATCATATACACTGGATTTTTCAGCCATTGTTATTAAATTCCATGTTCTGTGCTTCTGTCTTTTACACAATGATTTCAAAGTATATGTTGTCTACTTGTCTAGTTCTATGCGATGTCCTTGCAACTGCTACTTTTTGCCTACACTAACCATGTAATTTATATGAATCTAATTAAACTAGATTCCATCAAACTTCTTGTTCTAGGACATGGCTGGTTTGATAAGCAAGATAAATCGTTCCTCTATTGGGACTTTGCCTTCTTGCTACTCCCCATCTTTGTAAGTCTTAATGCGCATTTTAGAGCTTACTATTATGTTTTCATATTCTCTACAATTTTTCATGCTCCTACTGAATTTTCAATGCTTTAAAGTCTCTTCATTGCCCTACTTCTCTGCCATGTTTTATATAATTTATGTTTGGGTCGAGTGCAGATCTTTTAAATCAAATTTTTACTCGTCTAGGAAGTTTGAAACTACTTTCACTGAAAACTGAAAATCCCAAGGGACTCTGTAATCTATATCTATTTAGTAATAAGCCTTTATCATATGTCAAGTAGTTAACTCTCTAAATGATAGCTAATTTGTTTAACGTTAAACAAACAGGAAAACGCTGATCAAGGGCATGCTAAGAAAGAATCCAGAGTACCGAACCAGTGTAAGCATTTCTTTTTGTCAAACTCTAAGAATTTTCTCCACATGCAGGACTTCAATATAACAATTTGATTATTTCCACCTTCTTAGGCATCAGAACTTTTGAAGCACCCTTATTTGCAGCCATATGTTGATCTGTATTGCCCATCCTTCAGCTGTTCTTCAACGAATTGTTCCCCGGATAAGCATATTTCAACTGGTCCTGACAATAGGAAAACAATGGCTGAGAGTCAAAATAGTAATAGCTCATGTAGTGATAAAGATAGCTTGTTTTCAAGTGACAGAAACACTGGCACTATGGTGTCAAATAGCAATGGTAAGACCACTGACACAGATTGAATTTCTAATGATGACGAAGGGGCTGAGCATCACCCACAAAGTGAGGAAGAGAATAGCCCTGTTATTTTCTCTGTCAAAGTTGATGAAAAATATTTGAGGAAACATTCTAATGCAGAACAGGGATCTAACGTTCAATAAAACCAACCAAAAACCATCAAAAGTATAATTATGGCTCTGAAAGAAGGGAAAGTAATGGGGGGAAACCGTGCAAAAGCTGTAGGTGGATTGACTCAAAGAAATAATGTAGAGGCACCGCCCAAAGTTCTCAAACCACTGAATCCACTCCAGTTCCAAAGTCTAATGCAGATACCATAACTTCTGCTTCAGCAAAACCGTTAGATTCTGCAATAATGATACCAGGATCCCACCATTCGAAGCACCTGGTGTGACTTAGGCCTTGTGGTTCTATTCTAAATTTAATTCATTATTGGTATATTAACTTATTTTGCAAGTTTTCTCTCTCTCCAGTTACCTTTAATTGAATCTTCCCCAAAGACTAAGCCTAGACATGAAGAGATTCCTCCCTCTATGCCTGGGAAGCATGTGCCTGAAGATGGACAATCTTCTAATCCTCGGCAAAGAACTCCTACCAATGTTGCAAGAATATCATCAGTCATGGGAAGAATGAAACATGCAGGAACTAATGCTTCAGATGGAGCTTTTACCCTACCAAAGTTAAGTTCTACAGAGATAAACAAGGGCCGTGAAGGTATTCCCTCTCAACTACCCTGCCATACAAATTTTTCCATGGAGGTTACACAAGAGGTTGCTATAGATATAATTGGAGTTACCATAGAGGTACAAACAGATAGCAATCAAGAGATAACCACTAGGGTCAAGAGCTTGGAATTGCATCCAGCATCTAGCTCACTCGCTTCTCCACAACCAGAGAAACCTGAGTTTCTGATGAGAGGAAACCTTGGGCATGACCACCTCAATTCTGTCTCATCTTCAATCTCACTTAAAGCATTTGAGATTTGTGACGATGCAACAACCTCTTCTATTGACATGACGGAACAGACACATGATCAAGAGATAACCACTAGGGTCAAGAGCTTGGAATTGCATCCAGCTTCTAGCTCACTCACTTCTCCCCAACCAGAGAAACGAGTTTCTGTTGAGAGGAAACCTTGGGCATGACTGTAAATCTGTCATGTGTTCAACAGAAGAATCTGTTCCAACCCAGGATCTTCTGCACTTTACACCATCTAATGCAAAAGTCAAATTGAGTTCCCCTTTGGACCTTCCAGTCCCGAATTCTGAAGAGATATCCATTCTTGAAGATGATGTTGCTGTAAGCAGGATGGTTAGTATGGATGATGCTCCTTTAAGCAGGACAATCAGTAGAGATGTGTCTATAAGCTGGCCAGTCAATAGGGATGATGGCCCTATTAGTAGGCCAAGTAGCAAGGGTGATGCCCCTTTAAGCAGGCCAAGTAATCGGGATGATGCCCCTGTAAGTAGCCAAATTACCGGGTAAGATTGTCAGATAAGTAACTCAAGTAGTAAGGATGAAACTGTGGCAAGCAAACCTTGTAGTAGTCCTGATACAATATCCCATTCAAATCTTTTTTCTTCATCCAGTGGTGATGACAAGTTCACTGTAATGGAACTTCTCTCATCAATGGCAGAGCCTATGACGTGCATTGCCTCACCCATTTCATCTAGCCGAAAGAATTCACAGTCAGAAACGTGAATAACCCCTCAATAGAAAAACCGGCTGCAACCTCACGTCCTCCAGCCTTTGATGATGTTATACTTGTTATAAGGCACAGTAGCTTCCGAGTTGGCAGTGAGCAGCCACTGATGGAAAATGTAGAAATGGGTGTCCAAAATGCGGATGTTGGGAAACTCATTAATGTCGTGAGGGATGAATTGGATATGAAAAACATGAGGAGTCCCATGACCCTCGAGTCATCAAATTGCTCTGAGCCTCTAAGTTCTAAACCAAATGTTTCGGATCATTTTGGCGTTAAAGAAACAGATGTCAGGAGCTCCATTTCCTCATCTCCAAAACCAGATTCACCAGATCCCGCAAAGCCCCGCTCTTCTCTGACAGAAGAGGAGACACCGACAAAGGAAACTTTGGATATCAAGTCTTTCAAGCAAAGGGCAGAGGCACTTGAAGGGCTTCTTGAATTATCAGCAGAGTTACTGCAACATAACAGATTGGAAGAGCTCTCGATTGTTTTGAAGCCTTTCGGGAAAGCTAAGGTGTCCCCGAGGGAGACAGCTATCTGGTTAGCCAAGAGTCTGAAAGGACTGATGATTGAGGATAGTGGACGGAGTTCATGAATTATTATTCTTCACGAGGACCAGGTAAGCTTTCATTTCCTTGTTGTCGACATTGTTAGCTTCTCGTTCACCACCGAATGCTCATCTCCTATCACTTCCATTTGGATTTATAAAACATAAAACAACTAGGCCTTTTCTGTTTTTTCTTCACCTCATCCTATATAATTCTTTTAATGCATGTTGCCGTACATAGTTCACAATACCATGATTATAAATTAGAGAAGCTATTTTTACAATAACATTGTTAAATGGTTAATTTTTTAATTGAAATTAAGATATCCACCATCAATAATAATAATACAAACATAAAATCCAATTCGAAATTTAAAATAAATATTATGATAATATTTTTTATCAATAACATTATACTTCGATCATTGAAATAATAAATAATAAATTTTAAATTTTCAAAATATTTTATTATATTGTCTTCTCCGCCGATTTGTGTCTTTTTCCTTCTCGATGAAGAAATTTCTGAGGAATTTCACCAAATCATCCAATGATTTCCCTTTGTTTTGCTTACCCAATGTCAAACGAACCATTTTTTTCATTAGCTTTAATTTAAACGAAGCGAAAGAAGAAGGGAATTCTTAGGGAAAAAACTCGTAATTATTATATAGCCGTAGTTGTTAAATTTTAATTAGAATCCGCGTTTCCATTTTCATCTTCTTCGGCCCTTTTTTATGTGATCGACTCCGATTTGGTTTTTATTCCAAGCGAAGCAAAGATCCTTTTTGTGTGTGTGAAGAAAATGCAAGATTCTTCCAGACCCGTTACAGGTTACCCAGTTCAGAACCTTAATGACTACGCTCCTACGCCACCCACCACCGGCTACTCCTACGCTCGCGTTAACCCCAATGGACATCCTTACTATTCAACACCGCCGCCTCAAAACCCACACCCAACTTTCCTCCGTCGCCTGCTTGTGGCAGTTGCCGTCTTTTTAATCATATTCGGCGCCATCCTCTTCATAATCTGGCTCGTACTCCGTCCCCAGCTCCCCGATTTCTCTATACAATCCCTATCCCTTTCCAATTTCAGCGCTGCGAACCAGCGCGTCAACGCCACGTGGAACGCGCAGATCCAGGTCTCGAATCCCAACAAGAAGCTTTCCGTGTCTTATGGAGAAGTCGTTTCGTCGATTTTCCACAAGGACTACTTCTTGAGTGAGACGAGGATCGGGCCGTTTGTGCAGGGTACGCGCAGCGCGGGCGCGGTGGGGGCGAGCTATTCGTTGGTGGATTCTTTCGTTGACGGGAAGGTGGTGGATGCGATGAACGAGGAGAGGAGTGGTGGCGAGATGAAGTTCAACTTGAAAGTGATAGCTGATGTGGCGTTCCAATACGGTGGGTGGAGGGGTCGACGGAGGTTTCTTACGGTTTGGTGCGACGACGTTGCGGTTACAGCTTCGTCGGGGAAGATGACCGGTGGCCCCAAAAAGTGCAGCGTTTACTGAGAATCTGAGATTAACGTAAGTTCAAATTTCTGTTAATTTTTTTAGCATTAAATTATTAAATTAATTTTAACTTTTCCTCTTATACATGATTCTGTTTTAGAAATGATAAAATAATTTTATTTTTTATATATAAATGAACCTTAATTTAGTTTAATTTGAATTTGATTGTGATGAATTCAAAATTAAAATGATTCATTAAAATGATTCGAACAAATAATTTAGAGTGATTAAAACTTAAAATATATAAACTAATCCGTATATTATTAGTAATGGTATTATAAAGGCTTAAATATATAAAAGAAACCCAATCTATGCTTGTTTTTTAGTTTAGTGTCTAACATTTATTTCGTTTTAGTTTGGTGTCTAACGTTTTATTCCGTTACTTAAAATGAGTCAAGTCGTGATAGACTTTTAATTTCCTCCTTTAAGTGGCATGTGTCACAATCTAATAATTTTAAATTTTTTTATATAAAATTAAATATTTTTCTAAAAAAGAAAATACAAATTTTGAAATAACCCCTAAACTTTAAAAACTTTCATTTTAACCCTTAAATTCATGCCGACTATCGTCATTTGCCGTCGACGAAGCTTCACCCGACTTCGCCTCCCCCCGACAATCAAAACCCCTATGAAATCATGACTGATTAACGATCGAACGACGGCGAATCAATTTTTATACCCCCGCGAACCCTAGGATGAAACTCGCAATCCCAAACGATTTCGACGGTTAATCGACGACTATAACTAGGATGGTGACAAGGACTATGTCGACGATATTAGCCGTGGCTGAAAAGGGTGATGGCGGCGATTAGTGTTAGGATTTGAGGTTTTTTTTATAATTTAAAAGAAATAATGTTTTTATATAAATATAATAATATTTTTTTAAATATTTTTTAAAAAAATTCAGATTGTTACACGTGTCATTTAATGGATAAAACTAACGGTCTGTCACGACTTAACCCATCTTGAGTAACGGAATGAAACGTTAGGTACTAAACTGAAAAAACGAATATAGGTTGGGCACCTTTTATATATTTAAGCCTATTATAAATTATCTCAAATAAATATTTAATTTCAAAGTTTATATCGATTTCATTTTTTAATCTTAAAATATTTTGTTTTTAATATTAAATTCTAATTTTGATTTTAATATAACCACTATATTAATGTTGACGTGTGTGTTGAAATAAATGTAAAAAAAATTAAACACCTAAATTGGTATAATTTAAACACTTTTTTTATTAAACCTTTAAATAATAGTGTTGAACATATGCAGAGGCTTTTCATAGCTTTCAATTTTCATCATCGGTTAAAAGAGGGGGCAAAAACAATAATAAAAGAAAGAACAAGTGAAGGAAATATGCAGTGATTTTTTTATTAATCTATGTATATAGTATATATTTTAATTTTTTTAATGGGATGCTTTATTTGATGTATGAGTTGGAAAGATTCGTATTAACAAATACCAGAGCCTCGTTAAAAACTCTCCTTAAATCTAATAGAAGAAAAATAATGCTCCAATTTAAGCCATTACAAAGGTTTTATTCTAAACAAAAATTCACACTTCCCTACTAACACCCTTTCGAAAGCGAGACAGATATGTAACACCGACTCAACACGAAACTAGCCTTGAAACAACCGACCCAAAGCTAATGAACTAAGCAATCATATCACATAGAATGCAACAACAAGAAAGCAGTTAAATTCCGCGATAATGGAAATTCAATCACCGTTGTAGTATTTAGTGCTCGAATCTAAATTTTTTAGATATAACAACCATTTTTTTAACTACCAATGTAGATTAGTTCATGCAAATGTAACCGTGATTCTTAGTTTTCATTCTTCTCTTGTGTTTACATGAATGTAAATTAAATTCTTTTATGGGCTATTTTCTATGTTATTTTAATAGTCGTATTATTCTTTGTATTGTCCTCACAGGTATAAAAAAGTGTAAGATCTTTTCGTGATTTTATATTTTATAAACAAAATTCGATTTGTTCAAATGACACCACTTAATATTCCCTTGGAATAGAAGTTGTCAATTTCAGATCTTTGTATTAATACCATATTAAAGAACAAGATTGATTTTATCGTAATTATAATTATCTAATACTCCTTTATGAGTTTGTTACATGATAAGCTCTTGATGTAAGTTTCACAGCTACTCCTTTATCTTGGTTTACAAATAAGAAAATGTGTTAAAATCAATTGTTTTATATTTCACAAGAATATAAACATGTGTTGGCACAAATTTGATTAAATGGGTGGGGTGCGCATATGTGATTATTAACCTCAATCGCTTAATAAGAAAAAAAATTATATCTAAACATTTATACAAATCATATTTAATTTGGTCATTAACCTTTTGAATATTCTATCATATGTCCCCAAACTATGATACTTAATAAGAAAAAGAGTTAATTCTATCATATGTCCCCAAACTATGATGCTCATTTTAATTTGGTCATTAACCTTTTGAATATTTTAATTTCATCCTCAAACTACGACTTTCATTTTAAATTAGTCTTTAAACTTCTGAACATTTCAATTTCATCCCCAAACTTTTGGATCTCTCGATTTCACATTTAAATTCATCCAAATATGTAATTAGTTTCAATCATATTTAACCTAATTTCCCCCCAAATATATAAGAATATAACTTTGTCTTACGATTTTATTAACAAGGGATTTGATTAGCATATACGTATAGTTTGAGATGAAATCAAAATATTCAAAGAGTTTGATTTTTCAAGCAAGAACAAATGATTAAATAATATATTTATAAAATAAATAATAAACTTAGATATCAAATGATATATTAAAGTTCGTTTTGTAAGCATGAAAGAAGTGATTTAAGAAAATTTTGCTATCCCTTGAGCTCTTGAGTTGAGCATCCCATATGCAATAATATAAACGTTTATCGTAAAAGGGTCCTAAGTTTTTAAATATATACATTCTTTGTATTTATTCTTAAATTTATTTAAAAAAAATTGATTTTATTGGGTTATCTTGCCCATAGTAAAGATTTCATTCAAATTTGGGCTCTAAGCAGCAAAAGGAAAATAGGCAGCCAAGTTTAATGATTTTGTTCGGACTCCAAGTAAGAATGACAGAATGACCCGAACCCGACGGAAAAACTCGAAATTAGGCTAAGTTTGGGTCGGATCGGATTTGAATAATATCGGATCGGATCAGGTATCAGGGTAAAATTCGAGAATTTTTCGGGTTCAGGGTAAGGTATCTCCGCCCTACCCCGATTATATATATATATATATATATATATAATATTTTATATTTTTTATATTAATTATATATATAATATTTTATATTTTTATGTTAATTATATAATACAAACCCTAAACTCTAAATCTCAAACCTTAAAACCTAGCTTTTTATAATTATTAAAGTGAAATTTGATTGATTTTTTTATAAATTTCTCAGGAGCTACTAAAGAAAGTTACAAAAGTGACACGATGATTTTGGACGATTTTATTTGACTTAATATTACGTATGCATCTTCGTATGATTTGAATTTCGGAACAAGTTTGTAATTAATTATGTATGTGTTTTATTTTAGAGTTTAAATAATTATTTAAAATTGAGTTTGAATTGTAAATATGTAGATTAATTTTTTAATTTTTTATAAAAACTACAATTGTTCGATTTTTTTCGAACAAAAAAATCACCGACGGGCCGATAAAAAACCCAACGGAGACGGGAGCAAAACCCGCCCCGTTGCCATTCCAAACTCCAAGCACCATTCGCCTTCCAGACCCATCGTCCCCAGCCGCCTTATCCCTCCTGTTCTGCCTTTGCCTCGTTTCTTACTTGCATTGTTATTTTTGTAATTTTCTGGGTTTGGTTTACACTCGCATAGGTATTTATGGTGGATTGATGTGGTAATTTAAGGAAGGCAATCCAAAAAATGGAGTCGATTCTTACCCTGTATCAGTGGTCTCAACCCAAGAAAACCCGACTTCTTGCCCTCTTATCCCTTTCTTGTCTGCTTCAATCGTAAGCTCCCGGTCACCACTTCCTTGAAATTGCTTGCCGCTTCATCACCATGTCGGCAACGGTTTGCTCCTTTATTAAACTATAATAGATATGTATCGGTTTAGAAATGCCGGCGCGGGAACACCCTTTGCAGACTAGGAGGCGATGATAAGCCGGTTGGAGACAATGAGGTAAGAATATTATAAAGCTGTAGCGCTTTAGTTTGAATTTTCATCTAATTATATAGTTTATTAAAATTTTCTTCTTTCCTGATATTCTACGTAGCTAATCTACTGCTGTGGTTAAGGATTTTGTGTTTTGCTGGGCAGATTTCAATGGGGTGCTAGAGAAGGACCTCTCTGTGATGAACCAATTAGAAATGTGAAGTTCAAAATAGTGGATGCAAGGATTGCATCTGAACCATTGCATCGTGGATCTGGACAGATCATCCCCACAGCTCGACGAGTGGCCTATTCAGCTTTCCTTATGGCTACTCCAAGACTTATGGAACCTGTATATCATGTGGAGGTATGTTCAATGTTCAATGATATTCCCACTGGCACAATATCTATTTAATGAGAAGCCAACTGAGATAATGTTGCAAATCAAGGAACATAGCATGCAGTAGCTCATTCTCCAATGTCAAAACAGTAAACATCATCGTGTAATTGCCTTGGCATATGAAAGATGAAGATAATTCTGAAATTTATGTAAAATCTTGCCCTGGTTGCTATGCCTTTTGGCCAAATGGTATCCTCTTCCTGCTATGATGAGGAAAAGGCTATGCAAAGGTTCCAATCCTACCTGGAAGCAAGCTTCTATTTTGGCAAATAAAGGGGAAATTGAGAAGTTATATAAAGTTCCATCATTCAAGTATCTTTTTAATTGTATGCAACCGCCTCAAATGACAAACTTGTTTATCCTGCTTGTTGTGATTGTGTTTCAGATACAAACACCAATTGACTGTGTATATGCTATCTACACGGTGTTGTCTCGTAGAAGTGGCCATGTACAGCTGATGTGCCACAACCAGGAACCCCGGCCTATATTGTGAAGGTTTGGAAACTAAGCCTAAATTCCTTCAGAAATATTTGCATGACTGTTGGTTTTGTGTTTTAATTGCATAGTTCGGTTGCCTAATTTTGTTGATCATTCATGCATTTGCCTAATAGCTTACTACTTATCTCATCAATATTCATGCTTACAAATTCATCTGATTCCCTTTTCCATTTAGGCATTTTTGCCTGTGATAGAATCATTTGGCTTCGAGACAAACCTAAGGTACCACACGCAAGGTCAAGCCTTCTGTCTCTCGGTATTTGACCACTGGGCCATAGTTCCCGGAGATCCCTTGGACAAGATCATAGTTCTGCGGCCTCTCGAACCTGCACCAATACAGCATCTCGCTCTAGAGTTCATGGTGAAGACGAGGGCAGAAAGGTATTGCTACTTCTATCCACATACGCACACTTTACAGACATGTTGACATTCCATCTGTAAAATGGACAAAGATCTTTAAAAAAGAAAAAAAATCGAAGCACATTTGAGTGAATTTTCTGTTAATTTTTCAGGGAATGAGTGAAGATGTGAGCATCAACAAGTTCTTTGATGAGTCTATGGTGGTGTAGCTGGCTCAGCAGGCTGCCGGTCTTCATCAGCAAATGATAACCGGATACCGTGCATGTTGGTTGTGTTCCCCAGATTTTGGGGGTGAGAATTGGGTAGTTAATTAGAACTGTAGTTGGTTTGTCGTTTGTGGTTGTTAGAAGTGTTCTAACTTGTAAAGAGACTAGGAAAAATACATGTCAACCTTATCCATCATGCATACATGTATCGTGTTTCATGCTTTTTTTAACCAAAAATTGAGAAATTATCTTTTAATTTGGGTTAATTAGCTCTAAAAACCAACACCATAATCAACGTTTCAAGTATATTACTAGTAATTTACATTTAGATCACAACCCTTTAATATAATCAAATTAAATCATAAGCATCTTTGTCTTTCGGTTCAAGTGTTAATATTTTCTGTATTGACAATCTTGTTAGATGATTAAAATTTTAGATGAAATTGAAAAGATTTTTTAAGACCAAACTGATAAAACGGCATTCTTAAATAATAAACATTTTAAACAACACTAGTTAAACTTATTGCCCATGGCAGCCATCTAAAACTCTCATTGATACCAAAATCATACTAAAAAGAGAGTTTCATACAACAAGTTCCCAGACCCCAAACACATTCTTCACCCCCCAAAATAACTGGTAAAAAGTTCAACTTCATTTTGATGGAGAATAAAGATCAAGTTCCTTGTGAGTGTGAATCTCACAGTCTGATGTAGGCTTTGAAACACAAGTCAGCATATAACCCTCCTTAATTTGATCATCCTCGAGATAAATAGCATCCGGTTGATGCACCGTGCCTGAAACTACCTTCGCAGTACATATGGAGCAAGCTCCAGCTCTGCAACAATACGGCAGTTCTACTCCTGCTGCCTCAGCTGCCTCTAAAATGTACTCAGCTTCCGTGGCTTTAAACTCGTTCACCTCACCCTTTGGCCCTACAAGCTTAATCTTGTACATTGCCATCGTCATTCGATGATTGGAGGAACATCCCAAGCCAAAAGATTTTGAGATGGTTTTGACAGACCCAACATATCTTGGTGCCTTCACCATGGAACTCGTAAACTGGTTTGGGATTGCAGCTTTAACAATAGATGGGGAGGAAAGGCTCACAGTTGCCATTTTCGTTTTCTTCTTTCTCGGCGATTCAACTAGTGCACATAAATAGCAAATGATATAAGGGGTAGCAACAAACAAGCATTTAAAACAAAAAGATAAATTCAGTTGAACAAGAGGGAAGCCAGATGATCCAACGACAACGCTGAAAGGAAGCAACTAACACCAGACATATCAAACAAGTAAAGTTAAATAAATAACACTGAACCTTGAACCTAAAACAAAAGTAAATGCCTTGTACTATAAGAGAAACAAGAACAATTATGAAAATGAATCAGCTTAATATTTTCCCTTGCGTCTCAAGAGATTGGATTCGGGTGGGCAAGGATGAAATAATATTTCTTGAGAAATAAAAATTCATTGGATCAAATAATATTTCTAATTATCGGTTCACTGTGATTCTCTAATGCATAATCAAACACAAAATACGAATTGAAGGTATCACAGATCATCCAACTTTTATCCATAGGTTCAGGGGAAGTGAAGGGAAATTTTATAAAGATCTCCCTGAAAAGATGCAAAAACTCTAAATGAACCATATCATCCATTTCTGAAGTAACAAGACAATTTATGCCTGAAGCACTACAAGACATGATTAGCCAAGCGAACGCCGCTTTCCGCTCGAGGCTCCATACTTAAAACACATAGTAGAAACTTATCATAAAAAGATAAAAATACTGGACAAAATTTACCCAGGAGCATCATTGGCTGTTCTTAAAACTTTTGATCCATTAATTGCCCAATTCCTTGTCCCACCAAAGACAATATTCTACCACTTGGCAAAAGGCACAACCAAGAATCAACATGAATGACAACAAGATGCATAAATGAATAAACTACAAAATTATGGTATTTGAACTTCTCTCTTGTTACCATCAACAAATGCCAGAAAACAAAATATCACATTATTATGAGTCAATAATGTGAATAAGTTGCAGTACATGAGCTTACCCTGCAAAAGCTTTTACTACCCTATCTTTGGAAGCACCATTCATGAAATTGCTAAAAAGATAGGGACTACTTACAAATTTTAGGAAAATGATTAATGAATAAAACCAACAGAAATCAATGGTTTTTCTTTTTCTTTTGTATCACATTTCAACACTCTTCTACTGCAAAGATACAAAATTTTACCTTTCGTTAATTAAAAAAAATCTAAGCTATTCTCTAGGAAAACAAGAAAGAAAAAAAAAACCATTTCAAGTTACAACAAAATTCCAAATGAAAACAAGAAAGAAAAAAAACCATTTCAGCCTGTAAAAGAAGTAATATTACAACTCAACCATATATATGATCTTCCAAAAGGAAAAGATCTAAGAAAAACCCAGACTTCGACCAATAAACCAAGCTTGAAAAGGAAGAAACAAGAAAATAAGGCAAAGTAAAAACCAGGAACACAAGCAGGAAACAAATCATATCACAAAATTTAAGTAAACATTAAAAAATAATGCAAATCAAAGCTAAAAAGAAAGGAGAAGAACAAAGGGATAAGGGAGCTTACTGAAAGAGTTTGGGGAGCGGAGAGAACGAGGAATGAGCCTTAAAACCCTAGAGTACCACTGTGACAGTGACGAGATGATGAATATAGTTCTCAGAAGAGTGAATCTTTCATCATCTGATTATTAGAATTAAGATTTCAATAAAAATAATTTTCAAATCTTTTTTTAAAGGGAGTTTCTCCCGAAATATCACCTTAACGCTATATATTTCCCAGTCAGGCACCGTTCAGACTATATTTCTTGATCTAACACTCTTTTGCAAAAAGATGCGTCCCTATACCGCGTTTTACGTCACGTGGTCGAAGGCGCCCCAAATGTATAAAAAATTCGGATGTTAATTTTGTAAATATTTTGAAAGGAGTGTCAAATACGTCATTAATTTCTATTATGGTGACATTTGTGTAAAAACATCAGTATTTTGAATTGTACAAACACCCACGATTACACAGGTTGTGAACTGATTGGGATTTTAATGACGTGGGTAATATGTGTAGTGGTTGAGTTTATTATTTTAGTGTCACAAGTTTATTTTTTATAATAATAATTTTTTTATAATTTTAAAAATTATAAATTTCATATATTTAAAAAAAAAATATTGAATAATAATTCATTTGATCCCTCCATTGTAATTAAAAATTTATTTTAATATTTTTTATATTTTTTTAAAATATATGAAATTTATAATTTTTTAAATTATAAAATATTTATCATCATCATCATCATTTTGTAAAAGAAATATTAGTTATAAAACTTTTATAAAATTATTCATATTTTAAAATATTTACCTTCAGGGTACGTTTGGTTCACAGAATGGAAGATTACCAGTGTGAATGTAAGATTACCAATGAATATGATTACTGAGAATGTTGTATTTTGTGTTTGGTTAGCTTAGCAAGAATGTAAGATTACCGTGTTTGGTTAAAAGAATAAAAGATTATTGGAATGTATATTTGACCATTATATATTTGTTTTATAACAAGTTGAAAAATATTTATATATTTTCTTTAAAAAATTTAAATTCATAAAATTTATATAATTATTTTTACAAAATTGAAAATATAAAAAGGTTTAATGAAAGAGTAAAATTTTATTTTAACCCATGAACTTCGTATAAAATTTTAATTATAGATTTTTTTGTAAATCTAAAATAGTTTAAGGATAAATTTGTAATTTAACATTCGTAGAATTTTTATTATTCAATGACAGAAAAATGATATTTAAAAAAAATTAAGGGTATTTTAGTCCAAAACGTCGGGAATCCAATAATACCTAAGGAAATGGAGGTAATGACATTTCCGATAATATACCCAAAAAAATTCACTATTGATAATCTTACATTACCGGAAATGAGATTCTCGTGCTAACCAAACAGGGGAATGTGGATTTCATTCCCATGGGAATCCCACATTAATGGAATCCACATTCTCCCATCCAAACACCCCCTCAAAGTTTTTATATACTAAATTATATGTATTATGTAATTTTAATGCAAAAAATTAAACAAATTTATTAAAAATGAATAAACATTATTAATTGGTGTTAAAAATTAAAAATTAATGAATAATAAATCATTTGATCCCTCGGTTGTAATTAAAATTTTATTTTAATATTTTTTTATATTTTTAAACAATTAATTTTAAAAGGTAATAATTTTTTAAAAAATATATGAAATTTATAATTTTTAAAAGTATAAAATATTTATTATTATCATCATCATCATCATTTTGTAAAAGAAATACTAATTATAAAACTTTTATAAAATTATTCATATTTTAAAATACTTACCCTCAAAATTTTTCTATACTAGATTATACGTATTGTGTAATTTTAATGCAAAAATCAAAATAATTTTATTAAAAATGAATAAATATTATTAATTGTTGTTAAAAACTAAATATTAATGAATAATAATTCATTTCTTCCCTTAATTGTAATTAAAATTTTATTTTAATATTTTTAAACAATTAATTTTAAAATAAATTATTTTTTCAAAATATATAAAATTTATAATTTTTAAAAGTATAAAAAATTTATTATTATAAAAAATAAATTTATGATACTAAAATACTAATAAACTCAACCACGTCCACTTCATTAGCTTATGACAAGCAGTTAAAACTGTGTGATGTGGCTGGAGTGTTTGTAAATTCAAAATGTTGACATTTTTACATAAATGTCACCATAATTAAAATTAATGATGTATTTGACACTCGTTTAAAAATATTTACAAAATTAACATCTGAATTTTTTACACATTTGACAAGTCGCGCCTCGGACACACTTTTGACCACGTGGCGTAAAACACGGTGTAGAGGCACGCCTTCCTACAAAGAGTGTTAGTTCAAAAAATATAATTTAAACGGTGTCTAATCTAAAATATTAAATGAAAAATGTGATTTTTCGGATAAACGCCGTTTTAAAGATTGTTCTGCTCAAATCCACACGACGACAATTATAAAAATAGGGTACACTACATTGATAGTCGTTGAACATTTAGGTTGTCACTGAATCTTTTAAAACTTATATTATTGTCACTAATTTTTAATTTGTTTTCACTACGGTTATTGTCATTAGATGATGTGGCGTACTAAAGCCTTTTTTCCCAACAACCATAATTGTCCAAATTGGTATTTTTAGTAAAGGTCAATTTTTCGAAGCAGTCATTGATTAATTCCAACCAATGTTTTTAAAATTGGACCGGACCTTAAATCGATGAAGGTACTGATTCATTGGTTCAATCAGGTTCAATCAAATTTTATATAAAATAATATTTTTTTAATTTTATATAATATTCATAGCAATATTAATATATATTTAACACTTTTTTTAAGTTTACAATATTAAAATGTATAAAATATTACAAGTCATAATATATATAAGATAAAAAACATAAAATCAAGTGAAACAAAATGATTCAAATCAACTACAACATAATATTTAAGGTAAAACATATTAAATAATAAATATAATTATATAACTATAATCAAAAAATAAATTTGGGGTTGAAAAAAATCGTAACAAACGATATCGTTTGGTTTAATTTTTAAAAAAAAAAAACAATCTCATATGGCTAAGAAACATATAAGAGCATCCAAAAAGTTTAAAGAGTAAAAATATGAGAACAAAACAATCTCACATGGCTAAGAAACATAGAAGAGCATCCCAAGTGACTTCTATAAATACTAGAGGTAATTTGACATTCAAAATCATGTAGCCTTTTGGTGAGCACAGAACGAACTATTCTTTCACTTCAATTGAGCTCGAATTTTAGGCTTCAATCGAGCTTCTAATTTTTTTTTTAGTTCGAACCTTTTTGAGTTCAAGTTTCAATATTATATTTCGAGTTCGAGTTGAACTTGATAATTTTTAGCTCGTGAGTTTTTGAGTCGAGTTGAACTTACTTTTAAAGTTTTCGAGTTCGAGTAGAGCTCAGCAGTACTCGAGTTCGACTTGGCTCGTTTAACAAATGACGTCGTTTGGTGTAATTTTTTTAAAAGAAAAAAAGAGAACCGGCGGTTCACACCGATTTTGCCGGTTTTCAGCCGGTTCACCCTGGTTTTATCGATTCTCAGCCGGTTCTTTACCGGTTATGTGCTCATCCGATTTTGAGAGTTAATCGGACCGGACAAGCTACCGATAATATTGATTCCAACAGTAAAAAGGTTTTATTTTATCAAAAGATTAAAGTAATTTGATTTCAAGTTGATTTAACGATTGACTATGTGGAATTAAAAAATTTTAACTTTTAGTTTCGATAGTGATTAGAGGAGATAAGAAGGTTTCTCAACGAGTTTGAATTGATAGAAATAAAGAGAAAAAGAGTAATTTGGTTTGGTGATTAATTCAATTGGAGAAACCATTGAATGAAGATAGAAATGACGACAAAAGAAGAAAATGATCCAATAGAAACTAAAAACTAAATTTTTTTTATTCATCATTGTTAATCATCAAATCAACTTGAAACCAAACTTTATTAATCCTATAACCAAATTAAGTATTCCCACCATTGAAATTAACGATGGATCGTTTTTTTCCTTGAAAGATCAGCCTTTACGGTAGCTGTCAATTTAGAAGATGAATAGTTTTTCATTTAGAATAGTTTTATATGTAACATCATTATTTATTAACAGTAATTAACGACAGTGGGCATAAACAAAGTAAAATAAAAAATCAATGATTGTATTATAAATTTTAAAATTTTAATAATTATAATAAAAATGTCCTACAAACCAGTGATTAGAAGTATTGTTTAACATATAAAATATTAAAATTTTGAATCTTCACTTAATATAATAATATAATTAGGTGGTTGGTAGAGTCTGGACATTTAGAAAATCGTGTAAATGTTGGAATCTTCACGATTTCCACTCTTGCATTATATAATGCACTTCTTTTAAAGTATAAAAATCATCCTCTCAAATATATTGTATTATTTTATTAAACTATTTTAGAAATTAAAAAATGATCATTTAATTATTTATATATTTTAAATTCTTCATTTTTCGTTAAAAATTTGACGATTGTCTGAGCTAGACGTTAACATGTTGACTGAAATATGATAGTCATTTGAGATTCTGAGACCATATTTTATTACATCTGGATTAACATATTAACATTCAACTCAGACTATCGTTAATCTTTAATGAAAAATAATGAGTTTAGAATATATAAATAATCATGTGCTAATTTTGTAACTTTTAATAGTTATAAACTCAACAAAGCAACACCCTATAATTAAATGATCATTTTATAATTTTTAATAATAAAGAGTCTCAATAAAATAACACCATATAGTTGAATGACCACTTGTATACTTTACTTCTTTTTCTCTTTTAACACAGAACATCAAATTATTTTATCTAATTCAAAGCTTCACATTCAAATAAGAAAACAATTCTTAATAAAAAGATGATGCATTTAGTCAAAAAGAAAAATTAGTTGACTATATTCCCATATATAATAGGGTAAGAGGAAGGTAAGGTAATAGGTTGCCCCAACACTAAGTTGAGAGTAATTTCCGTGAAAGACCTCCGTTATGAATTGTCCTCAATGAAACTCGATCCCATGATAATAAGGTTAAGAGCCTTGCGCTCTACCAACTATACTAGATAAGCAATTCAAAAAGAGTTTTTATTAAATTTAAAGAGTTTGCAACCTTATTAAATTTGCGCCAAATATAACGGATATCCACCTTCTAAACTTGGTTCAACAAAAATCTCGATGCGTCGACAATGACATTGCCTTCTAGAATGTACCTTCCTCCTTCGATTTAGCTGGCCCCCAACCCAAAATAAATTTGAGTAAACTAAGCATGTAGTCCCTTACTTATAGGATGATTTTTTAAGTCCACCAATTCTGAAAAATTACAAATAGTTACCCGATTTAAAACAAATAATAAATTAAATTTTTAAAAAATTTAATCAGAGATGATGTTAGCAGTTAAAAGTTTAGAATAATTATAAATTTAACTACCAATTTTCATATCTTATTATAATTTAGTGTTAATTCGTAGAATTTAATTCTCAATATTTATATAGTAGATAAACTTATTTGTTATTCGTAAATGAATTAAAATAATAATTAAATGAATGTAATATTTAAATATCAAAGTAAGATTTTAAGAATATAGAGCAATTTATTATTCTTTTCAAAATCAAATGTTTAATCTACAAATTTTTTTTATAATCGATAGATATAATAAAAGAATATTTTATAATTTCGAGACTACTTGCACAGTGTACTGAATAAAATTTCTAAAATCATTTTTTTTGAATTCCCTAATGGGATTTAACTTCACACACGATGCTGCCACTTGGCACGTGGTTTGACAATTTGGACTTTAATGAATATACTATACCATATAACGTTACAATTAACTTCTCAGTGTGCAATTAAATGAAATGACCATCCAGCTCAGTTGGTAGAGCACAAGGTTCTTAACCTTGAGGTCGTGGGATCGAGTCCCATGGAGGACATTTCATAATTTGAAGGTCTCCTACGGAAGCTGTTCTCAACCTAGTGTTGGGGGCAGCCTACTATCTTACCTCCCCCTTACCCCATACATATGGGAACAAGGGACAGCCATTTTAGTGTGCAATTAAATAACATACCTACTTCCGAAATCAGTCGCAGATTCTTTTCGATCGATTATATATAAAAATTTTATATTAAATTTTGTGTTATTAATATATATATATATATATATATATATATATATATATTCATTTAAAAAAATATTTTTAGATCAATCACTTATAAAATCAGATCTAATCATATGCACTCAAAATGAGTATAATATTTTTTGGAAAGAAAACAAATAATTTAGGAAAATAACAAAGAACAAATTAATAAAATTTTAGTCAAATTTATTGAATTGCACGTGATGCAGTGATTATCGATATTTTTCTTGTTAATCGGTGATCTTAGATCTTTATATTTTAGACGTCAGACGATTCATCCAAAACAACCATCTCGGGAGATCTTAGGTTATTTTTAGGGTCAAATTTATTTAATTGTATGTTTTTTTATATTGTAGAATGCTTTTTAAAGTAAATTTGATGACATTTCTTTTATTGACATTTATTTGGTTATGATATTGAGACACAATTAATTTAGATTATGGAGTTGTTTCTGTTATATTGATAGGTGATCATAAAGATGAAGATAAATTGTACTTGAATTGTGATAAAGGTAATTGTTCACCTACCATAATTATTATATTTATTGTCATGTTAATGTTAACGTGCTTACTTTTTATCATCCACAATAATATTTATTTGTATTCACTTATTTTTTTTAATTATTTGATTAGAATTTTTAATTTTTTAGATCATGATTTATTATATTTTATTTATTTATTTTACAAATTAGATGATATTAACGATTGCTTGATTTAAATTATCTAAGTTACTATCATATGTTTTTGCATAGAGAATGCTAATTTTATTAAAAATATAAAATATTCAAATTACAATAAAATTTACAACCATAACTGTAAACTAAACATATAATAAGAATATTTTTCTAAACACAAAAAAACTAGTCACTTAAGATCACAATGACCATACAAGGAAAATATTGAAAAATCTAACCAAAAAATTGAACAAGAGATAAATATGAATAGATCGAACTGCATCGGAAAATGAACCATAAAAGGGAATAAAACTATTGAAAGACCACCAACATATCGCAAATCAGAATCGAGCGATGTGAAAATACTATCCACGAATGCAAACCCGCATATCCAAACCCAATATGAGGGTCCAAAGCAGAAAAGATCATCATGATAATAAACAAGTGTCATCTTGATCAGTCGTGACGATGTCAAATCCAACCATGAAAAAATAAACGAAAACAACGGCTAAACAATTGAAAATGTGCTATAGAGGCAGAGAAAAACGTGTCATAGAGATAAAAGAATACGTGTTAAAAAGACAGAATTATTAAGAATAAAAAATAAGAAAAAAATAAAGATATGCTATAATAAAATAAAAGAAAAATAATAAATATCGACGATCGACAACCAATATCAAAACTAGTATTAAAGGAAAAATAATGAATATCGACGATCGACAACTAAAATTAAAACTATTGTTGATCGATCATCATAAAGATGAAAAAGAAAAGAAAATAACGGTGATTATGGAAAAAGGGAGAAAAAGAGAACAAACCCAAACTTAAAATTTTACTTCAATTCCTATCATATGTTTTTTTTAAATAAAGAAAAAAAAAGTTCATCTCATTATTTTCTCTTTTTTAATATTTTCGTCAACTTAACAAACAAACACCACCATCTAAGCCACACCCCTAATGTTGAGCGATCGGCCGGCCGCCGAGACTCGATGGTCGATCCAAATTCATCACCTTTCAATGCTCCAAAATCTGAAATTGACAACATTTGTTTTTACCTTTTGAATTAAATTGTTTCACATCAAATTCATATTTTCCGAAGCTTGACAGCCTTTACAATAGGATTAGCTTTGGCAATCTGTTGTTTCCCCGTGGCTTTGAAATCAAAATTACATCCATGTTCTTCCGGGTACCTATGGATCCCACAAAACACCATCCCACACCTGCACTTGAACCCCGTGAGCTCCACGCGTTTGTTGCAGCCCAAGCATCGCTTAGGTCTAACCTCAACCACAACCTCCGCCGTCTGTTCATCCTTCACCTGGAACGAAGACGAACACGAAGGGGTTGGGATCTGATTAACGGCGTGTTTGGCGGAGGAAGATCGATGTTGTTTAAGCTGAAGATCACGGTGACATTTAGAACAAAGATTTTGCGTTACAGGGTTTCCGTGTAATCCACAATTGTTAGCGCATAGATTTGGTGTTTGGCATCTATGTTCTTCCGCCATTTCTTCTTCGAATTTCTTCCAAACCTGTGTAAAAAGGTTCATTTAATAAAACAAATTAAAACCCTATCTGACGGGAAAAATAAAAAAAAGAAAAAGAAAAATGACCGGAGCCAAGAGATTCAAAGAGGCGGGAAAGGTGGAGAAGGGGAAATCAGAAACGAAACCACAAATCTATTCCCCTTCTTAAAAACAGAAAGGAAAATCATTGTTCTCTAAAAATATAAGAAGTTGAACAGTAGATTCATGGTTGTGGTTGGTTCCATTCAATACTTTAACCTAAGTTTTGCTCACCCTTATTTGCATTTCCCTACCACATGCAATATAATACAGTCAGTTGAGCTATTACGTCACGTTGTATAATTGTATTTGGAAATCATAAAATAATTGTAAGGTAATTTTAATTTTTCAGTTATGTTTAATTAATAAAAATGTAAATCCTCAACCTACTTAAACAAATAATTAGACAGTGAAGTAGGATGAAGTTTACTTAAATCCAAATTAAATTAGGTGATGAGGTGTTATACACGAATCGAATACGAATAAATTATAAATTTAATCCGACTAAATATACCACGTCCTAAATATTAATTTAAATTATGATTATGAAAACATTTGTTATCACGGTAAGAATATAACATATAATAGTATGATTAATTATATTAAACAGTAACAATATAATGTTAAAATGAAAATCACAAAATAACAACTCCAAATTTATATATATTTTTAGATAAAGAGGTGTCTCGTTAAAAAACCACTCCTCATGTCCAAGAGTGGAAAAAGAGTACACCTTTTAAGATCATGCATTAATATAATTATCTATCAGTCCCTAATACAGAAAACCATAAAAAACTACTAAACACAGCTTGCTAAGGTTGACGACGAGTACGGCACCGTCTTGTCGCATGAAAGGCAATGTCTTTCTCCATCTATCACCAAAAAAAAAAAACATATTTTTAGGACATAATGTTTAGGATATTCCTTTATTTAAGCAAATAAATTATCATCGATATTTAATAATATATAAAATTATGCATCGTCGATATTATAAATATATAATCATAAGAATTTACCTGAATTATGTTAGTCAGTCCTTCCAACAGATTGAATTCTGTTTTCACCCTTTCGAACATGTCAAGGCATCTAACAATATATACATGAAAGCTTTAGTTAACAAGAAAAAGCGTTAAGTCAAACAAAAATATTAGCGACGGTTTTAAATGAAATCGTCGCTAATAAGTGAATTAATTAATTAACATTATCGATTCCCACCTGTGCTTGTTTCTCTCAATGCAGGCATTTTGAAGCTGGTAACAATCGATAGTCAACCGCTGACCACCAACGCTGTTATATTTTGTAAAAGTATCATTATTTAGAATTATAAAATAAAAAATAACAGACATACGTACATACACATATATATTACATAGAGCCACAGCCTTTGAGCTGGTGAGCAGCGTCCTTGACCTTAACATAGTTCACATCAACTGGCCTGCTGCTCATATATAAATACATATGATTGAAAAAAAATTAAGGGTACAATTTGAAAAACAGATAAATATTGAGGATTAATTTTACTATTGTACCATAAGAAATCTTACAGTAAATCAGTGATTCGGGAAATGTATTCAGGAGCATCTCGGTGGAACATTGAGAGCACTTCATCAACAAACTGAGGATTCTCTTCATTTTGCATGGATCTCAGCCGGTCGTAGTTATGGTCCAGTATGCCCTACATCCACAATCAATCAATATCCATTAATAAAAAATTTAAATTAAATTTGATTCGACTTTAAATATATTTAAAGATCAACTTAGATGAATAAATAAATGTTTTGATTTCAATTAAATACAGTTCAATTCTAACACATCATTAACTGCTAATCGTTAAGATTTAGATCTAGAGACCGTTAATCGTTAAGATTCGAATAAGAAAAACAATAAAGCTTTGACTCAACTTAAAATTGATAGATCTTCAAATTTAAAAAACTTTATAAGTTTTAAATCTTAAGATCGTTAACTGTAAAATTCAAATAAAAAGAACTATTAACTTAAAACCAACGAATGTTCGAGTTAACTTGGTTAACTCATAAAATAATCTAAAAAAACCCAACAGGACCTCATTATAAAGATTGATTTTACATTAATACTTGTATATATTTTTTAGCTTATAAAATCCGAGTTCAAGAAACGATTACAAGTTAAATGTAAAAGATTTAAAATACGATTTAGTTATATTTATAAGTTTCAAATCTTGAAACCGTTAACCGTTAGAGATTCGAATCTAAAAATTAACGTTTTATCATCTTTCAACTATGGAAATCATGTAATTAAATCCGCAAATATAAATAGAAAAAAATATTAAAAAGAGAAGAACGAAAAACAAATACAAAACCTGGTCGTGCATTTGCTTAAGATAGTCCAGGAGTTGCCGGGCAAAAGCAGCAGCTGCCATTTTCTCTTCTTCTTGTTTTTGTTTTCTTCAAGTAGATGGGTAGAACCATAAACGATGTGTCACCGAGGTTGCTAAATCTCCCCCTGGATTATAAGGAAATATAATTATTAGGATATTAATTTTATTACCTTTAAAAGTAAATTTGATTTACAATATATATTTAGTTGATAAAATACAACAGTTATTATATATAATTTAGCAGGGTTTAGTAATTTAAAATTAAAGGATAAATTTCAACTATGATCATTTAATCATGAAAATTTTAATATTAATCTTTTAATTTTGTCAATCAAATCACTTAATCATTTAAATAATATCAATAAATTGAACACTCCAATGATTTCTTGTTATGCCAACTCTGATTATGTACTTGTAATTAGCAGATTAAAATTGCATGTATTTGCATCTCCTCAAGAGAAGGGATTTTGAACATTACTTACGTGGATAATTATATTAAGGATAAGAAATTGTGTATTTATTTATATGTTTTATTTTCATGTATACATTTTTACCCATCAAATATGTATTTTATGTTTTCCCTATAAATTCTTATACTGGTGTTATATTTATGGTGTTTTTAATTATTTATTTATATCATATTAATCTCATGTTTTAGTTTATTTCATATTTGTAGATTTTATCATGGTGATTCATTTTAGATGTATTAATGACGTCTCAACTCTCAGGCAGATGTACAGTCCACGCTCAAGCTGTATTCGAAGAACTGGCGTCGTACTCGCATACATATATATATACACCGAGTGATAAACTTGTAGTTTTAACGAGGATTCAAATCGCAGAGCTTCTGCTGGAGATAATTTGAAATTGTGTTTTTGTTAATACATTATCAGATTGACTAATATATATGATTCTCTCATGCAAAACATACAGGTACACAATTTAAAGAAGAAGAAAAAATCAAGTAAAAAACATTTTGAGTTCCTCAAGACGCGCAGTTCGAACTTCTTCATCGGTTAAGGCACCGGAAATCATCCTCTGTTTCCGCGCTTGCACTGCCTCCATCCTTTCCTCCACGGTTCCCTGCTTTTCACACCCGTAATATGTAAAACGAATTAATCGAACCAAACCCAAAGGAACAAAGAGTTGTAACTAGAGTTCAACTCGAAACTTGTGGTTCAAATTCATTCGAATTTTACTTATGTAAACTAAGCTTAATTCAGGATAAAAGAGAAGGCTACTTCAACTTGCTATTTTTAACCTGTCATCCCACCAAAGCACAACAGTCACGGAGAAATTTATACCTTGACAATGAACCGTTTGATTGCGACTCTCTTAGTCTGCCCAATTCGATGAATGCGCATTACGGCTTGTTCTTCTACAGCTGGATTCCACCATGGATCCTGCATTACAAGAACATGTTAATAAAAATATAATCATTAAAACATACCCGTGTCGGAAAAATACCCGATTCAACACTCAGACTACTCCTAGGCTAAAATTTCATGAATGAAAATGCAGAAGCACAGAGTAGAGATGACTCAAATATGTAACACCAACAATCACTGCACTTGGAAGATTATAAACTTGTCCTTCAGCATACCAAAACAAAAGCATTAGAGGCTGCTGTTAGATTTATTCCAACCCCGCCAGCTTTCAGTGACATTAGCAACACCTGATCCGAAAACATGAAACAAACAGTAAGACTAGAGCCATCTAGAAAACTATTAAAATCAATATCTTTATCCAGAAGAAAATTATATCACAAACCATGATTTTGCTATCTTCTGAAAACTGTTTTATTACTTTTTCGCGCTGCTGTTGATTCAAAGTCCCATCTAGGCGAAGAAAGGGAATGTTGTGCCTGAACATAAATAAAGCAGAAGCACACTACCGTGATCAATAGTTTCCGTGTAAAAACAAGAGAAATGAGGTGGAGAGGAAGGGAAAAAAGCTAATAAAAGCATGTCATGGCATCTTTAACAATATTTAGAACTAGATTGAGATTGTTTCCACCAAATCAACTTGAACATGATCCAAACCATTTAAATTCTGTTACATGAGTCTCTACATCACATTTGATCCAAAACAAAACCATGTTGAATGGGATTTTGGCTAACTTTTGTCAGTATGATAAATTGTTTGTTTAAAGTCCCCTCCTGATTATTGAAACATGCCTCAGAGTGCCATAGCTACCATGTTTAAAGCTGCTTTTTATGAAAGAAATAGCAGTTCAAGACACTGATAGAGCTTCAACCAGATATCAACTACAAAATGTTAGATCAAGTTGGAATAATTACCTAGAAAGAGGAATCTGCAAGAGGTCCAAAAATGCGGTCCATTGGCTGAAGAGAATGCTCTTAGAGCCCGATGAACGAAGATTTTCAAGCTCTTGCAACAAAGCTTGAACCTTAGTTGACTCCACCCAATTTTTCTCAAGATCAACCTGGAACCGACTTTCAGTTGGGGCTGTAATAAGATCTTGCCTCATTACAGTTTTCCTGCAAGGTAAAACAATAGCACTCTAAGACCAGGTTTCGTGAACTCATCTTAAACTTAACCCGAGGCTATAAAAGTAAAAAAAGAACTGATTTCAAGATACCTACAAACAGGACATAAACCAGAATTTGCATTCCGCCAACTTGCTAAGAGACACTCACGGCATAGGCGGTGAGCACATGGTGTTAGTACAGCATCTTCAAATGCTTCAAGACATATTGGACACTCTCCTTGTTCTCCCTTGCGCAGCTCTTCAACCACCTCCTGGACATATGCCCTTGAAGGTAGATCCTTGGCTTCACTTTCTACTGTATTCTGCCCACCTCTAAGGAATCGTTTAGCTAGCTTATTAAGATCTGTGTATTCATGTGTATCTCCTCGGCTAGAACACATCAAAACACCCATCAACATTTATTCATAAGAATGGGCAAACAGTTTCAATTTTATACCTTCATAAGCCATTTTTAGTCCAATAAAGTAATTTTAGTGAAATAAATAATCCAAGAAACCACCAATATCCCTCAAGTATTGCCTGAATAAAGACTGATAACTATAAGGTTGAGCACAAAACTAAATTATCACAAAAGCAAATAATATAACAAGTTCCAAGAAAACATCAGGCAATTAGCATGACGACTGTCAAACTCGTTATATAAGCATTCAGAAGACATTGTTTCAAGTAAATATCTTTCAAACGAAGCTTGTCTCAATGACATACACTTAATTTGAGTAACACAATTCATTGTAAGCCATTAACAGTTAGAATATACAGCTAACCATATCAGCACATTATCACAGAATCATTGACACACTAACAAAAACCAGGAAGGAGGGAATAAAGGTAAGCAACAGACCTCATCACAAGAAATGGGTGATCACAACACTGACGTAGACGGAGAAGTAACTCCAAAATAGAGGCATAATTATGAAGAACGCGACCTTGTTCAACAAACTGGTCAAACTTCACCTGAACAGATATCCCACCAACTCGTAACAATTATAAAGTAAAAAGGCAGCATCAAATGTATATAAACCAAGACATCAATGAAGCAAGCTGATACAAACTACGTTATACCTTCGATCTTTTAAACAGGGCTTCATAGAAGTCCTTTTCAGCTTCAGTTAGCTCACAATATATCACCTGGACATCAGCCGGAGGGAGAACTAGAATCGGCCTATAACACAATTTTAGGAGCAAAATCTATTAAAAACTCATATGCAATAACCAAGGATTCCCAGACAGTATACTTACTTGCCATGTCGATCTGTGCTGCACTTTGTTCTCCTCAACATGATTGGCTTTAAGATTGACTGAACCAACTTTAGCCCTCTCTCATCACCCTCCTCAAATGGTTTTTGGATGAGTTTATTCCACCTATATCAGAGCTAGTTAGCTGAACATTATGAGATGTATAAAATTCAAGGAATATTTCTAGGTAAAGAAAAATTCAAAGAATCTGTTTTAACACAGCCTGCAAAATGCATTTGCCTTTGCATATCAACAGACAAAAAGAGGCATAAAAGAAAAACGGTTTTATATATTGCAAGATAATTTTAATGTTCAACACATATCCATGCTGATAAACAAAGGCTCCCTCTTCAATCCAGAGAGAAATAAATGTGACCTTAGGAAGCTAAACAATTTCTAGGTGCTGCAGGGAGAGATAAGCATTTTAATCTTAATTAAAATTCTGTTTTAGAAAACATGCAAAAAAAAAAAATCAAGAAACAATAATATCAAAATTTAGTGGTTCATCAATACCAATAAATAAGAAGACTTTTCATATCCTAAATTTTCCAACAAACAATAACTGGAAAGCTTACCAGGGCCAGTTACCCCAAGGTTCAACCTTCAAAAAGCGGAGAAGACTGTATATATCCTCCAGCTTGTTCTGTGAGAAAATTTTATCATTAAGAAGCATACAAGACCTTGGAAATCTATAAGTTAGGTTAGGAAGCAAATGATAACTACAAAGTAATATTAAAACCTGAAATAGATCATCAAGAAATAAAAATAACTTAGATAATGCAAAACATGAAATTCTAGGATAAAAAGGAAATATATACGTGTAGAGAAAGAAATCTTTGCAAGCATGAAGAAAAGATACATGGATGGGTACATTCAATTAGGAATTGTATCAAAACTTCAATCTCTAAATCTAATAATGATGAAGTCCATCATATAGAATTTCCATATGCATTAGGGAGAATTCTTCTGGATTATGAATAGTACAGATTCTTCAATGGCAATGCATGGTTTCAACGTTTTAAATTTTACACCACTTAATATACCAAAAGGTATATTAAGCAAATGGCAACCACCAACTCCCAATAATTAGATACCAGGGCGCTCCAATGTGCTACCGGTTAAGTGATAGACCAATCACCAATATCAGGACTTAATTTATGGTAAGGATTATATTAGGATTCGCTATTTAGATTAGGGTTTATGGGCTCCAATTTAGCTTGTAATTTCCACTCAGCTTTTAGGATATTGAACTATCCTATCTCCTTTTTTCCTTCATTGCTCACTAGGTTACTTTTCCCTCTCAAACTTGTCTTTCTCTCTCCACATCCCCATTTCTGTCCCTCTCCCTATTCTATATCTCTCGCCTACACACTTTATACTATAATGTGTGAGGCATGTCCTCAGCCAATGGAATAAGAATAGAACAGAAGAAACTTCAAATCCAATAAATACTGAGAAGCGTTCTCCTTTGCTTCAAGATATGAAACAATTACCATGCTCATTCAAAAAGCATTTAAAACAGACTTTAGGCACTTTTCCATACTGCCATTACCTGGATAGGAGTCCCAGTGAGACACCAGCGACGATCAGCAACTAAAGCAGAGGTAGCCATGGAAATTTGACTTTTAGAAGACTTTATGGTATGTGCTTCATCAAGAACAATCCTGAACCAACGCACCGAGTACAATCCTCCATTATCTTCAGAGTTCTGGCAATAAAAGAAGAGTCACCTTTCATTAGTGTAAAAGTATGCAGTAATTTTAAGTTTTAACAACAATAGAAGCAATCTTCTTTAACCACCTCTACTGAAAATTCTGAAGCTAGAACTCCATATGTAGTGATTACAACATCATTCTGGGCAAGCATTTTTGCATCCTTTGGCCTACTTTGGCCATAATGAACGTACAAAGACAAAGACCCTGGTTGTGCATGAGTTTCGATCTCTACCTGACATTACCCAAATGTTTAGAGCCACAAACAATAACAGAAATTGAAGAATTAATCAGATACAACATAGATATTCATAGAACTGCCAAGTAATATGCAGATGCCACTCTATGGAATACCATAGACCGAGTCTGCTTCAAAACTGAAAAGACAAACCTTCCATTGGCTAAGAAGTGTCATGGGACATATAATCAGATTGCCACCATCGGCAAGTTTGTCTTTTTGCTTAGCTAACTTATCAAAGCTGGGAAATTTCATTATATTTTTCAATGAACTTGGTGATTGGCCAAATATATCAACGACTTCACCACCTTGATCAGAAGGCTGATCCGGGCATCGACTATCTGATTGCCGACCTCTTTCTGAATGGGTTACTAGGAGGGATATTGTCATGATTGTCTTCCCAAGCCCCATAGCATCTGCCAGAATCTTCATAAGTAAAGGAAGTTAAGATGCAGTAACAACATAACAAGAGGGAACTATGTTAAAAATACATCAGGAATAGTAAGACCGTACTCCTCCTCTAGCCATTTGATGTGTGCTTGGGAATTCTATTGTAGCATCACCAGTAAATGCATTCAAGTAGATAACAGGCTCTCTCCTAAAAAAACAGTACTCCATCAATATCCAGTAACAATGGAACTAGTCTGCTAAAAAGATAATCTGACATACTTATCTGCTAAGCGATATGCTTCCCAACAAGGGTGCAAAGTTGTTGCTGCCTCATCCAAGGAACTTCCCTTCTCCACCTGAAACATCCAGTGGAGAGCCTGCTTTTGGTAAGGCCGAAGCTCACACTGGAGGATGCTAGGAGGGTCCATTTCCTACAACAAAAGAGTTGTCATATGATCTCACCTTATCATTAGTAGTGGTGATATATTTATCTACATACACTTTTTTCAGAGATGATAATACCTCTAACTCAGAGTTGTCTCCCACACCAACAATATTGTCAAGATCAGCATCAGAGATAGATTCCTCATTTTCAACCTCATTTCCATTTTGAGATTGATTCTTTAACTTGTTTTTAGTTGACAATGGGGTATGAAGACCAGAACCATCCTGTTTCCGCAATATCATTCAGTAATTCACCCACTAAAAATTAATTACTTAAATAGTAAATATAACTGTATTTTATTTGCTACCTTTGTCTCCAAAGGTCGCTTCCTTGTGTACAAATCAGTTGGAGATAGTTCTGCCTAATTATCATAAAGCAACAAGAATATTTCTCATTAAAATATTTGAGAGAAAGGTTCAGTAGTGGTAAAATAGAAACACAAGTGTTTCAAAACCAACAGCAGTTTTTGCTCAATTCATGATAAATTTATCAACTAGGCAATCACGACCGAAATAATGAAAACTTTAAGACAAACAATAACCTTCTTAAAAGGTGTTAGGCCAAGCAACCGGAACAAACTTGGAAGAGGATGAACAATAGATTCGTCGGTGCAATTGCTGGCTGCCTTGAGTGAAGTTTGCTGATACTTATGGAACATGGAACTATTAATACACACACTGGATCAAACCAAAAAAACCACCCTCATTAAAACCAAATTTAGTAACAAAATCAAATACCCATTTCACAAACATCAAAGTGTAAGCATTCAAACTAACCCCACCTTAAAGATAAGACAACAATGTCCATTATACCCAAGACATCCGGAGCTGATTTACACCTCCCTTCAACTCTAACCTTCTTATCCCTCACAAGAGGCAACAGGCAACGTGCCCATTCATTGGGTATTCTACCAATCTGCCAAAATATTATTTGCTTTTACAATTATATTAGTTCATATTCAAGTCCCACTTTTGCATCCATAAATACAAGTGGTGAAAACAATAAACGAACGATTACTAGCAATTCAATACAAATTTTCACCTCCCCGGAGTTCTTGGTAGAGAATCTAACAATCTCTGAACAAGCTGCAGCTGCCTTTCCTCTCCCGAAGCCTTTCCCAACTGGCCCCAACGGACTCAAGCCACTACTCTTCAATGGAAACGTGAAGTAAACTTCCTCCCCAGCCTTCACTTTCCTTCCTTTACTCGTAGAAAGTCCGGGTACCTCGCTGGAGCCAACAAACCACCAATCGTTTTCGAGCCTAAGATTTCCCTCATCTTCCAAAGAACTCGCACCACATACGACTTTTCCATTACTACTAAAGCTAGAATCCTTGTTCTCTTCGCCCTTTATCTTCGGCTTCACACTAACCGTCGCTATATCGGAGCTCGAAATTTGGGACTCCGGTTCAAGTTGTTTCTCTCTGTGCTTGAAATTTTGAGGCGAGTCGAAAATTATGTTGATGGCGGCGGTGGCGTCGTGTTTGGCCAAGTGTAACGCTCTAATTACATCCATCTCGGAATAATCTGATCCGACTATCGATCGGACGGTGGAAATGAGCTCCTCCGACACCTTGTTTCCACCCATTCGGATTACTCTAAAAAACCCTAACCCTAGGCCCGAGTTAATCCCACGTATGCGATCCTGATTTCGGTACTAATGATGAAATTGTTTAATCAAAGGTGATCAACAAAGGGAAGATATTTGAATTTCGGGGGCTAAATGCTAGAATACGCAATGGGTAAACATGTTAATGGATGGCGGGTGAGTTTCAGAGGTGACGGGAGAGTGGAAAAACTTTTAAAGAGGACACATAATAAAGTTTTATAGTGTGATTTGAAGCTTGTACTTTATATTCCCGCGCGATTTATCATTTCCCGCCATTTATTTTATCTATATTTATTCGATGGCATGAATCCAACCATTTTGGTGGTAAAGGATGTGTTGCTATTTTATGAGATTCTAGGCGAGTACTAAGGATGTTAGTAGTATAAATGTTCAACATTAAATGGTTGAAAATAAAAGTAGAGTTCTATTATATCTTAAAGGGACTAGACCTCTATTAAAAATTTAGTATATTTGATATAATTTTAGTCTAATAATATCTTGATTTATGTAAAAATAAATATTTAAATTAAAAAATATATTATTAAATATTTAATTGAGTAGATGATGAACCAAAGAATGATAATCTCATATTCTCAAATTTTTTATCTAGTAACGATTTAAGTCATTGTGAGTTTAAATATTTAACAAATTAGGTGTTGTATTGTGAATTTTTAGTTTAAATATATAGGGTGAATACAATGTATTATTTGTACAAAAATTCTCAACTATTTGACAATGAACGTTCATTCTCTTACATATGCAATGCTCAAACTCGGGACATCAATAATAACAACAATCTTTTAATCACTAAAATTAATTGGTTCGTGCTGAATTTTGAATATGAATATCTAATAAATCATTTTATTTTTCTTAAATAATCTAATATATCGACACATGTCAATATTTAATCATGACTTTGTCCCTGATTAAGAATTATCTTTGAATATATACTACCTTGTACTTACCTATATTAATCGAAAAATAATATTTATTTTGTGCTCATACATCTAATATATTTAGATAAGGTAAGTGGAGGTAACTAAACTATATCTTAAATAATAGTATTATTTACTAGGGTAAATTACAAATTTTATCAATGAACTTTATTTTCTTTCCTATTTTGCTCACTAAACATTAAAAGTATTTAATTTCCTCACTGAACATAATATATTGGGGTTTTTTGGTCACCCGTCATTAAATAGTTAACGACGTTAAAACGATGTCGTTTTAAAAAACAAAATTTTAACCAAAACGACGTCGTTTTGCATCTATATAACAATCCATTTATAACGTCGTTAGTGAGAAACGGCTAAGGGACCAAAAAAATCCAATGTATTAAGTTTAGTGAGCCAATTGAAAATATTTAAAGAATAGTGAGCGAAATAAAAGAGAAAGTAAAGCTTAGTTACCAAATTTGTAATTTACCCTATTTTTTATAATTATAAAACAATTATTAAAATTATTAAACTCTTAAAATATAATAATTTTACTTTTATAATAAGTATAAAAGTTTGATAAATATAATGACCACTTTATAATTTTTTAATAAAATTCAATAATCATCTTACAACAATTTGATAATAAACTAAATAATTTTAAACATAATTTAATAATAATTGATGTGTGCTTTTACCTTGTTTTTTAAGCATTTTCTAATACTTTCATCATATATAAAATAAAATAAGTGGTCTCATTAATTCGTTATATCATGAACATAAGTGGTATCGTCAATTTTTTTAGTACATACTTTCGCCAAGTTAACATGCCGTTCTACACATTGCAGCAAGCCTGTGATTGGTTCTTCCATCTTCTTCATTATCCATTTCTTTGAAGTTAGAGGTATTACGAATAAATAAATTTATTTATTTAAGCACAGTTGTTCATTAACTATATTGCTTGTGGTTCCAATTTTTTTTGTTTTGTATGGCTGGTTTGTGTAAGGGATCTACTCTTATATTTATGGCTGTTGGCTTTAAATTTTGATCTTGTTTATGAGTCTGCTTCCTCTATTATGTCAAGTTTTCAACAGCTATCCACCTCTTTAACGCTGTAATCACCTAACTCGATTAATATTCTCGCGAACAATGACGTAATAATTCGTAAATTATTTATTGCATTTATCTATCACTTGCTTCATTAATATTCTGATTCGGAATTTCTAAAAAAATATAATTTAGAGGAAACAAACAGCTATTCAGTAGTGCTGAACTTCAACTTAACTGCGAAAAACTATAAAATATGATAATTTAAGAAATATGGACCTGAGGGGGCTTATGGATTACAACACAACCCTGAAGTAAGAAAATGGATTCGCATGCAAATCGCCCCAATGAAACAATTACAGCCCCCAACAAGCTAACACAACAAATCTAATGTTTCCATCGTAAAATACCATACTGAGATGAAAAGCATTTAACATACAACGAAAATCAACAATGAAGATGTATATTTAAGACGTTCCTAAAAAGAATTAAGAATTGAAACATTAGCGAACAAAAGCATATTCGATGCGAGTGCTTACTAAGGTGCAGTCTAAACATTTTGTCCCTTTAGGATGCGGTAGGTTTTGCCATTGACTTCTTAATAGCTTCGGCGTAAGTCCTGTGTTGGTAGGTAAGAGTCGAGTTAAGCAAGTCCCAAAGTGATGTCTTGGGGTTCCAACCTTAATGAAGTTTTAAAGCACAGTAAGATCATACGGTCCTGGTATGGAAAAAACTAAAGATCATGGGATTAACAAGGAAGCCAAAAGACAATACCCAGTTGTTTATTTATTATGGTCATGTCTGGAATTCTCTTGTCGCTATCGTCGTATCCTTCGCCATAAAATTGTTTGGAGCTGACGTCAATAGTTGGCACTTCCAGAGCAGGTTCTCCACTAACCTTGGTATAGACCTGAAGCGCCCAAGACAACCAGTTATACATTAAATGTAACCGGAATCTCAAAATAAACAAAAACAATAATATGAATAACAGAAACTACATGTCCATGTGATTCACCTGAATCATGATTTCAGCAAGTTGCCGAACTGTGACTTCATTGTTCGGGTTACCCACATTGAAAATATGACCATTGGCCCTGTCAGGGTTTTCCTGCATAAATAGCACTGCTAGTTTAGATACTATGTCCGGTGTTCTGTACGGGATGATGGAGGACAGAAGTCAAGGGAAAGGAGAGGGGAGTTAATCGTACTTACAATCATCAAGAGAACAGCTTCAATAGCATCCTTTATGTAAACAAAAGTTCGCTGGGATTGGCCACCATCAACAAGCTTAAGTGGCTCACGTCGTAGGAGATTCTAACCAGGAAAAAGAAAATGATAAGTTATCACTCGAACTGAGACTACACGAAAATATAAAAGTGAATAGATGTCTTCTAGGCCATTCACAAAAACTGTGAAGTAACATCAACTAACATTACTAAAGCATGCCAGAACTCTTGGAACTCCCTCACTTGGACCATCAATGCCAGGGATGAAATCCATCCTAGGTCCAATCCAGTTAAAAGGCCTCACAATGGTGAACTTAAGGTCATTCTCTGCACCCTCAGCTGCAATGGATGACAAAAAATAGTTAGAAAATTATGTTTGAAACATCTCAATAGGGGCCGGATCATTTGACAAGATGCTAACCATAGATTAGCCTCTCAATCAATTGCTTAGCACATGCATATGACCACCTCTGCTTCTCAATCGAGCCAAAAATGCAGGGCGAAGTGTCTTCCTTAAGAACATAATACGCAGGATCCTATAACATGATGAATAATAGAATGTGTCAAAGGTTACAAGCTAAGCTAACAAAGAAAATCTTAATGTTACCTAGAACACACAAGAGGAAATAGGAACAAAAGAATAAAAGCATTATAATTGTTAAAAGCAAAAGCATGAATATAACTTGTTTCTTTCAAAAGATAATCATATAAATAATCAGAAGAGAGATACCGAAAGGCTACCTTACGGAGAGGAGAATCTTTAGGAAGGAAGCTTCCAATGGTTTTGCCATAAACTTCACAAGTAGAGAAGTGAATGAGACGTTTGTTGTTTTCAGAACAGTACTTCACCTATAAAACCACAAATCAATTTCAGGAAGAAAAAATAGGCATCAATTTCAATATTGATGAGAAAAAAAGCAGTAACAATCAGATTTCAACTCAAGCACATCAATATTAATAAACTCTAATAGAAACAAAAAATAACATACGCGCGCAAACAAAAATCAATTATAACGGAAATACTTACTACAGGAAGTGCATCAATGAAATTGCTGTAAACTGTATCGAGTGGACGCGTATTATAATCCGCCGGAGTACAGATCGCCGCAAGATTTATAATCTACATCACCGCAAGAACAATAAAAACCAAATTAAACGCCATAAGTCCAGTCAAATTTTTTAAAGCCAACAAAAACATCAAACAAAAACTTATAAACAAAATAAGAGTAAAGTAGCTTAAGATAGTAAACATAATTAAACCAGATCTAACACGTCAAAACCAAAGAAAATAGATAAACAAAAAATTTAAAGCAATTTAAACAGAAATGAAGGGAAACTAAAAAAAATCAATGATCTCCCGCAAACGCATTTCATCGAAACAAATAAATAGCACCGGGTAAAAAAAGAGATGGAGAAAGATCAAGGAATTACGAGATCGGCCATCTTGATGAGGCCTTCTAGCCTAGAATCGTGCTTGATGTTAATTCGGTGGAACTGGATACGGCCAGCCCAAGAGAGAGAGTCGGGCTCAAGGAGGTGCTTAATCTTGTCATTGTAAACATCCAATGCAAGCACCTTATGCGGCGTGTCCGTCATCAGTTTTTCGCAAAGGTGAGAACCAATGAAGCCTCCGGCTCCAATCATGCATATCGTTAGCGGCTTGATCGGCCTCCTGTCCAGATCCGTCCTCGCTGCCATTTGAAACGAGCACCTAGTTTTCTGTGATCTAACGCCGGAGAATTCAATGGAGAATTAGCAGATAGATAGAGAAAAGAGAGAGTAAAATCTGAGGAAGATTCAGAGATATCAAGGAAATGGAAGAAATATGGTATATACGTGTGCGTGAAACAGTGGAAAGGAGGGAAATGTCAATTGTGAACCTTTTACAGAACACAATAAATTGGAGGGCGGGAGTAAAGCATAATCGCGAGTATATCACTAGCTGTACTCGACTAAAAAGTGGGACACGTTGATGACTGGAAAGGTGTAGTCAGCTGTGTGGAGCAGAGGATTATTGCCGGATGCGTAAATAGACTTGATCCGGGAATTAATTAAGGATTATTGGTTCATAGTTCATACCTTACGATATTATACATTTTTTTGTTGTAAACACGATATTATACATAATATATTAGCTAATTTCTTACGTATTGATTAAATTTTGGGAAGGGTAAATATAAATTTTGATACTTGAGTTTAGTTTCAATATGCAATTTGGTACTTAAGCTTTTTTGTCCAATTAGTTATCTAAATTTAGCCTCAATGTTCACTTTGATACCTAATTTTTTAGGGTTCAATTATGTACTTAAACTTGACTTTTAGGTTCAATTTGATACTTAAACATAGTTTTTAGTACAAATTAGTTCAAATAAATTATTTATCGTTAGTACTAATTTAAACTAAAAAGTTACATACAAATATTAATTTGATCCAATAAATCAAGTTTAAGTACAGAATTGGACTAAAGAAAAACTGTGGATACCAAATTAAACCTTAGAACCAAATTCATATACTTAATTATATTAAAAAAATATGTATAAAATTGTACCTTAGAAATAAAATTAAGATGCAAAAATATATATATTTATCCTTTTATAAATTTTCATGTTTATATATAGTTTTAAATTAATCACCATATGATTTAGTGGGATAAGGTATTAAATAGTTTAAATAATATTCAAATTTTGAATTTTTAACATTACAAATGAAACATATTAAATAAAAATGATCATTCTTCTGATAAGCATCTATAATATTTGATATTAATTAATTAATTAATAAATTAGATATTATAAATTTATTTGCATAAAACCAATAAAATTTAATATTTTATTTATTTATTACTCAAAATATAATTATCATAAGTAAAAATATTAAAAATAATGGGATAATATAGAAAGTGATCACAAACTGTTCTATTTATAGTTTTATGACATCAAAATCACCAATATATTTGTTGAATATTATTTAATTACTTTAAAAAACACGTCGAAAGTTTGAGATTCCTATTATTTAATTAGATGCTCAGTAATAGCTAATATCACCGACAGAAGGAAAAATAATTCCACGCGTTTTAGCGCGTGGGAGACTAAATCTAAATCTCGCCAACTAATCCTAAAAGTGACCTGATTTAGTTTTTATTAACATTAATCCTTTCACCAATTGGACCGACAAAAGGAAAATACGATTAGTTAGAATTTATATACTATATCATAAAAGCAAAGGGATTAATAATGGGATGTCTAAGATACGGCATACTTAATAACTGATTAAGAAAAATTGTTATAAAAAATATTAATATTTTTTAATATTTTTAGTAAAGTGCTATATATAATATTATTTTTTAACGAAAATATTAATATTGAGTGATACTTAAAATATTTAATATTTTTGATAAAATATTATTTAAAATATCATTTTTTTACCTAAAATATTAATATTGGACACTACCTAAAATATTATTTTTCTATTAAAAATTAAATAATGAAATTAACATTTTTAGTAAAAAATAATATTTTATGTAGCGTTTTATCGAAAAATGTTAAATATTAATTTTTTCGTTAAGATATTTTCTTAACTATATATTACGACTTTCGAATAGCATAACTACACATTAATAATTAAATTTATCGTGCTAAACTAAAATTCATTCATTGTTTTTCAAAATGGATGTTCATGGATTCGTCGGTGTTAAGTTTTGGTTGGATTGTGATATTCGCACGAGTTATATATTTATTCACTCGATTTTATTATATTTTTATTTCAATAATTTTTAATTTTATTATTTAATTGAAAATTTATTTGCGGCAATGTCAAAACGATGAGTTATTAGTCGTTTTTGTTTTTATGAAATCAATCTAATATTTCTTTTTCTTTTTCACGATCAATTATTATTATTATTATTGTTCATCCTTAGTTAGTTCATTTACAATAAATTTGATATTAAAATATTATTCATTTTCTCATTTTTTTATTATAGTTTATCTTAAAATAAAAAATTAAAATTTTATCGTTATTTGGTAGATCGATAAATTTTATTGTTTAACTATTATTATCATTCAGATTTGAAAGAATATATTACGAGGTTGATAATTAAAAAAAACCAAATTTCAGGAAAAAATACTTTTATATTATATAAATTAATTTAAAAATTATATTATAAATGACTTTATTCCTTGTCAATATTTATGTATCAAACTTGACAAAAGATAATAAATTTCTTGGTTGTGCTTTTGTTGTTGCTCCTGCTAGCACTCGAGTTTCTTTCACCATTTGAGGAGTGGATTGCTGCAGTAGCTTTGCGATGTCCACTACTTACCGGCTTAAGCTTCATAATGAGGATGGTTGTTCCTGCGACAATGATGTTTTATTTCTGTATCAGTATTAAGGTAAAAAATATATTTTTGTTTGTTTTTGTTGTTGCGTTTGGTTGGAAAATTTAAAAAATTGAAAGAAAATGTAATATGACCACGATAGACTCTGATCAGAGTGACAGTCCAGGGAGCCCTTGGGCTTGGTTTTGATATATCATGGGACTATGATCACTGTAATGTACAAAATATGAAAATTATTAAAAATGAAGTTAAAGTATACAAATAGCCTATAATTATAAGGTACTATTTTGTTAAATCATTGATTATTAAAAGTAAAAGTTATTGTTTATTTATAGTGAGTTGTTTTGTTAAGTCTTTCGACCATTAAAAGTTACAAATGGTTACATGAGTATTCATATATTCTAAACTCATAATTTTTTGTTGTTGAAAATAGACAATTGTTTGAACTGAATATTAACATGTTAATTTTGATAAGATAATCTCAAAATCATTTGGGGTGTATTTTGTGGATTAACTCTCTGTTTACATTATATCGCCAAGTCAATGCGTGAAATATTATGTCAGTGAGTCAATGCTTCAATGCAATAGCAATGCCAATAGACATTATCAAAATATAATTTTATTATCTCTCAGTCAGTAGAATAACGTACAAATCAGACGATCGTCAAATTTTAATGGAATATGACGAGTTTAGAACATATAAATAATCGGATGATTATTTTATAAGTTTTAATAATTAGAAAACTCAATAAAATAATATTCTATTATTGTAAAATTATTTTATAATTTTTAATAATCATATGACTTAATAAAATAACCGAAGAATCATTTGTATTAGGGGTGTGCAAATTCGGGTACCCGGTAATCGGGTACCCAGATTTTGTGGGTACCCGATACTGGATTTTTAAGTTTTTATTTTCAAATTATTAATTTAAAAAAATATATACACAAATTTAAATGTTCGAAACTTCGAATTACATACTCTAATATCCGAACATAAAATTTAAAAGTTCGAAATACAAAATATAATAATCCATAATATAAATAATTCATTATATTTTATATAATTATATTTTAAAAAAATAAAAACTAACCGGGTACCTGAAAAAACTAGATTTTGTAACCCGGACCTGGCCCGGGAAATATCGGGCCGGGCACCCGACCCGACAGGATAATTTTTTTAAAAAAATTACCCGATTTTTTTAGATCCAGATCGATGAATCGAGTCAACCGAATTAGGTAATTTTGTACACCCCTAATTTGTATAGTTTAACCTAAGATAAAAGCACTCCCTGAAAATACCGGGGAAAACAGAAAACCCCTCATTTTCTTTAGAGCGGAAGATTAAAAAAACACACACACAGCGGAAATGGACTATAGTTTAGCTGCGCTGAAGCTGCTATGCGGGCAGCTGAAAGAAGCCCGAGGAACCCCTTCTCAAAATGCCTTGACTCTTGGTGGCATTCTCTTCCAACGTGTCTGGCTTCAGGTTTCTTCTTTTCCTTTTAATCAATTTCCCTATTTTACCTTTCTTTCTTTACCATTTCCCTCTTTTTTCAATAGGGCGTTTTGGTCTCAAACGACGACGACGATCGCCTGCTTCTCGATGATAGCACCGGCGTCGTCGAGCTTAACCTATCCGTTGATTTCCGTCAACGTCAATGGAGAAAAGGTTTTTGTTTTATCCCTGTATTTTTCACTACTTTCTTTTTGTATTCAACCAATCTGACCTTTGAAAAAAATTTGCAGGGATGTATGTAATGGTGGTGGGAGGATACTTTATCCGTACAGACGATCTCCCTGTTATTAAGGTACTCGAAATTTCCCTTATAATTTATTCAATTTCATGCTATAAATTGTCTTCTGGACCTTTTCTTTTTACTAGTTTCTTAAGAGGGTAAAAGAGGAATGTACTTGCAAATTACTCGGGTTTGGCTTGCAAAATATTAGAATTTGGCTTGGTCATTGCATAGTGGAGTTTGAGTTCGAGCCATTGAGCTATCGAACGAACCAATTTGAATATTTTTCAAGCTTGATTGTAGTTGGCGACCATAATTGATTGTAGTTTGCTGCATCCATGGTAAATGAAATGATTGAAAACTCTGGAAATGGAAGTTAATTTATTCACAAGAAATGCTTCAATCTTGTTTGCTGTATATCTTAAGATGAAATTCTGTTTTTTTTCTCCCAAACACTGTGATCATTGCTGTTAATAGGTGCATAAGATTGTTGATTTATCTCCATTTCCCGACCGAGAAGCGATGTGGTATCTCGAAGTTTTGGAAGCTTACAAGTTGTTCTACCAGCCTCTCATTGAAGAATTCTTATGAACTCGTGAATTATTCAGTTCTATGTTTGTTAGACACAAACCGGAAGGTTAGTTGGATGAGAGAGCTTGATTGAGTTTTCCAACTTCTATTGCTTTTTCTCTTACATGTTATTTCCTCCACATAGGGATAGGGAGTTTTTTTTAATGAGGTCCATGCTTGTGACAAAGCTCTTTTTCGGAAAAAAAAGGTACCAAATTTTGAGACTGCCATTGTTGGATGCAATGAAATAGCTGAAACATGTTCTTTCTGATTCACTTAGATTATGAAGGATGAGTTTCCTTGGCATTTATATATTTTAGGACTGTAACATCTCATGATTCATTGGTACAGACTATTTTTCACTCTCAACTAGGGGATGGCAAAAAAATCTGTATTTGACAGCTTCTGATCCAATCCGATTTGATATGATCGTTTTTAGATTATCGCCATCAATATTCAAATGTATTACAGTATTAGTAGCTAGTTTTAGAGACTGCCATTGTTGACTGCAATAGCAGTGAAACATGTTCTTCTTGATTCTCATAGATTATAAATGATGGATCTTATTGGCATATAAAAACCATAGCTTTTTACCACCAATCAGTTGGTCTAGTGGGATGAGACACTAGGTCCTTAAATAAAGTCAGGGGTTTGAATGCTGACGTTTATGAATGGAGCAAACTGGGTTGGGAGGGTCACCCTCGCCTCTGCAGTACCCGATCTGGATTAGTCAGTCAATAGATTGGATACCAGTAATTAATTAAAAAAAAACCCATAGCTTTTCGTAATGAAGTGAATAACGATTATATTTATAAGCAATGAAGTGACGAAGATAGCATCTAAAGAATGATAGTGATCATTTATGGTTAATATATAAATGAGAATAAAAGATACTAGTGGTAGTTGTTATTCCAAAAGCTTAAGATTCGAGATGTCCGTACGATGTCAAACATGGTGTGACGTGCCCAATTCCTTGGCATACAATAACCAACACACAAATTCGAAAGCCTCGAAGGCTCCTACCATTTCGCGAACAAGATTATCTACAGCCGTTCACAAGTCTTAAACCAAAAAAGAAAAAGACGGGCTAGTCATGTACTTTTCCATCTTTTCTCAACCATTTCCTCTCTTAATTTTCTATCAAACGTATATATTAACATGGGAGAAAAAAATACATTTGATCTAATTATGAGTTTAGTCCCTCTACTATATCACAATATGAGATTTATTTCTTCTACTTAATTTAGTATAATGATATTAGTACACCCAAATTGATACCATCATTATGGGTTGTTAAAGTGATAATATAAAAATTTCCTTACTATTATTCAGTTACAGAGTTAAAGTCATGAAATCTAATCTATCACATTCAACAAAAAATAAATTACATGTCAATTGAGAATTTAAAATTATAGAAATCATCATTTTATTAGTAACCACTAATAATATCAGTAATTTGTGTTAAAAAATAAGAATAATAAACTATTTACTGATGTAATGACAAAAAAATTGTATTATTATTAGATCGTTATTGAAATCTGATTCGACGTTCAAATCTTGAACAATCTCTGTCCTATTTAGTTTCCGTCCTTAAATTTATAATGATAAAAAAATTTGAGAGAAAATTATTGAAATTAAAGGGGAGGGGTTATATCTTTAAATTTCAATATAGTAAAGGGACTAAAATCAGAATTGTTTTTGTTCAACGGACTAAAATCAAAATTAGACCATTAAATAAAAAACTAAAATAAAAAGACCACCAATCTAATTCTAAGCCACATCATAATAAAATAAAATAAAACCGATTGGAAGTGAAGTTTTAAAGCAAAAACCAATTTATCTGTCCGCTTAACGAGAAGAAACCAAAACTATGGCGCTAACTCCTTTTCCTGCTTCTGCTTCTTCTTCTTATCCAAATCTTCTGCAGTTATCTGCTAAATCTCCATCTCCTTCTCTATATCCTTCCGTACATTATCTTCTCTTCGGTTATCCATGTCCCACCGCTTCGCCCTTTTTGCTTCAAAAGAGCGGACTTCCCCTACTCCCGGTCGCAGTGAAACCTTCTTCTTCTTGTAGGAGCAAGATCAAGTACTTTACTACTAGATCATCCACGAAAGAAGACCGTTTGATCCAACCGGAACCGTTGCCCGCTGATAACGTTGGCAGCGATGATGATGAATTTGGAGGGACTGATGATCCGAACTCGCAGCAGCACCATAACTCTGCAGTTGCGATGCAGAGGACCACTACATCTTCCAGTGATTCTCCATCGCTTGGAATTCGTGAGCCTGTTTATGAGGTTTTTGCCTTTATTATCCTTCATTATAGTGATATAAGTAGAGTTTTACCTTTTCCCCCCATTTATTTCTAATATTAGAAGAAGATAGTTGCATGCAATCATGTATTATGTGTTAATTATGATTATCGTTTCTAGAATTCATTATCATACAATTTGCTAATTACTAATTTGCCATTTTTTCTTAGGGCTTTTTGGATTGCATTCCAGCTTTGTCTTCTTCATTTCCTTTTTGTTATTTTGAATGGTTTATAACTTTATTTATCGTCTTTAATTTCCCCCCTCTAAAGGTGGTAGAGGTGAAGTCAAATGGAGTAGTATCTACAAGAAAGATAAACCGACGTCAATTACTGAAATCAAGTGGTAATATATTTTTTTTCATCTTTTTTCTTATTGTTAAGCTTTACTTGCAGGAAAATAACTTGTCTTTTATTTACTTATTTGTTTATTGTAGATTAATTTTGTTTTACCGTTTTCTTAGGCCTTCGTCCAAGAGACATCCGAAGCGTCGATCCATCATTGTTTTTGACAAACTCGGGGCCATCTCTTCTGGTAATCCCTATTTGTGCTATTCCTTCTCAAGCTTATCCTTTTATTTGCTTTGCTTGGGTCCAATGTATTGGCATTGAGTATCAGTTTTTCTCTCTATATTCCTGTCTAATATGTGCTTGCTAAATCATTTGTCCCTATTCCGTGCTCTAAGGTACGAGAGCATGCAATTCTACTTACGCTGGGATCATTACGAGCAATTGCAATGAGAGATTGTGTTCTTATATTCGACTATCATCGGTAATTTTGCACCTGTGCAAATACAATCTCATTGTTTCATCTCTTCAAACTGACATGGTGAACTTGTTGCATGTGTTGGTCCTTTTTAGCAAAGGCGGAAAGGCTTTTATGGACACATTGTTGCCTCGACTGAATACCATGAATGGAGGGCATTGTATGCCATTCGAGCTTGAGGTTTGTGTCTTTCAGAGAACCCTTACTTTTATATGCTAATGAAATAGGTTTATCTACAAGGAAACTATAATTTTGAACGTCTGTACTTTGTGAGAGACATTTGGTGTGATACTTTTAGGTTGTTGAAGCAGCATTACTTTCACGAATACAGCGGTTGGAGCAGAGACTAATGGATATAGAACCTCGTGTGAGTACGGAAACATAGTGAGTATTTTGTTTGTTTCTTGTTTTTTTCCCACTCTTTTACAAGATTCATGGTGAATTGAGTAAGTCCTAATGAAGCTGCAGACAGCGAATCTCTTGGACATTTACTATAGTGGTTAAAAGCAAATTTCAGTAGTAACTAGTTTTCAAGTTCCAAGTGACTCTACAATGGGAAAGAACAGCCGATTCAAGAAAATTTTATAGGCTCCACTTCTTTTTGTCATTTTTTTGTATCTTTCCTCTATTGTCTCTCACACACAGGCTCAAAAAACTCATTGGTCTTATAGTTAAAAGTTTCTATTAAATCAGCCATTTTCGGTTCCCGCAAGATGTTACAATATTGTCCTATTCCTCTAACAGCTGCATATGAACCAAGTTGCTCTTGATCAACTTGAAACTTTTCTAAGTTTAAGCCTGATCATTCTGTTAAATAGGGAAAGTGTGAGCAAGAGGGTGTCAAGTACTAAGTGTGTTTATGCTAATGGTCACTAACTTGTAAACAACTAAATAATCTAATTGAATACCTAAGATAAGATAGAAAGGGGGTTTTCTATTTTAGAATAATCATTAATCAGTTATCCATGAATGAGCTCAAACTTAAACTTTATGCAGATGCCTGTTATTTCTGTTTAAAAACAATTTTTACCGAGCTTAAGTATGTACAAATTCAAACTTGTGCCTGATAAAAGCTTGAACAAGCAAGCTTATTAAGCCACTCTAAGCATTCCTTAAAATGTTACTAATTCTATTTGTTTTCTGACAATTGATTTGATAAACTTAAAATGGATGTTTTCCTTATAATATATTTTTATACACCTAAACAATTCACTATGATCACCATGATTATTTAAGAACTTACAAGTTTGTACCTTGAGTGCCGACAGTGTCATTATGTGAGTTTTTTTTATAATATGAGCCTGTTTAATCATTGGTGCTCTTTCATATGTGTAGGTTCAAGCTCTGCTTGAAGAGTTGCCTTACAAATTAACCGCTGACATATTGGAGCAACTTCGTATTAGCAAGCAGAATTTGGTATATTAACTTTACAAAATCTTGTTTAGTTGCATAATAATTAATAGTCAATATCTTTATATTTTCCTTTTGTTTTATCATGCTAGGTTGAATTGGGTTCAAGAGCAGGGGCCCTTAGACAAATGCTGCTTGATCTTTTGGAGGACCCCCATGAAATACGTCGAATATGTATAATGGGAAGAAACTGTACTTTGAAAAAGGGAACTGATGAAATGGAATGTTCTCTACCCTTAGAAAAAATGATTGCTGAAGGTACTCTTCTCATTAAACTCAGTTTCGATGTGTACTTTTAAGAAAAGTTCTAATTCAGTTTGGTCCTTTTGCAGAAGAGGAGGAAGAGATCGAGATGCTTTTGGAAAATTATCTTCAAAGGTTTTTCTTTTGTTCCATTAGTTTTGTTAATCAAACAGGTTATCATTTATATTCTTCATTTTTATATTCTTGATGATTGTCAACTTTGCTTGCTAGAGCTTTTGAAATGTCCAAATTTCTCAATGTTGTAAACAAGGCATAAACTAGATGAGGAAGATGTATTTTGAGGTTTGGTTAACACAGGAATAAATAGAGTTTGTTAGAAAAGGGTGACTGTTTGTTTCATTTTCACTGGCCAGGCAGAAGGGCTTATTGTGTGCATGTTCTGCTTTCAATGGCTCCCACTGATTTCAATTTATTGTTGCATTTGCAGATGTGAATCTTGCCATGGTCAGGCTGAAAGGCTTCTTGATTCTGCAAAAGAAATGGAAGATTCTATTGCTGTCAATTTAAGGTATTGATGAAGTTTGATTTGCTTTGGTTTTCAGCATCACCATATCACTTGGGGCTTCTTCAATACTTTATCCTCTAAAATCCCATGATCTTCTTATCTGTGATGCTGATAATTTGAAATTTTAAACCCATAAATAACTTAAAGTTCATTTGCGTCTGAATCCACAATCCTTTAACTAATGAAATAGTGTTCATTGTTTTTTTTTAACTATTTTTATAAGCTCTCGGAGGCTTGAGGTAAGCAGATTGGAACTACTTCTTCAGGTCGGGACATTTTGTGTGGCAGTCGGTGCTCTAGTAGCAGGTTTGTCCTTCCCCCACCAAGAAAAATAGAAGCCAAACCTCTATTGATTACATGCCTGAATGGCAGCTAAAACAAGAATTGGTCAAATGTCTGGTCAGAATCTCCATCGCTTATCCGTTGTAAAAATTGTAAATCTAAGATGCCACAAAATCATGAGTTGTTAGGATGCGCTTGATCACCATGTGACAATAAAATTGTTTTTGTCCAAGTATAATTGTAGGCTAGTTCATGGATTCATCATGTGAAATATGGTGATAGTGTTTTTTTTTCATTTATTTGATTGTTAGAGAGGATGTGGCCTAGAGAAACTGCCTATATTTGGAATTAGATAAAAGTGGGAAAAGGAAAGAAAAAATTAATGTTGTAGTGCCGATTAGAGTGAGAGTTATGAGCATCCATGTCCAGAAGCTCAAGATTATACTTCGTGTTTTTCAGGTATATTCGGCATGAACTTGAGGTCCTATCTTGAAGACCATATGGTATGATTATCGTAAAAAGTTTGAACATTTGGCATCTTCTTACTGCTTCATATGCTCTGCATCGATATGGTTCTCACTTTGCTATGCTAACTTACCCCATTCATTTGCAGTTTGCCTTCTGGCTAACCACAGCAGGGATTTTTGTTGGTGGTGTTGTGGCTTTTTTTCTCATGTATTCATATCTGAGAGCTCGGAGAATCCTTTAAATTTAGGTAAGCTGTTGATTACCTTAAAGCTAGTTTTTTTTAGCCTTTTAGAACATAAAACTAGGAAATTGTTAAACAGAAGCATATATACATTTAAGTATATGTATATTTATGTCGAATTGTATAGACTCGGAATGATTGTATTATTTATTTTTAATATTTTAGCCAGTGCAATTTGCACCACTGCCCATAATAGTTGACCACTAAATATATAACTTTACATGGCTGATGAAGATTCACTGGAAAGAAAAACAAATGTATCGTAATCTAAGCACAGCCGGGCACAAGCTAATGCAAAGGGTCGATTTAGGTTCATGTTTGCATTTGATGCTCGAGCCTCGGTGTTGTGCATTGACGCGGATCAAATTACTCATCTAATTGCTGTTGATTGCTATGAATACGAACAGGCAAGAATTGCAAATTCCAGAATTCTTGCCATATGTTCGTTATGAAAACAGTAGACCAGCAAGCACAAATATGTACAGAAGTAAAGCTACGGTGTTCGGAAGTTGATCAGTGATGAACCTTCGTTCTCCATCTGTTTGGCTTGACAAATTTGGCTTCTTCTTCGATAGTTGCAGAGACATTAACAGACGATGAACCTAATCACAAACACAGAGGAGCAGATTCAGTGTTTGATGAATTTTATCATCTTTATCATCTTTCACGAGTTCAGCTGATGTCCGGGATTTAAATTCTAACATTTACCTCTTTTTCTGATCTATTTTCAAAGGCTGGTTGACGGGATTGAGAAGATTATACGAATAAGGAAAATGTACACTTACAGCCATAGTTCTTCATCGAGAGCGATGGACGCATGAATTTATGTCAGGAGTGTAGACTTAAGAAATTATATTACAATTTAAAGTGTGAAATTATAAAATCTTAAAAAGTGCTAAATTAAATTAACTATATAAAATACAAAGAAAATATTTAAAATATAAAAGAATTTATTTTTTTGTGACATCACTTTAACTCTCGGTTCATCCCTAAATAAAATAATCGTTATAATTCCATGCACAATGTAATCTTACGGCTTCAAATAATCTTTAATCGGAACATTAAATGTTACCTCCTAAAATTGTTATCCTTTGACCCTCGATTTTCTGAAAGCCAATGCACCGAACTGCAGCACCGCTCTGTAAGAAAAGAAGTCACCCGATCAATTCAGAAATCATGACATAAAAGCAACGTTGCGTTGGTAAGGGACGCCTTTAGCACTACGGTTATGTATATTTCCATAATATCATATAATTATCATTATATTAACGCATTAATAATATAAAACTTTGAGAAAGAGCTAAGGCTCTATGTGGTGATTTTGTTTTTGTTGGACTAGGACGTTAGGACGTGGGCTCTTAAGCTCACGAGTCCATGGCTTCGTTGTTAATTATATATGTATTGTATGTATGTCCTTTTATTTATTTGTAATTTAAAAAAGCCGGAGTCTTTGTTTCTTCTTTACCAAAGCCCCTTCTACTCGTGAATTTCTTTCGATGGAAGTCCGGCAAATCTAACCCGTTTTATGTTCCCTTTTTCTCAATCATGGACTTTCCTAGCCCGCCTTCAATGCGGGTTTTGACCCGCCCACCTCCTTCGCCCGTACCCACTTCTTCGAATCCGCCCCCTCCGTTACCACCTTCCTCTCCTTCACTTCCCAGCTCTCCCGACGGTGTCGTTGTGGTGGGTTTCATATCTCGGAGACCTGACAACTCTTTCCAGCTCATTAACAGAGTTGTAGACTCCAACGTGTTCGGGTCAGGTCAAATGGACCGGGTTTTGTCTCTTGACAACGATGAACAAAAGGATTGGTTCAAGCATAGGAGGATTAGTTACTATCATGAAGAAGATAAAGGGATTTTGTTCTTGCAGTTTTCTTCAAATGGATGCCCGGTTTTTGATGGGTCAATGGCTTCCGGGTCAGATTTTGATGGGGTTTTAGAGGAACGGGAGTTCGGGGATCTTCAAGGATTGCTTTTTATGTTTTCTGTAAGTTTTTTTTAGGTTGTCTTGAATTGGTATATTTCGTTGGATTATTAGATATCAGTTTTAATTTGTATTATGTTAGTGTATTAGTTGAAATTGAGTTTCTTTTCCCATTAAATTTATTCACAACCTTAACTTAATCTTGATAAGAAGTTCCTTGGTTATGAGTTAAGAATATAAATATGAGATCAACAAGGCAAGCAATACTTACCAAAAAAAAGAAAGAGGAAATTTGTGGTAGCATTCCCATACCAGTATGTTAATTATTTGGCATTAAAGCTTTACATTCTTAGTTTAGTTTATTGAACTTTCTTTATCGTTTTGGTGTTATATGGTAGTATTATCAGACACTCAGACTACTGGAAATTGAAAACCCTATAAGAAAGCATGTTGTTGAATGCTTACTAATAGTAATAGCCGATATATCTATGATTAACTCAATTAGCAATGCAGGTGTGCCATTTAATCATATACATTCAGGAGGGATCTTGCTTCAATACTCAAAATCTGAAAAAATTTCGGGTGTTGCAAGCTGCTAAGCATGCATTAATACCATATGTAAAATCTCGAACATCACCATTGCCATCAAGGCCTCATTCTTCGTCGTCTTCTCGCACTTCAGCAACACCAACTGCTGCCAACACTTCTCCAGGTAGAACTGGTGGCATGTTGGGTCGCAATGCTGCAGCTATCTCTCTCATGTTAGGTGTAGGTTCCTATACGTCTTTGTTCCCAGGCCAGTGTACCCCGGTGATGCTATTTGTTTTCATTGATGATTTCTCTGATGTACCAAATTCTAATGCTAATAACATCGAGGAGTCAGTAAAGGCATCCTCACTTAATCATTCTTCTAATTCAAGCAGTTTAGCAAAGCCAGCCTTGCCCACAAAAGGTTCTGCTTCTGTAGTAGTGTTGGCACGTCCTGCAAGTAAATCTGAAGGTGGTTTCCGGAAGAAACTGCAGTCATCCCTTGAGGCACAGATTCGGTTTTTAATTAAGAAATGCCGAACACTATTGGGTTCAGAAGGCAGCCACAGTGGGTCAAGAAGTGCGAGTGTTTCAAATTTAGCCCCTCTGTTTTCGCTTGATGCATCCAGGGCTGTTGTGCTGCTGGACAAGTCAACAACTAAGAAAGGGGAATCTCTGGAGTTTGCCACTGGTCTTGTGGAAGATGTTTTGAATGGAAAAGCAACTTCAGATTCCTTTTTGCTCGAAACTCATAGTCAGAGTTCAAACAAAGAAGATCTATCATCTTTGAAGGAATTTATCTACAGGCAGTCAGATATTTTGAGGGGAAGAGGGGGATTGACTAACACCAATAGTGGCCCTGCTGCTGGTGTTGGTATGGTGGCCATTGCTGCCGCCGCCGCCGCTGCCTCAACTGCCTCTGCGAAGACGTTGACTACGCCTGAACTCCCAACTTTAGATATATGGCTGTCTTCTAGTCGGCTTATTTTGAATGGACTACTATCTGCAAAGCGTGGTTGTATAGATGAAACTGAAATTGGTAAAAGAAAACCTCGTCGAAGTACTACTTCTGACGAGGGTGAAGGGGTTGCTTCTAGAAGCAGCGACTCTCTAGATATTGCAGTATCTTGGTTGGAAAGTGGGAAAGGGCTTAACACAAAGTTCTCTAGTTTGTGGTGTGAAAGGGCCCTTCCAGCTGCAAAAGAGATTTATTTGAAAGACTTGCCTGCTTGTTATCCCACATCACAGCATGAAGCTCATTTGGAAAAGGCTCTGCATGCTTTTCACTCTATGGTCAGGGGACCTGCAGTGGAACTGCTTGCAAAGAAGCTGGAGGAAGATTGCACCTCAATGTGGAAATCTGGAAGACAACGTTGTGATGCTGTTAGTTTGACTGGAAAACCATGTTTGCACCAAAGACATGATGTTGAGGCAGGTGAGTTGCCTTCAGGAGCTTTGATGAAACCTCATTCAAGTGGATATGTCTTTCTTCATGCTTGTGCTTGTGGTCGGACGCGGCGATTGCTATCTGACCCTTTCGATTTTGAATCGGCGAACATTTCCTTCAATTCCTTTCCTGAATGTGACAAGCTTCTGTCAGCGCTCCAACTACCAGAAGTAAGCAGCCAAGGACCAATTCAACCATCTTCCTGGAGTTTGATTCGTATTGGCAGTGCAAGGTACTATGAACCTTCTAAAGGCTTACTTCAGAGTGGGTTCAGTACCGGTGAGAAGTTTCTTTTAAAGTGGAAAATAGTTTTAGAGAAACAGAAAACCCCAAATGGCTTATCAACAAGATCTACACAACTTGGTTCTGTGGGTAGGTCCAGTAGAGATCCTAAGGCTGAGACTAATGCTGATGTTCAATTGAAGAAGGCTAATTCCACAGAGGTCTGCTCTGGAGAAAGAGAGAATGTTGTTGAAAATCCAAAAAAAACCTGGGATATCAGCAAGTTAAATGGTAACAAGATCAGTTTTGGTAGAGGCCTTCCCAATTTCATGATGAAAAAACCTTTTTCGGAAGTTGTTGCTGGATCAGCAGCTGCAGATTCAGGATTCCCTCCTCTTCAGCAGAGGAAACAGCCTTTATCAGGGATAGAAAAAGGAACAAAGAAACATAAGGCAAGTGCTCTCAGTTTGGAAGGGGCTCATTCAACTGTTGATCAAGGATCTCAAAAACCCATACAGATGTCATCTGTTACTCCAAACTTGAATCAAGTAATTTCTGATGCTAGCGCTGATAGTGATCCTTTTGTACGAATTGGCAGTAATTTTGTTCCTGTGAATATGAGCAATGATGAAAAGGCAAAACTGAACTCTAAGATGAAGCATGTGATGGCATATGTTGGTTTTGAGCATGAGTGCCCTCATGGCCACCGTTTCTTATTGAACCCAGAGCATCTCAACCAACTTCAGCCCCCATATTCATTGTTTGAAGAATGCTCTGTGGAAGCTTCAGACCTCACATCAGCAGATTCTTCAACAGTGGGCAAGAACAATGGGCAGGGTAAAGTTCATCGGAATACAAATGGTATTAAAGTTGCTTCTGTAAATAAGGTGAAAAACAAGGATGAGGCAAAAAAGGTGGTGGGAAATAGTAACGTCATCAAAGATGGGCTGCCGCTACTTCCTATGCGTGAAGAGCATAATCAAACATCTAAGAATGTAGCAGATCTGCCTGTCGCTGTAAGAGACCTTGAAAAAGGCTTCCATTCTGTTAGCCTCGATGATGATGGATCCTCTTTCTCCATGGTAAATAGAGATTTACCAATATACCTGAAGTGTCCACACTGCAGGTCTATCAGGAATAAAAAAGAACCGTCAAAGGTTAAGTTTGCAAGCACAATATCGCAGCTTCAGAGAATTTTTCTGGTATAGTCACAAAGTCTTTGCACGATTTTCTTTAAACTTTCTTCAACTTGTTTATAATGTAGTATCAGTTTAATGACCACATGCCCTTTCAGATTGATATGGAATCTTTTCAATTCCATTCATGTTCATCTTCTCAGAATGCATGATTTTTATTGATTTTTGATTGCTTGAATGTGTTAGAAGGGACTCTTGACATCTGAGGCAGGATAGTTCTCATGCTAATTGGTTCTGTCTGCCCAAGTAATCAATGTTGTATTGGACAGTTTGTTAGATGCTTGAAAAATCAAAATTCTGACATAGTGAATACTTGGTTCTAGTGACATAATCTATGATAAATTTATAGTATCATCAATTGGGCTAGAAAGTACATGCTTCTCGCTACATGTATGTTGATGTAATTGTGGTCATCTTTGTGTCTTATAGAAGGTGGTTTTTCTCATGGTGTACTGTTTTCTCCTAAAACCAATATACAATGTCTTGAAAGAAAGACAATTGTTTGGGGAAAGAAGCAAAAGCAAGAAAGGCCCTTTTTGATAAAAATAGGAGACCTCATTAAAAACCTCCCTCATATTAGTCCCTTTCCCGAAGGAAAGAACCTACCAGCAGAAGGAGGAAAAGAGTACCTCAGTTTATTAATAGAACAGAATTACATAAGACTTAATAAATAAACCGAGTACAGCAGCTTTAAAAAACAGAAAGAAACAGCAACAGTACCCTTACAATCACCCAATCCCCTCCTTCGCTAAATTATCAGCCTCACAATTACAAGCCCTTGGAATCAACCTAACTATAGACGCCTTATCTGTAACAAGGGACACAATCTCCTTTACTAGGAATAGCACAGCTATTATCTTCTTTGTTGATAGTTTGATAAGTGGAGTGAATCATCTGGACAATGGCCTCCAAATACCTAATTATTTTTCATGGAATGATCAAAGTATAATTCTGGAACTTCAGTAAGCTATGCTTAGCTGCCAGAAGTTTCGTCTGTCGCATTTTAGGTGACTAATACATGCAATTTATCCTTTTTTTACCTTTAGTTACAATGTGGCTGATTGTTAGAATTTCCTTCCAGGTCACACCTCCCTTTCCTGTTGTTTTGGCAGCTTGTCCAGTTATACAGTTCAAGGTATATCTCACTTCCACATGCATGACCTTTACTTCCACTATTTATGATATTCAAATGATGTTTTTACTACTCCCAGCAAACCTTATGTACTTGAGGATTTTGGTTGGGGCACTTATTTTTATGTCATCGTCTGATTTTTTCCTTTATTGATATCATAGCAACTTGATGATAAAGTGGAGGCTGATAGCTTCTATGACATGCATCTGTCATGGGAATAAAGTTTCTTAAGCTTAATATGCTTTTACGAACCGATCAGTGATTTTGCCTCTGTTATTTTCTCTAAATTAATAGTAAGAATTTTTTGTAGGCATCTTGCTTACCCTCATCGGTTCCAGACCGCGAACAAAAGTTGCAGTTCAGCCTTGGATGTAAAGTGATCTTACCACCAGAGAGTTTTCTTGTACTGAGACTGCCATTTATATATGGTGTACAAGTGGATGATAAAAGTGTGCATTCTCTGAACCCATCTGAAGATAAACCTGAAGATACTGGTTGGATTGTTAGGGGCACAGCTTTGCAACTTATGTCCAAAGGAATTGGTCTGAATGAGGGGTTTTACAAATAGTTGAAGTCGCGGAACCTAGAATGTCTAAAATCGATATTTGCAAACAATGATGAATCTGCAGAGGCCGAGTTGTGTGACCACCTCCTTCTAGACTCAGGTGAGAGGTTTGGGCTTTCAGAAAGATTCTTAATAAGCTGTTATTGTTTAACCTTTAATTTATAATTCGTTAACTTGTAAATTTTTTTCTTCTCAAAGTGGCATTGTTTATAAATTATATCCTCTCTCTTACTTTATGCACTTCTTTCGTAAAGAAGGATTTTCGTTTTCTTTGTATTTGAGCAAATTTTTCTTAAGCATTATGAGTTTGAAAGCATGTCAATAGAAATGTGAAATTTTAACTACGTTTCCTTTTGAAGATGTTGCATTAATGGGGATAAGGCTCGAGTTAGAGCTTTAATGGCCCAGAAGGAATTCTCGTATAGCCGGTTGATGTTTCAGTTTCAAGTTTGGATCCACCTAATGAAAGTTCTACTTGGTTTGAATGTCCTTAAGTTAGAGTTAGAGACTAGGATTGGATCCGAATATGTATAATTAGGATATCTCTGTATCTCCTCCTCCAGAATGACCTCAACTAAGTGTGAAATTTATTTTTGGATATATTTGCAGAGCAGTGATATTCATGCATTTGGTAATTAGTGATGTTGATAAGAAAGCAGAGGTAAATTGCTAATGTTTAGTCATTCTCAGGTATGAAATTTATTTACACCCCTTCATGGTGAAAAGGACAATAATTATCATTCTAAGATAGTTGGGCTTCATACTAAAATTGTAACTTGGGACTTGTAGGTGGCTGGTGCTCTCAAGTGGGGCTTCGTGGTGATGTGTATGTTCTCTATGCCCTGACTTACCTTCTTTTGCCTATACTCTAAAAGATGAGTGTGAGTGCGTGTATGACTTGATTTTCTTTAAAATAACTATGTCAAGCTTGGTTCTTTAAATGCATGAATGTGCTGAACTTGTATGGATAATGTGTGGTTGTAATGAATGATTGGGAATGGATGCCTATGTTACTTGGACTTGGGTGTGAGTGTCGGATACGGATATGTGTTTGACACGAGCATGTTCATTTTGTTAAATCTTTGCATGTATTGGGAGAATCATATCCCCATATCCTTGTTCGAATATGCGTCCGACATGGGTGATAGAAGAACAATGAAGAGCTTTGATTAGGAGATATTTTGATGGTTACTAGTATTGTTTTATAGCTTATGCATCTTCCCTTTACAAATTGTTCTTGGATAATGAGAATTAAAGTGTTAGAAAAGGTAATTTTTATTGTTTTTATTCTTCAATGTCACTCTTACTCCTCGCGTACCATGTCTTACTTTGTTTATTACATGCTATAGAATTAACTTTATTTAGGTGGTGCAACTTGATTTAAAGTAGTGGTTATTGCAGCTTGTGGATTGGTCCTGGCCTTCAAGGAATCAAGCATGCTGCGTCGGTTTATGTCTTTTATCGAGCTCGAAGAACTGATGGTGGAACAACTTCAAAATCTCACTGCATGCACCTGTTTTTTATGCTTGGGGAACCTGAAATGCCATGGTGAAACAAGTTTCATTGTTGTAGACATGGTCTTCACTTATTCCACCCAAAAAAAGAACAAGATGTATAAACATTGGGAATTCAGAAACAAAAAGGTGCAGTAGGCAGAGACACATTCATAATGAGCCTAGCTGCCCCCTGCTTATATATTAGAGACCATTTTGCTACTATTCTTATTATTATTGAAAAAAAATATTTGATTTACATTTTCTATAAAATTGAAATTCTATAAGTATGTTATTAAATGATCATAAACTAAAATCTGAAACCAACAATGATTTATTGAACTTTGAACCAAAAACCCGAATGATGTGTGTTCATATATTACTATTCACGTCATAATTACACGATAAAAAAGTATTAGTTCTAATGAATGTAAAGCTTATTTATGTGATTTATTTCACTGGCAATGACGTCTGATTTCACATTGAATATAATCCTTACAAAAATTTGAGATTGAATTGGAATATTGTTGATCCATATTTTGATATAACAATTTATAACAAAATATTTTTGGACTTGAATTGAATTTATTTAAAGTTTTCAAAAATAATTCAAAGTCTATTTAAGTTAGAATTGAATACAAAATTTGTTTATGAATAGTATTGTATTGTATGAATAGTGCCGATAATGTGTGAGCAGTACCGATGCTAAAAAACATCGAATGCAAAATGAGTACCGATACTGTTACAGTAATATCAAGCCCAACGATCAAAAATTCAAATATTACAAAGGTAGTACCCATACTCATTGAAGGAGTACCGATACTACTTGTTCTGGGCAGTTTTATTTTACAGAAAATGAATCTCTAACGACTCCAAAACATCCTAACTGCTAGATTCGACTTCAAACTAATTTCAAGCTATAAAAACAAGCTGAGGATACTTGAAAACATATAGAACAACTATCCAAGCAATCAAACACAAGAAAATAATTTTTCAATCTTATTTCATATTTCTCTTGTAAATTTTTTGTTTTTGTGAGTTTAATTCTTGTAAACACCTACCTTAGAGAGGTTTTCTTGTTTACATTTCTTTTCATTGTAAAGGTGTTTTGGTTCTAGCTAAGCCCGTGAAAAGCTAGGGAAATGTTCTAGTTTAGCTCATGAAAAGCTCAGGGAAATGTTCTAGTTTAGCCCGTGAAAAGCTTAAGGAAATGTTCTAATTTAGCCCGTGAAAAACTATGAAGTTTATAAAGGTTATCTCTTTGTCCTTGAAAAAGAAAGAACAAATTAGTGAATTTGTTAGAAAATCCTTGGTGAGGAACTAAAGTAATGGACGTAGATTTGATTGATAAGTCGAACCACTATAAATCGTTGTGTAATTTTTTATCTTTCAATCTTTTTACTCTCTGAACACAAAAACTGATCCAACTCCTCTTGATAAATTCTTTTGTTTGTCTATTCTTGCTTCCGCAAATCCTAACAAAAACAGTTAGCGAATGAATGGATTGAAATCAAATCATCCCCTACTTGTCTTTTCACTGTTTTTACATCATGAGTCAGAGTGTTGGGTGACAATTATTCAAGCATAAATTTGGGATTATTGCCCCAAAATCTCAGAAAAAAAAATACATTTAGTATATATTTTATAATTTAAATATTTACAGTACAGTTATGGATTATCTTTTCATTTTAGAAAAAAAAATATACTTTATTTATTTTGAATTATAATTCTGACTCCATCTCTAGGTCTGATTATCTATTATACTCCTATGCATATATATATGATTCCGATTTCTGACAAGATATTTTTAATTTAAATCTAGTTAGATTATTATTTAATAATCAAATATATTTTTATTTAAATATTTTAAAAAGATACTAAGTTAATAAATAGTTATAAAAACCAAGATTTTTAAGTCACTTGATTCCGATCTATCACAATATTTACTAATATTTTATTTGTTTTAATTTAATATGGTTTTTTATTCGTTGAGATAAAATATATGAAGGAAAAAATATAACAATTGTTTTTAAATATATAAAAGTTTTTATAGTGATAATTATCTTAAATTACGTTAATAGATTTGTATCTTGAATGCAACTTTGATTCTGTGAAACACGAAGCTTATCCTAACTATATTTCAGGAAAATCCTAGCCTATGATATAGAACTGGAGTAGGGTGATGCGGTGGGCATTGACAAGTATCGTTGAACGTCGTCCTGGTTGCTATACACGCTACCCAAAGGCGTCGCGGTCGCCGCATACCGAATGAATTCGGGATCATTTAAGAGGCACACACCACAAAATAACACAAGAAAGAGATTAACGGCTTTCAATTACTCATAAAACCGACGAACGGATTTGGATTGGACCCATCCCACCTTCAATTATTCTCGGTTTGTGGACACACCTTCAATTATTGTTCCGTCACAGTGTTTTCCTTCCATATCTCGAACTTTTTCACTTTCATTTTCTTTATCATCCATCTTATATTCGAAATAAAATTGAAATATTATCATATTACTTTATTTTGGTATAATTAATAATACTTAGCTCCAAATAATTAATTTGGGAAATAATCAAACGGCTGAAATTTTGATATCATCATCACCATATATACTGATGTTGGTTGTAGTGAGTGGTGGTGATTAAACTAAGACCGACCATGAAATTGCTCTCATCATTCCACTCGTCATACTTGAGTCACTCTCCAACCAAAACACTATTAAATTGTAATTTACAAAATAAATTAATCAATAACCATGCATGTTGATGTTACTATTAGTCCATCAATTATTTCTCTTTAATTATTAAGGATCTCATAGTATATTCTAATGCTAATTTAAGGACTGTGGTTGACGTTATGTGTATCATTATAATATAAGATAACACGTCGCCCTGATATATAAATTTTCTGTTAATTTAATTTTGGAAAGTTGAATTTTCGATTTTTATAATATAAATGGTATTTTTGTATGTATTAATTATATTTACATATATATTAATTCAAATTTTATTATCGTTACCTGTTTATAGATAAAACAAATCAAATGTTATACAAGTTGTGGCATTTTTCTCCATAGCCTTCTCTAGGCCATAGAAATGAGAAATGACGTACGATATCAATGTTCGATCGAGTCAAAAAATTATAGTTGACGAGTTATATTTTATAATTCAATTATGCTTTTTTAAATTGAACCGAGTTGTTCGAGTTTTTGTTTAAACCTAATTGTAAAAATTTATAATATTACGATACTATCTGATTCTAATTTAAACATTTTTCTATAACCATAACAATACATATATATTTTCTCATATTTTCTTCATATGTATTATATGTGTGTATATATATATACACACACAAATATATATATATATATATATAGAGAGAGAGAGAGAGAGAGAGAGAGGAGTAGGGAATCAACTCCCACTAATCACTAAAAACTTTGAGTTATTCCAGTTATCCGAGTTCAATTTTATAACTTGATTTGAATTTAAAAATTTTTTGAGTTGAGTCGAATTTATGAAATTACAACTCGAAATTAATTCAAGTCAAGTTTTTCAAGTCGAGTCGAGTCAAATTTTTTCAAGTCGAGTTGAGTAAAAAAATTAAATTTTATAGTTGAATCGAATTTTATTCACCTTTAATGACATATTGATTTTCTAAAAGTCATTTTATTAGGAAAAGGGAGGAAGAATTATCTCTATTAACTCTTTAAAAGCCACCAAAAATATCGTGGAAGTTTGTTCAAGGTTCATGATAATTTTGTTTATATGATGCGTCGTCTCATGGTTGTTTTAAAAGTCAACTTGACTAATTATTAGAATAATTTAAATCGTATATATGGTAATTACTTAATACGATAATTATTTTTTATAAGTAAACTTTTTTTGATAAATAGTAATAATTTATACTTTTTTTCTTATTGTTAATATGTCAAAAAATAATTTATATTTATTTACGTGAGAAGTGACCTACTGATTAACCAATAGTCGAGGAAACTAAAGAGCATCAAATCATGAACATGAAGATGACCTCAAACTCCATTAAAAGGCAATCACAAACTCTTATAATTTGTTCTTTCATTATTTTTTGGCACAATAATAATTCATCGAATTTTTTTATGTAAATAGAGCTGTTAATTTATTAAAAAGAAAAATAGTTAAAATTATAATAAAATTAAAAAAATTAAATAAAAATGAATATTTTTTTTATAAAATAATCAATCACTCGAGATCATAGAATAATCATATAATAAAAATGTTAAAATTTATCCAAAAAGCTTGAACAAAATATAGATACAAACTAACTACAACATAAAATTAAACCACTGAAAGACCATCTAGAATCACAAATCATATCTGAGTGCTGTGAGAAAATATATACGGATGCAAACTATGTATCCAAGTCTAATCCAAAGATCAAAAGTAGGAAAGATCATTAAAATAATAAATAATCGTCATCTTGATCAACTGTAATGACGTTAAATCTAATCTTGAAAAAATTAAATAAAAGAGAAATGATCAAACAACCGATATTAAAAATAAAAAACAAGCAATAGAAATAAAGAAAAATATAATAGGAATATAGAATTATTGAAAATTATGAAAATCAAACAAGACAAAGATATGATATAAAAATATAAAAAAGTTAAAGAAATATAGACGGCTGGTCGCTAGTTTACATTTGTTTAATGTTACATTGAAATTGTACTTTTGTGATGACTGTTAAATTCACGGTGCAATTATTGGGAATACAAGACATGACTCTGATGTGAAGTTATAGAAAAAGTTTCGTATATAAATGACGTAATGTTGATTTGATATCTTGTTATTCAATTGGTTGCTTATATTTATCTTATTGAAATCAATAGTACTTATAATGGCACGTCAAATAAATTATTAATATATTCAAGGGGTACGAATTCAGCATAAATAAAGTGATTTTAATGTTTAAAATATTATTTTATTTTTAAAGTTTCGAATTTGAGTATTTAATATATTTAATGTTAAATGATTAGAGTATTTGAACATATATTATTTTGTACTCATTTAGGGTAATAAAAAAAATTACACAAATAAAACAATCTTAATAGTTAATGAAATTATTGATATCTTTACATATTACGAGGTTGAACACATCATTTATAGAGGTGTTTGAATGTTTATTATCAAATAATTGAGAGTTTTTCAAATATATAATATCTTATAATCATCTAATAAAAAACAAACATATCTAAGTGGCAAGTTTTATCTTCTTATACCATTGTGTCACCTCTTTCTCAATTGCTTGGCTTATTTAAGCTAAGGCCAAGTTTTACTAACATTTTTTCTTAATACAAGATTAGGGATGCTAACGAACAAATCGAGGGAAGTCATTTGAATTCAATTTTAATTATAATAATAAATTTTGATTTAATCTAATTTCAATATGTTTTTTCTAGTTTGAAGTTGAATTATGTAAAAATTGTTAATATATCATAAAAATAGTATAATATTACTTGTAAACTTGCATGCAGTATAAGTAAAATGTTGTAAATTTCTTACGTTGCATTTTAATGAATCAAATTTGTACATTTTGTAAATATTTAATTTATGATGGAACTAGTTTTATCTGATACGTGGACAGTTAAACACGAAGTTCGTTGCTTTTAACTATTGACTACGACGATGAGTGCCGAGTCAGAAAGGGGTAAACCTTTCGCCATAAAAACTGATCGAACGGTCCAAAAAGAAACAGTAAAAAAAGACCCACGTGATGAAGGGTGAGAGTGCGGGTCAGAGAAAGTTAATAAAACGACGGCGTATCATTGGTGCACCCGAAGATTCTGAAACTATAAATAAGCAGCGTGACGAACTTCGAAACACACACACAATCCAAATGCCTGCTTTCTCTTCGTAAATCATCTTCTTATTCTCCTTCCTTTCCCCTTATAATTTGTTGTTGAACAAAAACAAGTTTCTGAGAGAAAATGTGTGGGATTTTAGCCGTCTTGGGTTGTTCCGATGATTCTCAAGCGAAAAGGGTTCGAGTGCTGGAACTCTCCCGCAGGCAATTACTCTTTCTCCGTTCATATTTGATTAAATGATTATTATTAACGTGGTTGAGCTGAAATAAATAAGCGATTAATTGATTCGATTTGGATGACGTAAGAACAGGCTGAAGCACCGTGGTCCAGACTGGAGTGGGCTCCATCAACATGGCGACTGCTATTTGGCTCATCAGCGCCTCGCAATCATCGACCCTGCTTCCGGTGACCAACCTCTCTTCAATGAAGACAAGAGTGTCGCCGTCACGGTATCTCCTCATTGCTTCTCTCGCTTTACTTGTATAGTTGTATATTATTTTCCCTTTTTTAGCCAGTTTTGCATCACCTGGCCTTATATGCCTTTAAAGTTTAAACTGGAAACAAACAAATATTTGGCTACTCTATTAGCTTCCCATATATTTATGGCCAAACAATAATGCCTGTGATTAAATGACTTCTAATATATACTATTTAATTTTCAAAAAACATATTTATAAGCCTGACATAAACATAAATATATTCAATTTTAGGGTAAAATATATTAGAGGATTGAAATATGTTAAAATGATTTTTCTCCGTATATTTTCGAATATCATAAAATAATCATTACACTTCTCAAATGATTGTAAAATTATCATTAAAATTTATCAAATTATTATAAAATGATCATTAAATTAATTGAATTATTATAAAATCATCGTTTATTTATCAAAATTTATTATTATTTAGAGCAAAGTACACAAGTGGAGGGAGTTGCTTTGTTGAGTCCCTCGAATATTAAAAGTTACAAAATGATCCTCCGATAATAGGGAGTTACTTTATTGAGTCACTTGACTATTAAAATTTACAGAATGATCACCTAACTATTCATTATGTTCCAAACTAATCTTTTTTGTTAAAAAATTAACGGTCGTTTAAGCTAGACTTTAATATGCTGACTAAGATATGATAATCATTTGAGATTATGAGAATAGATTTTATCATATTTCAATCAGTAGGTTAACATCCAACTCAGACCGTCGCCAATTTTTTAATAGAAAAGAATGAGTTTGAAACATAATGAATAGTCGAGTGATCATTTTGTAACTTTTAATAATCAATTGACTCAACAAAGTATCTCCCTATAGTGGGATCATTTGTGTACTTTATCCTATTACTTATCATGTAATAGGGATATTTTATAATAATTTACTAGGGTAAATGATTATTTTATAATGTTTGAAAGTTTACTGATAAAATAGATTATGTTGACATAGTTCGGTGATCTTTTGGTATACTTTGTCCAAAATTTTAACTAAAAATCAAACTGACTTCTATTCATGTCAAATTTCTCATACTTGGAAGGAAATAAGAAGAAGAAAAAAACCGATTTAATTAACTTAACCGACGAAGTTGATTTGCTTAGATCCGTCAAGACCCAAGTTGGCCGGTTTATTAATCGTTTTTTCAACGAACATATCGATGCTCACCCATAACTAGAGCAACTTGACTCAACAATAATGAAGTCAATTTCGGGTTTTTTATTCAAGACAATCCCGGGTAGCTTATAAGCACACAGATGTCTCGTTTACACCTATACAAACCATCCCTTTCTTAGGTTCTATTGAGAAAGATTATTAACGAAGAGTAAAACATGTTAAAAACCAGGTGAATGGAGAGATTTACAACCATGAAGAACTGAGGAAGAAGTTGACGAACCACAAGTTCAGGACAGGCAGTGACTGTGATGTTATAGCCCATTTGGTAAGCTGATCTGCCAATTTATGTGGATTTTATTGTGTGAATTATTGGTCCAACGACTACTAAATTGTCGCTTCAACTTATATAGTATGAGGAGTACGGTGAAGGCTTTGTGGACATGTTGGATGGGATCTTCTCATTTGTGCTGTTGGATACCCGTGACAATAGCTATATTGTTGCTCGTGATGCTATTGGGGTCACCTCACTCTATATTGGCTGGGGACTTGATGGTATACATTATAATTTTTTATTCATTTTAGTTTAGGTTTGGTTTTTATTAACCTTTTTTCCTACTTGTTATATTCAGGTTCGGTTTGGATTGCGTCGGAAATGAAAGGATTGAACGATGATTGTGAACATTTCGAAAGCTTTCCTCCTGGTCATTTGTACTCGAGCAAATCGGCAGGTTTTAGGAGATGGTATAATCCACCTTGGTTTTCAGAGGCAATTCCCTCGGTTCCCTACGATCCTCTTGTTCTTAGACGTGCATTTGAAAATGTAAGCACTGATTTTAAGTCTTTACATGTATATCATCGCGGAATTGCCTATTTTTCTGATACATGTCATACTTACTACATTAAAATTTACAGGCTGTGATCAAAAGGTTGATGACTGATGTGCCTTTTGGAGTTTTGCTATCTGGAGGCCTGGATTCATCATTGGTTGCTTCCATCACAGCTAGGTATTTGGCTGGTACCAAGGCTGCCAAACAGTGGGGAAGTCAGCTCCATTCTTTCTGTGTTGGCCTAGAGGTAAATTCCACTATTTTAAAGGATTCAGATTTGATTTCGGATAAGAGTATATCTCATACATGGATATGTTTAATTTTTCATTTTAAAGATCCTAGGAAGGTCATATCTTATATCCATGTCCGAATATGTGTTAGAAATGAATGTCTGATACATATACTTCAGCAAAAATGATTTTACAACTAGTATCTCAATATGCTTGCAGGGTTCACCAGATTTGAAGGCTGCAAGGGAGGTGGCAGACTATTTGGGAACTGTTCATCATGAGTTTCACTTCATCGTTCAAGTAATGTACTTTTAATTCGAGATATTCAGAGTCTAATACTCGTAGAGCAAAGCTAATTTCCCCCCTAAAATGTAACAGGATGGAATTGATGCCATTGAAGATGTCATTTACCACGTCGAAACCTATGATGTTACCACTATCAGAGCAAGCGCTCCTATGTTTCTAATGTCACGGAAGATTAAGTCAGTCGGAGTCAAAATGGTTATGTCCGGTGAAGGCTCCGATGAGATTTTCGGTGGATATTTATACTTCCATAAAGCGCCAAATAAGGAGGAACTCCATCAGGAAACATGCCGCAAGGTAATAATCATTTCTCGAAATATCCGTGTTGAAAATCAGTTGTATGATAAAGTTTTCGAACGTACTGCAGATCAAAGCCCTTCACCAGTATGATTGCCTGAGAGCTAACAAAGCAACGTCTGCATGGGGATTGGAGGCTCGAGTCCCTTTCTTAGACAAAGAATTCATCAACGTTGCCATGTCTGTAGACCCTGAATCAAAGATGGTATATATGTATAAAACTATTGTTGAAGTTGCTTGATTTATTCATAAGTGGCTGAGATTTAATTCTCTGTTTGCTATGCGTCAGATTAAAAAAGATGAGGGACGTATCGAGAAGTGGATTCTTAGAAAAGCCTTTGATGATGAAAACCATCCCTATCTGCCAAAGGTGTGTTATAACATTCATTGTCTTTGATCTTCGTCAAAACACAAGTGAAAAACGAACCAAATTAACTGTCTTGTTTGATGTCCTGCAGCATATCTTGTACAGGCAGAAAGAACAATTCAGTGATGGTGTTGGTTATAGTTGGATCGATGGTATCAAAGCCCATGCCGCTGAACATGTGACTGAAAAGATGATGCTTAATGCTTCCCACATCTACCCTCACAACACACCAACCACAAAGGAAGCCTACTATTATCGGATGATTTTCGAGAGGTTCTTCCCTCAGGTGATTCTTTATATTATTCGGACTTAAATATGAAATTCGATTACTAAAGAGATGTAATTTCTAATGTTTCTTGATTTTACCAGAACTCGGCACGATTGACAGTCCCTGGAGGAGCCAGTGTAGCATGCAGCACAGCAAAGGCCGTCGAATGGGACGCCACCTGGAAGAACAACCTCGACCCATCAGGCAGGGCGGCACTGGGAGTCCATGTCTCAGCTTATGATGCCGAGACACCTCTCAGCAACAAGCCATCCAAGATTATTGATTCGATACCAACGATGGAGATTCCTGAAGTCGCCATACACGGTTAGTGCCCGGAGAATTGAAGCAAAATGGCTGAAACTAGTGCCGTATTAGAATGCTATGCCGTATGCTATAGGTGATATTTAAAAGTGTTATTATATATGTGTGTGTTATATCGTTTAATCATTATTCTGTTGTTATATCAAGCTTTTGTTTATGTAGTTCAAGTGTGTAATCGATATTTTATAGTGGAAGTTAATTCTTTAATGAGAAATCATCCCTTTTCTTTTTATACTGTTCGAATATATATAATAATCTAGGGTAAAGTACATAAAGGGTCTCCCGACTATAGGATATTACATTATTGAGTCATTAGAATATTAAAAGTTACAAAATGGTCCCTTGATTATAAGGCATTGCATTGTTAAAGCCTTTGACTATTCAAAGTTATAAAATGATCACTCGACTATTCATTATGTTTCAAACTCATCCTTTTCTGTTAAAAAAATAATAACCATCTGAGCTGGACGTTAACATGCTGACTGAGATATGACAGTCGTTTGAGATTATAAGATCATATTTTATTATATCTCAGTCAACAAGGTAACGTCCAGCTCAGACTGTTGTCAATTTTTTAATGAAAAAGGAATAGTTTGGAACATATAAATAGTTGAGTGATCATTTTATAACTTTTAATAGTTAAGGTACCCAACAAAGCAATACCTTATAGTCATAGGATCATTTTATAACTTTTAATAGTTAAGAGACTCAGTAAAATAACACCCCATAATCAAGGGACCATTTGTGTACTTTACCCAATATATTATAATCGTTTGATCATTATATAATTTTTTATTCCAAAATGTTGTGAAATATGTAACTGATATTTTGTAGTGGAAATCTTCCAATTTCTTCTTACGATGGAATTCATCAGTGATGGATGTAGTTTTACAAATTTAGATAACATTCGAATTTAAATGTAATATTGATTTTTAAATAATAATAATTAATTTTACTATAAATATAAATAAAGATTATTGTCAACAATGAAACCTTTAATTAAATTGGGCTTGACAATTTTATTTTGAATTTCGGCATGAAAGCCCAAATGTTTTTAAACAAACATCACTTCTAGATTTTTCTTGACAGCCCAACACGAAGCCGACATTATATTTCTATTATTTATATGAACTCCGAGAATCACTTTTACGCCTCTTTCAAATCACCACTTCCTCCGCGTAATCGCCATACCCAGAGCTTTGCAATCCCCTCTCAGGTTCTATCTTCTTTCTCTTCCTTTATTGTATTCGTTAACTCATGTTCCTTTGACTTCCTATTTCTGCTAATAACCTTTTCTGGGTTTTCGTTTCTTAACGATTGTTATGTAGAAGGGAAAAAATTGATGTGAGGTTTTTCTAAAGGAAAAACACTTTTAATTAATGTTACATTTTTGGTTAATTATTCACTTCTATAGAGATTTCTAGGAAGCACAAGAAAATTAACAAACAATGGATTCTTAATGAGTTCTGTCTTCGATTTTGTGATGCTGAGTCTTCTAATTTATATCGAAAATATCTGTTATTGTCTGGTTTTATGCCTTTTTTACTTTGTTAATGAATTTTTGTGTCTTATGGTTCAGGTTTTGGAACAACGAGGAACGATTTGCAGCAGTCATGGCCAAGCATCATCCCGATTTGATCATGTGCAGGAAGCAACCTGGCATCGCAATAGGACGACTGTGTGAGAAATGCGATGGCAAGTGTGTAATCTGCGACTCCTATGTTCGTCCTTGCACGCTCGTCCGGGTCTGCGACGAATGCAACTATGGTTCCTTCCAAGGTAGGTGTGTTATCTGTGGAGGGGTGGGAATATCTGATGCATATTACTGTAAAGAGTGTACGCAACAAGAGAAAGACCGGGATGGTTGTCCGAAAATTGTTAATCTTGGGAGTGCTAAAACTGACTTGTTCTACGAGCGTAAGAAATATGGCTTTAAGAAACGATGATAGCCTTGTAATGATTAGGTTTTTCACCGGTGCTTTTATAGCTTGGAATGGCACATTTGAGAATGTTTGAATTGTTCTGTTAAAGTATGTGGCCGGGAATGAAACAGTTAGAATGTTTGGATTGAATCATATTTGTCTGTTAGATGATGTTATCTTCAAGCACAATGATAGTATGGTGTGCCGGATTAAAATTCTATCTGTTATGCCAATAGCATGTCTTATTGTTTATGAACTTCTATTCAGTGATTTACACTCATACCTGATTTGTGCTCATAGTCTTGCATTTATATGTCTATGGGATTACTTTCCTTTGGCTTCAAAGGATAATATTAAGTGAAAGGTTTGTAGATGATGAAATGAGTCCCAAACCTGATGGACCTTATCTTTCAAGAGTTAGTGTGTACCAACTAGACTACATCTGGGGTTTTGGTCATGAAACCCTATTCGATATCGGTTCGCACCTTAAGCTTTTTTTAAGTTAAAAACCTTGTAGGTCCCTTGTCATAATTCCACAGCTTCATGTGATTTATTAACTCTTCTAAAATGCGACTACACTTGGGTGCTGGCCTTCCCCTAATGTTATTTACTAGGCTACACTGGTTGAATCCACAGCATTATTCTTTCTCTATTTTTTCGTCTCAATTGCATTTCGGTAGTGCAATCACTGCTGCTACTACTACTACTAGGCTGAAAAGGCGTTTGCGGTATAGGGATTGAAGTTGTTAGATATGGGTATCTATAAATTTGAAATCAACAAAATCGTTTGAAGATAACCATTTAGTCAAATACACGATTACCCAAAGCCAAAAGGGATAAACCAAAATCCTCGGGGAATCCTATTGGGGCGCTCAGCCTATCTCAGCCATATATAGGAGCGTGTTTGATCGACTTAAGTTAAAATATTTTGAGTTATTTGAGTTGATGAGTCTTATTTTATAATTTAAGTTTTATTTGATATTTTTTATTCAAGTCTAATTATTTAAGTTTTTATTTAAATTTAATTATAAATATTTTATTATATTATTATTATTTGATCTCAATTTAAATGGTTTTCTCTAATTATATATATATATTCATATTTTTTATATGTAATATATATAATATAAAATTGATGGATTTGATTTAAACTTGAAAATCAATTCACTAATTATTAAAAATGTTGAGTTATTAGATTTTATTTTATTACTTGATTGGAATTCAAAATTTTTTTGAGTTGAATTAAAAACACTAATTTTTAGTGAAAGGGAAATTTGTTCACCCCTAATCACAGTCAATGACGGAATATGAACTGACAGCTCCTGGATCTGGAGTTGTGCGAGTGACCATTAGGGTACGGGAAGTACAATGGAGAAGACGACACAGATCACCTGTATCTGGCTGTCAAAATCCAAATCGACAGCCAGCTCCGAGGAATAAAGAAACAAAAGCGCCTCTGCCATACCTACGAGCGCATCTCTATTGGAATTGCACGCCACCTTACCCCCAATACCCCGTATTTATTCATCGACGCAGAGAGAAAAAGGCAGAAAATTACTTTTGAAAGAAGAAGGTAGCCGTAGTAGCCTAGACTCGAGCTGCGGCTGCAACATAGTCAACTATGTAAGAAGAAAGCAATTCTGCAAACAGAATTAGAGAGCTGTTCATGAAGCTGTCACCCCACGTACACAGCACAGATTAAACATAGTCCACTAAACTCCTGAGCTATGCTGGCAGACTGGAACTGATTAGAACAGTCCTCACTTCTATTTCTAATTTCTGGTGCAGGCAGCTCTTCCTTCCTAACTCTGTCCTTGCAAAGATCGAGCAGCTTTGTTCCCGGTTCTTTTGGAAAGGGTCAGACAGAGCAGCTTCTGGAGCCAGGGTTAGCTGGTCCAACATATGTTGTTTGAAATCAGAAGGTGGGCTAGGAATTAAAAATATGAAGATTTGGAATAAGGCTTGTGTGATCCTTCTAATTAAGAAAATCCTAGCAGGACAAGGGTCTCTTTGGGTGGCTTGGTTCAATTCTTATGTTTTTAAGGACAAGAACTTCTGGTCAGTGGAGATAAAATCAAGCACCAGCTGGTGCATGAAGAGGCTGTTGAAAATGAGACTGGAGGTGCATCATTTACTGTCTTCAAGAGCTGCCACTGCTAGTTCCATTTGGGATTCAATCAGAGAAAAGAGACCTACGGTTCCTTGGCAGAAACTGCTTTGGTACCCCATGCACATACCAAAATTTAGCCTTATCACCTGGATGGCATTTCTGGACAGGCTTCCTACCAAGGTCCGGTTACAACGCATGGGAGTGATTACTGATTCTCTTTGTGTTCTTTGTTCTGCAGAACCTGAATCAAGAGACCACCTCTTCCTTTCTTGTCCTACTGCAGCTTCCCTTTGGGAGTCCATCTTCTCTTTATCAGGTTTGATCTTTACTGCCTGCACCTGGGATGACTTCATGTCTCAGGCTTGTATTAACTGGAAAGAAAAATCATTGCTTTCCTTGGTTATGAAGCTGGCCTTGAACACTTTAGTGTATTTGTTATGGGAAGAGAGGAACAAACGTTTGTTCCAAGGGCGTTCAAGGTCTGTTGAAGACTTACTTAAGGCAATTAAAGATGTTGTTAGTCTTCACTTAAAGGGTAGGACTTTTAATCGACTGCTTACTGTGAATATTAACCTCAGCAATCATTGGAATATTGCAGACCATTGATTCATTTTGTATGTAATCTGTTTTGATTCTATTGTATTTTGTAGCTTCTTGCTATTTGGATAATAATATCTTACTTATCCAAAAATAATAATAATAAAATAATAAATTCATGTTATACCAGCTTCTTTCATAAGCACTGTGTTGTATTACTTAAATCAAACTTTAATTTTAATCAATTGTTTCGTGCAATGAATCTTAGAGCTTCATTAACTAAAACTCGAAGGTTAACATTTCCATTTGAATCCAAAAATACCAGAATTTAATTATAGTGTTTTACACTCAATAGGACCATATCATGGTGTGGAGTGTGTATGAAAAAGGACAAGGACTTTAGAAGGCAACAGCAACCTCGTTGACTAAATTTCTAATCAACAATATCAACGGCTCAGACTCAATCAGGGTAACAAGTACTTCATGATTGGGACGTGGAATGCACGATATGTCAAATGTCAACTCTCAACTCCCAATCACCGTTATCGTGTTTATAAATAGGGCTAAGATGGAAAGACCAGTGCACTGGGTACACCAAATGAGAATATGGGTTCTGAGGTTAAGCTTTGCTTCTTCCTTTTGTTTACGTTAGTCGTATTTTCGTCTGCTCGTAACACCATCTCAGTTTCAGGTAGTTCATTACCATTTATATTTGAATACTATAATTTGATTCGAATATAAGTAATGTGACTGTGTACATTATAGGAGACGAGATAGTGTTGGCAGCGGAGGAAAGGTCTCTAATTGTAAGCATCCAGGATTATAATGAACCGTCGGCAAATCGTGGTCACGATCCACCTTCAAGCACTAGAGGCGGCGGCAGTGGCCGAGGCCGCCGCAAAGGTCGAAAGGGATAGTGAAAGATGGTGCTTAATTTTTCATTTTCTCCAATAAATAAAAAAGGTTATTGGCCAATCAGATCTAGATATATGCTAACCATAATTGTAATATATGGCAATAAAGTTTGCTAACTATTATAATAATATATGCCGAATAAATACTTTTATATTATTCTAAGCTTTAATTATTATGTTAGTTTTTTAATTAGAATTTTAACCGATCCAGTCTGAAAAATTTGTTGCACAATTCATTTGATAAAACAGAATCGTTAAATGTTTTATAGTCTAAAACATAACGGAAATAGACACAAACATACAATCAACACTTGTATTCGAGTTCAAATAACATAAATTCATGACAAGCCAGAGATTGCGTCCGGTTAAAAATTCAAACTCCAATCATAATAAAATTATAAAATGAAAGGCCATAATTCGATCAAAAACATTTAAAACCAGACTACATATAATAATATATATATATATGTATAACAGCAGAAGGTGACTAACTAAATTACTATTGCAGTAGACATCGAAAGCACCATAGCTTTATAAAAAAAATTGCAATACATTCCCAAGTAAATAGTTACAAAATAGTTACAACAAGGACCGAGTTAGAATTTTAGTTGAAGAGAGAAGAGTATAATTAGTAATAAAAAAAAAGAAAGGATAAATCAAAATAAACCAAAAATTGAAGGTCTAAATAAGTATTTATCTTATATATTTTTTACTGATAAAAATATTAGGGGGAGGGGAGGGAGCAGTGGCCCGAGATTATACATAGCTTCGTCCCTGGTTGCAACGCATCCAAATCTACTTGCATGTAATGAATAAAATTATGGCGGCAGATGATAGTGTCAACCAAAATCATATGGAAAATCTGCTCACCACAAATATTGTCCTTCGATTATGACACTTATCGATTAAAATGATTCAGTTCATTGTTTTCTACATGTCATCAATTCAATTATAACTTTTAAATAATTACTTATAAAAAATAAGTAAAATGATCCTTTGTTCGGTGAATTAAATTTATTAAATTAAAATATATAATCGTACAAATTTACTTAATTATTATGTCAATATTCATTAAGAGTTAAATCTTCAATGACTTAATTGACATCATTTAAAAAGTTAAATGATCTGATTGATAAAAAAATCAGTTTAGTGGTCTAAATAAAACATATCCCATAATTGATTGACTATTTAAGTAGTTTACCCAAAACGTTTATAGTCCTTTTGTGCAGGCTCTGAGATCCTCGTGGCCCTATCTCATGTCCTGGGTTCAACAAAATTAATCTTAATGGCTTGAGCCCAACTCAAATATTAAGTAATAAATAAAACAAAACAAAACCCAAAAAGCAAAAACCCTACAGAACTCCATCAATCGCGTGTTTCATATTCACTTCTTCTTCTTCTTCGTTGTTATCAGAAATGAAAATCGCTCGGGTTATGTTGAGTTCACTCGGTGGTGGGTTACCACGCCCATGTCAGCGTCTCCAAAGTGTTAGATTTCTCTCAACAGGTTCATTTTTCAACTACTTTTTTTTCTCTTTTTGGTTTCCAATTTCATTTAAGTATTGAACTTCAATCAACGACTTTTTTTTGTCTATACTGAAACAGAGAACGCTTTTGGTGGAAATATTCCAAATTCAGATTCATTTGAGTCTGCTGATGAATTTGAAGGAAGGATTTTTGGTGGGTTTTCTGGGGATAGTCCAAAGGCTCAGTCTTTCTACGGAAAGATTGATAGAATCGAGAGGAATCGTTTTCGTTTTGATCCTTCAACGGGTAATGGAGATTCGTCAAGAAGGGATGTCTTGGATGAGAGTTTCAGCTCATTATCAGATGGAATGAATGGGAAATTGAAGAAAGCAGCAGCCACTTACTTTGAATTCGATCCCGATGAAATTCAAAGAGATGATTATAGTTTTAGACCAGATGTTACCTTTCTTTCTGGAAGGACGTATGAACCCAAGGTTTGTACTTTTTTGGAATCTTTGTCTTGAGATATTTACAATGGTCTTTGTTTCTTCTTATTAATATCATGTTTAATCATCTTTAGAACTGAATCCAGAATATATAAGGTTCTTTATCAGTTAGTTAGTGAAACTTATGGAAGTCGCCAATTCATTAGGCTTACGTGAGGCGCAGTTGTTCGGCTAATTGATCCTCTTAATAGCATTTTGTGTTCTGGATTTGATTTTCTGAAGCCCTTTTGATTGATGTATTGTGTTCATTTGCAATTCGGGAACTTTTACATGGTTTATCATATTTTCGGTATGCCGAGATAATCGAAGTGTACAAATAGTCTCGAGAGTTGTTTTGTGAATGAAATTGATATAGTTCTGGAGGAACCAAGGTTAGAAGTATATCTACAATTCTACATTACATCTTTCTTTCAACATTTTGATGGAAATCATAATGGTAGATTACAATAGTCCGACCCTATCCATCAAACAACTAACTCAAAGTCCACAAAACCGTGTTTATCCCTCAAAACATGCCTGCTCCTTATAGAAGATTTCCTTCATTCATTGGTTTTCACAGGCTACAAACAATTTGTATTCGTTATTTACTGAAAATTCTTGATAGATGCCATACATAAGCTAACACGCATTAAATTATTAATTGATGCCAAATCTTAGCATTGAACCTTTATTGAGAAAAAGAATTCTTCGGATCTGTGGATTTTATATGTTTTGCAATATCTGAAAGTCTTTATAATTAGTAATGTACTCCTATGCCCTTGTTTTATGGTTTTGGTATGCTAACGGTAACATTATGGTGTCCTTCAACTACCATGTGGCATAATACAGGATCTCGATCTTAGAAGACCAGGAGTACGTAAACCTCCCAAAAGCTACACGTTTGAGGTCACTACGGAGGAAGTACTGAGAAAAGCCGATTTCCGGGTGAGTCTATCCAAACTTTGCATCACCATTGATTTTCTGAGTCTAAGCAGCAGCACATTCTTGTTTTGTAACTGCTTCCAAAATCCAGATGGTTGGGATAATGGTGCCCATGACATGATTATTCACCTAGGAAATGAATCTTGATTTATCAGCAATAGTAATTCTTTTTAATATTGTTTTTTCTATTCCCTAGTCACCAGAGTTACTTGTATTATTACATGTTGGGCAGAATGTGAAGTTCCTGGCGAAGTTCTTAACCGAGGCTGGAATCATTATAAAGAGGAGCTCGGTAATATCTAACGAGGACTCGATTTATTTGGTTTGCTTCACCAATCATAGATTATGGATTTTCCTTCATTTACAACATTTTAGTTCATTTTGTAGACCGGTATTAGTGCCAAGGCTCAGAGGAAGGTGGCGAGGGAGATCAAGACGGCCAGAGCGTTTGGTTTGATGCCATTTATAACGATGGGGACAAAGTCGTTCGTTGCTGGGAGATCAATGGAAGTTATGGATAAAGATTATGAATACCAGGCTTTTGATAGTGACATGATTTCGGATGAAAAACCCGAGATTTGAGTTCAGAATATTCATTTCCCGGCAGCGTACCATCTCCAATGTTTGGTTGAGGTGTACCATGCATTTACCCTTGTTAGTTCTTTTAATTGATCTATGCTTTTATATACAAATTATGTTACCCAACTTTAATTTTTCTTTAAATAATCGTGTTTGGTATTCTAGTGGTGTACGTTAATTTTTTTTTTTAATATTTGAGTTTATCCCTATAGGGTGCGTATTTGTATTCCATTCTCTGCCCGAGTCCAAGTGACAGGTAATTGTACCGTTGAGAGCACTAGGTTTTTGAATTATCCATTTATAATGGTTTGATGATAATATAAAATCTTCTCGATTTATAAAAACATGGTTTTATTTTTTTGATAAAAATCATCGTTTAATATGGATACCTATGATGTATCAAAACGGACGAGATCAAACATAAGGAAAAAACAATAGAAACATGAAGTAGTGAAAGGGGTCTTAGATTTCAGACAAATATTTGATACAAACAAAAGCAGCAGCCAACGTCTTATATGATTTAACAACACACCAAACCAAACTAGCCATGAATGAGCAGTTAGCAGAATCCTTGGTCAAAGGAATTGCTAGAAACCACGGCTACATTATTTTATTAAACAAGACAAAAACATAAAGATACACACACAAACGATGAGATATGACCCTCCTTCCATCCCGAATATTATCTGCTGCTTTTATCTATGGCTTCATCAGCTAACAGTTGCATGGATCGCACGTGCAGTTCGATCCACACTTGCATCCGTGTCCTGATTCAGCGCTTATCTCCGACACTTCAAAGTTGCTGTAATAAGGAAATCATCAGAGAAAATCAAAATCAAAACCAAATGTTCGGTATGCTTGCAATAAAATCCTTGAAGTTTGAAACTAACATCTTCACCGGCGCAACACCGGAGATGATGTTCTCAGCACCGGTAGTCTTCTCCAAGTATCCTTGGTTAAGGTTCCTGCTGCATCTGCAATATCAAAAAGGCCGAAATTCGAAATCAAAACACAAACAAAGATCCGTATCGTTCAAGTTCGATTTCTTTACGTTGGTAATCGCTGAGGTCAACATCATATCTAATAGCGAAAAGCAAGAATTGCACGGTAACTTACGAGCAGTTATCGCCACATTTGCAGCCTGAGCCACAACTGCATCCTGAAGACATTTTTTCCCCGAGAAAATGAAGGAAAGAGTAAGAAAATTTCTAAGAATACAATAGACGAATGCAAGCTCGAAAGTCAAGAGGTGAGTTTTGATACGAAAGTTGATTGGTATTTATAACGGAATTTCAAGTGAGGGAGGGTAAACATCCACCGTACACGTGGAAAAATCTTGATTCTTGCGTCTTTGGAATTGTACAAGTACATCAGCCGACTCTGGGAATATCGAAACTATGCGTATGCGTTTGAGAGATGAAGTGATGGATTAGAAAATTCATGAAAACGAAATGGAAACAAGAAAGGGAAAATTGAATAAATAAATAAACAAACAAACAAATTCGAGAGATAAAGGCATGAATCATGCAACTTTGGAAGCATGCTTTCATTATTTATAATAAAGTCAACATAATTCAAAATAGTATCTTATTTTCAACATGCAAAACCAATATTAAGCCAAATATTTTCTGCAATAAAATGTCCAATTTCCAGGGAAAAAATCATTTCTCGAGAGGCAAACATGTTTGAGTGATCCGACATATATCCCTTACTGTGAGACCTCTCACGGCAGGATTACCTAATCAACACTAATGTTTTCTATACTGAGTGAGTTTGATATTTCATCATCATTGACAAGCATTTTAAGACCAGCTTTCAGCTCTGATATTCCTTCCTCCAGGACTGCACACACAGGATATATAGGAACGGCTCGAACCCGTTTTTCCAGCTCTCGAAACACTTCTTCAGCCCCGGCCTCATCAATTTTATTTGCCACTACCAACGAGGGTCTATTCGAGAGACCTTCCTGGTGGTGCTCGAGCTCCAACACTAAATCTTTCAGCTGTTCCCATGGTGGAATTCCTTTCCTACCATCTAATGCAGCGGCCAAGTCTACAACATAAGCCAAAACCTTAGTACGTTCTATGTGGCGGAGGAAAGCATGTCCAAGTCCACGATTCTGGTGAGCACCCTTTATTAATCCTGGAATATCAGCCACAGTAATTGACAAGTCGTCGAAGTTCAAATTGCCTAAATTCGGCCTCAGAGTCGTGAACGCATAGTGACCTATTGCAGGCTTAGCCCGAGATATTGCTCCTAGAAGTGTACTTTTACCAGCATTGGGCATCCCTACTAGACCTACATCAGCAATGCTCTTAAGTTCAAGCACAAGAACAGCTTCAGAACCAGGCAAACCACAACGAAGAGAGGAACGACTGTTATTTGATGTTTCATCCTCAAGCGCATTATCCCTCTGGTAACAGACATTACCTAAACCACCTTCCCCTCCATATGCAACAATCATTCGCTGGCCTTCCTCTGTTAACTCTGCCACATTATACCTAATATCTTCCAGAGTTTCTGATTGAAGCCCATTTTCTTGCTTCATTCCTTTTGATTGGTCTGTTGTTATTTCATTTTTTAATGAATATTGCTCGGCAGTTATTTCAGCAAGATTAGATAACTGGCCAGCAGCATGCACTGTTTTGACTTTCTCAGCCATATTTGAGTTCAAGGAAGATTGCAGATCAACTTCAGATTCGTCGGTAGTAAGTGAACCAGGGAGTTCCCAAGGATCCAAATCAGTTGAAGAATGATGTTCAACCATGGAAGGTATTTCACCCTTTTTCAGATGAATTACAGTACCGATAGGCACTTGGAGAACCTGCCACGCAAGCAACCTCTCAATTCCAATTGATTCAAGAGAACAAAAGTGGATAAATCAATGTTAGAAGTAAAGAAAGGAGCTCGAAAGTATTAACCCTGTCTTCTCCACGAGTTCCTATCTTGTTCTTCGAGGTTCCATGTCCACCTCTACCAGCATTCTAAATAGAAACACAAATATCATTCCAGGTCGGTGAAAACCACTCAATGCAGGAGAGAGAGAGAGAGAGGACATACAACATGATTTTGCAGGCCACTGAAGTCCCAAACTGCAGTTGAACATTCTAGAATCACATCACCACCTCTTCCACCATTCCCGCCTATATTAAGTCCATTAAACATCATAAACAACACTAGTGATAAATATTCAACTCACCATAATTCAAAATTCCATGAATGTATGCACGACTATACAAGTATAGAATGAAATTAAGTGCTCTGACTCGTCATTTTAACTGAAGCACCCATCTCGAATATGACATTTATGATACAAGGTTATTGGATTATGACATCTCAAAGATTCTCCAAATACATGAAAAACATTTTAAAAAATGAAACAAACATGCCTCTATCCAACACTCACACTCAGGTGGAGTGATAACAAAGTGCTAGTATCCAACTATATGAAAGAATGGTTACAGGAAACATTGAGAGAAAATTCACCATCAGGTTTCCCACGACGATCATGGCGGCTACGGCGAAAACTGGTGGAGCCATTACCACCATCACCTCCTTTGGCATAGAGATTAAACCTGTCCCTCATTCTAGTCTCCTGAAAAATTAGGCCAATAAAACCCCAAATATCAAACACAAGACATAAAGTAGATGGTCCTGAAAGTGAGCAAATGAGATAAGATCCAGTGGAAACCTGTAAAGGGGTCTTCTTGTGAGGATCGTCCGAGTAAGAAAGAAAAGAGAAAAAGTAGCACCGCGACTTCGAACATCTTCCTCTAATGGTTTGTAGTTGCAGAAGAGGTCTTGCTTGGGCAATCCACATTTTTGGTCTCGATGAGTACTATAAAATCATTGCTTTAGCTAAAAATAACAATACAAATACGAAACAGTAGGCTTTAGTAAGACAAATATATATCTTTTTTTCCAGTAAAACATTTTATCAAACAGTTGATGTTCATAAAGTATTCTTTAGTCGGCTTAAGCCTTCAACCATTACCTTCAGTGTAGCCTGGCGACACGGTGATGACTGGACATTGCTAAGAAAGGGAAACCAGGAATCTGCAAGAAGAGCTTCCCCGGCGTTCAACTTTCGGGCTGGTGGTTAAAGTGAAATGATTAGCAATTACTGAACCAATAGGTTATTTATTTTATATATTAGCGGTGTAGATTATATATAAATGAAGTTTTAACATTACAGATCTAATTTAGATTATAATTTAAAAAAAAATTCTTTCAAAACCCATTTTACTATACTGTATTTACTATCCTTGGAGAGCCTTTAAAATTTTTATCCTTGGAGATTCTCTTAAAACCCATAAAAGCTTGATATATTTTGAACTATTTTTTTGTTTCAAATTAATATTTCTATACCGTAACATTGTTTAACTTAATAATTATTATATTATTATTGTATTATATCTGACATAATATTAGTATTGTATTGATATATATATAAATAATTTATTTTATAATTCAAAATAATAGTATTATTTACTTATCGATGATATAAAAAAGGCAAACTGCAATAGAAGTTGCTTTTGTTTAATTTTCTTACGATTTAGTTATCGAATTTTGAAAAGCAAAGTTTTAATTATTTATCTCATCAATTTATCACATTTCAATTATCAAACACTTAACTCTCATCACATAATTTATTAATTTGTAACTCCAATCACGTTAATAAAAAAAACCTCGAACTGAGAAATAGCATAAATAAATGCAGAAATAAAAACATCACAAACGGCATTTTATTTGGGAACAAATAGTAATAACAAATTCAGATAATCGTATTTACTATCCAAACCCATTTTATTTCTAACAGTTGATTCAGATTTACGATTAAGAATTCATTATTTGTTTGCGTAATATGCAAAATTTTTGTAAAATAAACTTCATCACTAAATTTATATATTTAATAAATTCAAATATTAAACAAATAGTGTTATTGAATTCAAAATTAAATTCAAATAATAGTATTTAAATTTAATGTAAATCTGTCCAGAAGAGGTAGAATGGGTTGTTCGGACCTTTAAAGGTAAATCTTTGCTTACTTTTATCCTTAAGGTAGCCTGGAATGCACATATCATTATCCTTAAGGTAGCCTGGAATGCACATATCTACTGTATATGGGAAGAGAGGTATTGCAGGTTGTTCAAGAAGCTGTTCAGAAGTAAGAATGAAGTTTTGAATGTTATTAGGGAAACTGTTAGTGTTAAGCTTAGAGGCAAAGATATTGATAGAAACGATCTTTGTAAATAGTCGGCTATATATACGGTTGAAGATTCATTCGGGTATTCTTGTTTTTTTGTGTGTGGATACTCTAGATGTTGTATTAGCCGTAGCATAATTCTGCTCTTTTTGGATAAAAAAAATTAACAATTTATAAATAATAATAATAATAATGTAAATAACATGAACTTTAAAGCAATAGTGTAAATAAGATTCAAATATTATAAAAAAAGGTTGCAAATATGCAACCAGCTACCAACAGAAGATTAAGGTCCATAAGACAAACTCAATTTCTTACATTATATTTGAGCATGGTTCACAAACCGCACTGTAGTAATACTATTACACGAATCGATAGCCGAGTCGATAAGTTATTTCAAGCCTTACCACAAACAAGAGAAAGCACATTAGATTGTTTATTTACTTAATAACAAGACAACGTAAGTAACCAAACCAGCATATGAAGACTGTCAATCAAAACGGATGCCACCCATAAAGGTCCTGGGATCAGGACAGCTTCCCGTGAACTGAGCTTGGGAGAAATCGAAACCCGGGTTCTGCAAAAAAGATAACTAACATTGTTACCGTAATGCACAAGCTAGTCCAATAGAACTAATTGGAATAAGATTCTAACAAGGCATCAAGTCGTGCATAACGTGTGAATGTCATTGCAAGTTCATTAAAGTGACAGTTGCGGGGTTGTGAAATTCTCGTTAAATGTATCATTTACATAATAAACGTGAATGTGATCAGAAGAGATCATGCACTTAAAAATGTTTCACAAACGTCAAACTCAAAACATTACATAATAAATGCATAAAATTGTCATTCCTACCACTGCTAGTTACTGCACAAAAATGTCTCAAGTACGAACCAATCTGATATGGAACTGGTTGAACTCACATATATAGATGATACTTATTCTAATCCAAGAGTCAGCTTTTTGGAAGTGACTTCTTTTTTATGTGATCTAGCTTTGTTGCATACGTGGATTATTGAATGTTCTACCTATTATGATTATATCAGTGATGTTTTACGTCTCTAGAGCCTAAATTCATTAGAATGGTGGCTTCTCTCTCTGACATGCTAAGCAACAAAATACAGAAGAACCACAATCAGTCCCATGTGGCATTGAGACTTGAACAGACTTCGCAAACTGCAGATACAAATACGAGTCAGGTATATGCCTACATAGAAATATAAGTTTTTTAGTGGGCCTTAAGAATGGATGAGCAAACACATTAGCATAAGACATTTATATGGTAACAAAAGAAATATTCATTATGGACCCAAAAATGCTATCATAACAGTTAGTGCAAGCAAGTTTAAGAGAGAAACACATGATTCACCTCTTCCTGGAACCTCTGAAGCATGAGACGCTTCTGCTCGAGATCGGAGGAATAAGGGTCCAGCTGACCCTGACCTAGTATTGGCGAGGACCACGTCTGACCCTTGTCCCTCTTTTGCAGGGTAATGTGCATTATATCATCCTCTAACCACATTCAAATATCAATTGTAAAACAAACAAAGAATTTAAATGATACTTCATCAACCCAAAAAATGAATTCAACTAAAAACAATATAAATCCATTTCATCACTATCTCAATTCTCAAGTTCCTAAACGATTTCCAGAAGAATGAAATAAAAATTACCTAGTGTCCAGAAAGATGAATCCGTCTTCACCGGGGAGAACAAATCATGCTAAAAAGAAAGGGAAACAATATATGAAAAATGAAAATAATCTCAAAATTAAAAAAATGGTAAATATTTTTATTTCAATCAAACTAACATCGAGATAAGGAGGGTTTCCTTTGATTCCAACTTCGACATGTTTGGATTGAATCTTACAATAAAACTGCTTGGAGCTAACATTCGGCGGCAAGTTTATATAAATATTCACCTCGTCCAAGGTTTGATCCCATTCAAATACCTTCTCGCCTGAAAATTTAAATAACAAAAAAAATAAGATTAGACTTTCAAATCACGAGAACCTTAAAGAAGAACATCGAAGTATAAAGAGAGGGGAAGAGATGAAGACCGTTGTGAAGAAAACTGTGTCGTTTTTCAGGAGCCAATTTCTCCGCCATTTTTGTAGGGTTTCTACTCTCTTCTTCTATTGTTTTTCCTGTTACCGATTCTCCCAGCTTTTTCTTCTGGTTCTCAAGGTTTTAAATTCGTTCGTTAGTCCTTGTACTTTTACTATTTTCTATGTAAGGGTACAAGTTTAGAATAAATTGCTTAAAAAGTCATACTAATGTCCAAGCCCGAACTTACGTTAGAAAAATTTTAGGTCTGTTTATTGAGTTCAGTTTGATTTTATTTTTTCATTTATAATATAATATATATAATTAGACTTTATTATGATTGTATATAAACACAAATATTTTATGTAAAAAAATATTTCAACACGTGATTATTTATGAAGTAAAAAATATTTTATCGATTTAGTTAACTCGGAAACAAGAAGTCATAAAGCCAGAGTATAAAGATTAAACATTACAATACAAGATCAAGATGGCAAATAATCGAACATTGGAGGCATTAGCAAATTATCAAGAATTCATGGATACCGCTGTGTACCAACCCCAACACCAAAGCTAAAAATTGCTTGCTACATTTATAGTAACCAAATGAATTGTTACCTAGGATACCATAAGAACCAGTATCCGCTTTGCAAGTTCCAGTGCTCTTTCTTTGACATGGGATGCGCCAAAGCTTTCAAAGCAAAGAAATACCACCGATGATGATCGAGGCTGTTCATCGAGTCATTTCATTACCTTTTCACGTTGAGCCAAGTCCAGATCCGGGTGAGGCTTACAACTGATATCAAGCAGTGATCCAACAGAGTAAACCGGGGGATTTCTGCCATGAATAACATACGGTTCAAGCTCATCAAATGTATTAACCACAATCCCTTCGTCATTCTTGAATCTTTGAGCCATCATCATAAATAAGGGATAGCCACTATCCTTGTCAGACAAAGCCGAAGGCAAAACTTTGGGAGCACAGGATTGATAAATCATGAGATGAACTCGTCTGGATCGGACAGTTTAAACTCGGAGCTATTCCAAGTATATCGACTTGTTAAGTGGAACAAAAGGCTCAAGTACCCTCGATTAGAGGTTAAGAAAAAGTAGGGAGGAACGTTAAACCGAGCAATGCCAACCAATGACGCAAAGAGCAAATCAAAAACTAACAAGTAAATTGCCCGGTAAATTGGGTCGAATCTGATACATATTTCGATGACAAATTGTTGGTGACAACATCTTTTAAAAGAGGCATCTGAATTTTCATGAGGGCATCCAAGTTGTTTTTATCGGACTGCAAATGTTCAACATTTGAAGGTTGTTCGTCCTCTTGAGGAAGGTTGATGAATTTGATGCATTCTAGTTCCAAGGCCTTGACTGATTCAATTCAAGCGTCTACGAAAGAATAGAAGGGCAGCTTAACGTAGGCAACAATTATCGAAACTCAATCATCATGATTAACTAAGGGCTTTGCGAAATCCAGAGCTGGGTTCAAGTGACTTTTGCTTCATGTCAGCTCTGCTTTATGTGTTAATTTCGTAGGCGACGTCCATTTTACGATTATATAAGATTAAGCTCTTATAATATAATAATCCAATCATCAATCCACAAAATTTGAACCCAATCGTGTTCAATATTACCTCTTAAAGGTAATTGCCAAACACATTTCCCAGTTAGGAAATCTTCCCATATTAGTTGTGTCAAGAACCAAATAAACCGACTAACATTCTAAACCCAAACTGAATCAAATAATAAAATCCAAAATCAAAATAATTGAATCGAAAAGGCTGAGTTCAGTTTGTTTGTCAGTTTAAGAGTCATTTTCCCTAATTTAATACTTAACACAACCAAGAAAAAAAGAAAAAAAAGAACAGAAAAGGCATACGTCTAAGAATCACCAGATGATGAGACTAAAAGAAGGAAATAAAAACTACCATATAAATTCATGGTTATGGTTCACGAAATGACAACCTTAGGACTCTCTTTGGAAGAAACGAGGGAGAGAATACTTGAGATTTACACCATTACAAATCATGAATTATCACCATTCACGCATATGCAGGACTTGCTCAAAATATGTAAATCAAACTTAATTAGACAGTAAAGGATGAAAAAAAGAAGGGATGAAACCAGATGTAAAAGCAAATGGGAACATGTACGGCTATAGAAGAAAAAAGACCCACCAATGGCATTGTTCAAAGATGGGCTAAAACTTAATCATTTCCTGAAGATGGCAATGCTCGATCATTGTACATGAAGCTATAGAGGAAGATAACGAAGAAGAAGAAAAACAATGGAAATTGAAGCAAAAACCCAAAGAGGATTAAGGAAGTTCATAAGTAACTAAACTATAAGGCAAGAAAAGGAATATCAATGCAATCAAATCTAACGTAAAATTTACAAATGTTTGGGATTTATTCAAAAGAGAGACAATAATTTGTTCAACGTGAAAAGAAATTGTGTACTGAATTCTTCACTATAAGAATCACTAACCCAAACTGGCAATCAAATCCAGAAATTTAATACTATGTTTCTAAAACAAACACACAATTTCAAGTTTAAGTTCTATATAGAAAGCGTGCATAATATTAAAGCAAACACCAGTATTTTAGTTTTATTTCTACAAGCCAAATTTACAGTACATATTAAAAAAAAGACGAAAAAATAGATTCAAAAGAAAACTTCAGAAAAATCACCGGCTCTTGCTATCGTAATCGACAACCTCGGAATCGGTGACGGATCTCGAATGTTGAACGATGGATCGGCCGATCGAATTGATCCAATCCTCTTTCTCTTTCTCCGTATCGGCGATGAAATACATGGTTGAATCTCGAGTGGAGAGCTCGAAGGCGAAGGCCTTGTTGACGATATCCTCCGCTCCCTTAACCGTGAGGCATTCGCCGACCGAAACTACCCCGCGCGGAGTCGATCGGCGGCTGACGGAAGCCGGATCCTTGAACCATAACAGCTTACCTTGCTTCAAGATAAACCAGCGGCGTCGCCAGGTTTTGATGTAATCGCCTTGTTTAGTTAGCCATCCGGCTCGCTCCGGATTTGCCCAGAACTCGACGCCTTTGTAATCATCCGGATTCGGGTCCTGACCCGTTGCTGCTCGCCATAGATTCTCCATTTTGGAAGATAGAGGGGAGAGAAATTGATGCTTCGGGCAAAGAATTGAAATTTGTTTGGATTTGTTATTGGAAAATTTTACTTTTGACTGGACTCGAGTAAGATGACATTGGCTTTTTCATAAAACGATGACGTTTGAATGATGGATTGGTTGGGGGAAAAACACTTGTGTTTTCAGTTGTAGTTAGAGAGCGTAATTGGTCAAATCGAGACGAGATTTTGATTGACTTGAATTTGCTATGATATTATTATATAAAATTTGATGAGACAAAAAAATATTCTCATTCCAAACTTTATCTAAAAATTCAATTAAAAAAATTAATTCCGATTCAATCTAAGAATTTTATTTGAGGATATGGAATTTTTTAATAGTATTTTAGGTACAACCATCTTGGGTGCTATTAGAAAATCTGTAGGAGACAAAACAGAGACAAACTCCTTAGCAGGACAACTCTTTCGCCATTGAACTTGTAGGTGAACCACCTTACACGGAAACCTTGGGCTACGACGACGAACTTGTGATCCCCTTCAATGAAAGTGATATAATCAGCTTGGTTGCCGACAAAATCCCCTTCAATGGAAGTTGATGCTTGACTGCCTGGAACTGAAGGGAGGGGTATAACAGATGTAGTATTCGGAGATTTCGCAATCGAGGGTCGATTATCAGTGCTGTGGTTTAGAAGCACCAAACGGATACCGATGAATCCCGAGGATAATTCCTATGACCCAATGTAACACCTTAATTTAGGGGTTAAATTTAAGAAATTAAAAGGGTGAATTTAATTGGTATTTTATTATGAGTTAAATTATAAACCCCCTCTCCATGCACAGGTTCTCATTTTTCTAGTTTTTCCTTCTCCATCAACCATCCTTTCAACTCCGATCTACTTGTTGTTCGACCTCCGATCGACGAGCCGAAACCACCATCGTGTTCGTTGTCGAGCGAGGAACAAAACACCTCAAAGCTTTTGTCGTGAATCGTCGCCGTTCATCGTTAATTTTAGTCGGAAGTATCGTCAGTAATAACTCAATTTCAATTGGTTTTTCGTCGATTCACGACGATCCGAGCATCCGTTTACGACACCTCCCGCACCATCGTGTTTCTTGCATCGTTCCGAGTCTGCCGGTGTCATCCTTGGTCTCCGTCGACGGCGGCGCGTGAAGAGGTGAAGCGGTCAAAGTTTCTGATTCGTTGAAATCGAGCTCTCCGTCGTTCAAAATTGTGAACCGAGCTTTGTAAGCATCTCGAAATCGCTCAAATAATTTTTAGGAATTTTTCCGGGAATTTTCCGACATCAGGGTACTATTCACGCGCCGCCACTGCGCGTGGGGAAGAAAAAAATATGGTTTTCAGAACCGGACCGGTTAGCGAACCGATCATGCTACCGGTTCAGTGGTTCAACCGGTCGAACCGGTCCGACCGGTCGGAAGAACCGGACGATGTCATAATTATTTTAAAATTTTAATAAAAATACCAAAAATATTTAATAAAAAATAATTTTTTATATCACAAGTCATAACATATATAAGTTAAAAACCATAAAATCAAGTGAAACAAAATGATTTAAATTAACTACAACATAATATTTAAGGTAAAACATATTAAATAATAAATATAATTATATAACTATTATTAAAAAATTAATTTGGGGTTAAAAAAATCATAACAAAATGATATTGTTTGGTTTAATTTTTTTTAAACAATCTCACATAGCTAAGAAACATAGAAGAGCATCCCAAAAGTCTAAAGAGTAAAAATATGAGAACAAAACAATCTCACATTGCTAAGTAACATATAAGCGCATCACAACTAACTTCTATAAATAATAGAGGTAATTTGACATTCAAAATCATAGAGCCTTTTGGTGAGCATTGAGTGAACTATTCTTTCACTTCAATCAAACTCGAATTTTAGGCTTCAATCGAGCTTCTAATTTTTTTTTGAGTTCAAGCCTTTTTGAGTTCAAGTTTTTATATTTCGAGTTTGAGTTGAACTTGATAATTTTTAGCTTGTGAGTTTGAGTTGAGTTGAGCTTACTTTTAAAGTTTTCAAGTTCGAGTTGAGCTCAGCAATACTCGAGTTCGACTTGGCTCGTTTAACAAACGACATTGTTTGGTTTAATTTTTTTTTTAAAAAAATCCCAGTTTTTCCCGATTTTTTTTCGGTTTTTTTCCGGTTTTCAGCCGGTCCGGTCCGAACGGTTCTGGCCGGTATACTAATAGTGGTTCAACCGGTTTAGATTGAACTGGACTAAGCAACTGCTCCCGGTTAAACCGGTTGAACCGGCCGGTCCGGTCCGATTTTCAATACAGAGGAAAAAAATGACCGGTTTGACCGGTCATAACCCGACCCGACCTGTTGACCCATTGACCGTTAACCGGCGTTGACAACTGTTGACCAAAACTTTGACTGGCTTTGACCGGGCATTAAACGACCTTTGACATTGACAGAGTATACTTATCCTGACATTTTTCGACATTCCAAATTCGATTCTGCAGTCCGTTTTTCGAAATTCGAACCCGAATGCCTCGAAATTTCCGGTCAAACCTGTTGACTTTGATTTTGACCAAAAATTTCAAATTTTCGAAAAGTCATATTTTATGATTTCGAAGTCCTGAATCCGAATCCGAAGTCCGTTTCGCTAAATTCGAACCCGGTAAGCTGTTTTTATCTGATTTATCAACCGATTCGATCCGTTTATCGTAATTAAGCTCCGTTTCTGATATAATTTTTGTTGATATAGATCTGAGGATATATTGGAAGATAATTTCAAGATCGAGGGCGTTCGAATGGAATTTAATGGTCGATCAGTATGGCACAAAAATCGAGATAATACTTTACTACCTCTTTATGCTTTATGGAATATGTTGATATTGATAAATGGATGAATGAGATAATGTTGGTCACTTTTGTGGAGTTGATTAATTTATACACTCGATATGAATGTGGTAGAAATTCGGTATCTGAATACAGATCGAATGATTAATATAAGAGATTGAAGGGTTGTTAGAATTAAATTTCAAGTTCTGTGTTTGGTAGTAAAGAAATTAACCTGGATCTGTATTTTATAATTTATTTCATCAAAGGTCATATGTTAAAGGTACTTGGATGGGAAATTATGAGAATAATCCAGTAGGGTAAAATTACAAAAATACCCTTATGTTGTAAGATGACAAGAATTGTCCTTGGAAGTTGGTTAATAACTCTGAAAAGACATATTGATCCGGTAAAAATTATTGATGTGCATAAGAAATGCTAGTTTTGCTTAGGAAATGTGAATAACTAGTTTTTAGTCTTATGAGGGTTTGTGAATGATACTAGAAGTCTGTTAAGGGAATCATTTCAAGATCAGAGAGTGTTCAAGAAAGCAATTAATCATAGGATCTCTAAATTATATTATTTTCATTAAGAGCTAATATCGAAATTATCTGGTTAAGAAATTACGGAAATACCCTTGAGAAGTAAAATAGTTTGAGTTGACCCTGAATGAGAAAGTACTTTGAGGATTCGTACTTAACTCAATTTAAGTACGTATTTGATTGTTAAGATCCTGACTTAGTGCAAAAAAATTCCTGATATTCCGTTTGTAAAATCTGAGAAGGTACTTGACCCGAAAATATCCGAATTATGAGTAAATATCTGAAGAACAATTTATCGGGGGTATTCTGCTGTCAGAATTGTTCGGAATGACTATAATAAATGATAAGATTGAATTTAATAGTAAGATCGGACGGAAGGAAATGATTGAAATACACTAAATTTGTAAAATGACCAAAATACTCTTATAATGGAAATGACCCAAGAATATCACCAAGCTCAATAATGATTGGATATCCTCGAACTCTGAAATAAATGGAATAAAACTGAACACCAAAATAACCTTATGGCCTAAATTAAGTAAATGTCTTGGATTAATTAAGGAATCCAAGTAAGCATAGGTATTGGACTACCTTTAAAGGTAATGGAAAACAATTTAAGTGAGTAGATCAACCCTAAAGCTATGTCAATACCTAAATGGCATAAATATTACTGGAATACGTGTTCATCTTCTCAAGTTTGGCTCGATGATAAATTTTGGAAGTATTCAACTCAGCTCTATAGATCGCATTCAGTACTAAGAATTGGATGTTTGTTCGACAAATCAACCACGAAGACCAAATTGAATGGAATGGAAGTACAACATGTATCTGAAATTTGGGGACGTTTGAATTACTCTGGAAAACCCTAAAGTAACTGGAATGGACATGACTACTAAATGAACTATGTAACCTCAATGACTGATGATTTAGTAAGTGATTTGGATAAGTCTGGAAACTCTGATGAGTTTACGTAGTGTACAATTACAATGGGTTATGAACAAATTAATCAAACACGTCAGCATTTCATGATATAGTGGAAGCGTGAACATGAAATAAAGACATTGGAAGATTTATTCAGCGATGATTCCGAAGATTATATATGTACTAGAATTTGTGGTATTAAAGTGTAAATACCCTGTAAAGACAATGAATTGACCAGTCGATAAGCATTAATTCTGGGTGATATTCATCTGAAGTTGTTTGATAATGAAATCAATCGACATAGATTGTAAATGTCATGAGTCTTCATTTCTTTCTTATCAACTCAAGTCTCATTCTGAATAATTGATAATTCCGTCAGTTATTGAACTCTTCAAATAATGATTCTAAATTCTGATATTCTATCGGTATACTGAAGATCCGTATTTCTCTAGCTGCTAAGATTATCTAATACCTCTGAATAATATCTGTAAACTCTGGTGTGTTCCCTAATCACATGAATATTTTATATGATTTATTATTTGAATCCTGTTATGATACCTGACATGGATTCTGATCTGATACTTGACCTGAACTATGATTTGATTTTTGATATATCCGTTTACGGACGGAACATGTTTTATTGGGGGTATAGTTGGAGGAAGAATACTTGCAGGTTCCTCGGCTTTGTGCTGAGAGCCTTACTGTTCGTGACGGGGAAGAATACTTGCAGATTCCTTGGTTTTGTGCTGAGAGCTTTACTGTTCGTGACGGGGTTGAATACTTGCAGGTTCCTCGGCTTTGTGCTGAGAGCCTTACTGTTCGTGACGGGGTTGATTACTTGCAGGTTCCTTGGCTTTGTGCTCAGGGCCTTATTGTTCGTGATGGGGTTGTATGGTTATGGAGAACCTACACATTTTGTTCGTGACGGATGGGGAAATTACTATGGTTTTTGAATAAAATAAATGTTTTAAAAGGTCGATATCTTTTCACTGGTTTTGAGGGAACACACTAGATAACCTATTCTGATCTCCTGAACTCAGTAATCCGAAATATTTCTCTGAAATGAAAACTCATTGTCCGTTACCCTGAAATATCTGTAGGATCTTCGCTCAGCGTAAAGATCTGTAGATGTCTGAACCGGCAAGAAAATATATGTTTATTTGTATCTGCATGTTCTTCGGCATCATTTGGTAGTTCTGTATTACTGAGCATTCCGAAGATCACTCTATTACTCACCATTGAAGGTTAAAAGGATTAAACCAATGCATCTATCGTCATCAGTAAGGGAGTTCTTCCTGTGTTGTTTGCAGAGTACGATACATATGATTAGGGGGCATGTAATTATATTTTGTTTTATATATGAGTCTGAAAATGTGTTTTATTTCTGCATACTGATAAATAATTTTATAAGTTACATGTTTTAATAAAAGTTTTAAATTTTCCGCCATTTTTACAGTGGGTCGCTCCAGTAGCCCTAATGTGACACTCCAGATCGGATCGGATTACCCGCATAGGTCTGGGGGTTACACCCAAAATTGTTTCCCTTAGGTTTTGGATTGACATACAATAAAAAGAAGAAACCACAAGGCTAGACAATTTCACGGGATGCCGGTGGTTTTAGTTTTATGACTAATCAAAGGAAGAAACAACTTCTACCATGGTACACCTTTTTTTTTTTGAAGGATTCTACCATGGTACACTTATTTGTTGCTTGTTGTACCCTTTCTTGTATAATGCTTGTAAATGAGTGTGCTCAATCACATTGTCATTCCACCAAAACCCTTCTATTTCGGTATATATCCAATTCTTCCACTCGAATTTGAGAAACGTAGTTAGATCTTATTCCTTTCCCTCATGTTCGAATGTTGCGGACGAAGGTTTAGTTATTAGTTAGCACTGATGTAATTTTTCAATTTTTTTATATCAAATTGAGTTCAAGTTTTAGCGTGAGCCAAGCTTCTGGTCTAGCTCACGACTCTTATAGTTTGAGCTCGACTTGATTAACAGAAAGCATCTAACAGGGCATAGATAATTAACACATAGATCATCCTGGAAAACTCAAAAATCCGAATAAGAAATAAAGAAAACCATGCAAAACTCCCTCACATATTTCACCGCGCAATACACTTCACAATCTGAACACCATAGCAGAAACTCACTCGCTCGACATCGTACCCTCTCTCTTGAAGCTCTGAAATAACTTCATTCCTCATCCTGAGCCAAAGCTTTATTGCCTCCTGCTCGAACTTCTTGTTCTGCATCTCTTCCTGATAATTAAACGAATCTTTATCAGTTTCAATTATACATTTGGGGCCAATCGTAGTCCCAATCATGCCTCCCTTGGCAATGAACTCTTCCATGGCCTCAGCATCACCGGGATAAGGAAACTCTCTGCGCTCATATAAATGGGCTAACTCCCTTTCTTCCTTTGGCCTAGGCTTCAATGTCCACCACCCCAGTGGGGACATTTCGTTGTAGAGCCATGCGACGCTGAAGAGCGTATACGTGCACAACCAGAGGCGGGGCTAGCACATGGACAACATGTGCGACGGAACAGGGCCCTGGAATAACAAGGGTCTCGAAAAATTAGATTTATTACTATTGTTATAATAAAAAAACAAATAAAATATTATAGATCAATGGTAAAATTGAGATTTAAGGGTCCAAAAAATTAGATTGATTACTATTGTTACAATAAAAAAAGCAAACAAAGTATTATGAATAAGTGGTAAAATTGAGATTTAAGGGTTTTTTTTTAGAATTTGTAAATGTCCTAGCCCGACTCTGTGCACAACAACGCTTTCCCAACTTGTTTCCAAAAGTGATGGTCTTCTTTGCCTAATCCTATCTTTTTCAAATACTTATCCGCGTCTATCGGTTTCAGTAACTGGAAACCTGTAATTTTGAGGAAAACTAGTTTGATTCAGGCATTTCATCAAACAGGTTGAAGTCAACTAAATTGAAGGGGGGATGGAAGTTTGCCCCACTTTTGGCATTGCAATTTTACCTGTCTTGGCTTCCTGATATCGTTTCCGAATCATTGTTTTCCGATATCTTTGATCAAGCTAATCCCTATCCGTTGATCGAGAAATAATTTGTCTGTTACATACGATGCGAGAAAAGTTACCTGTCAAACAGTTATCAATCTTCCTTTGGGAAACTAAGGATAATTAAGTCATTTTGGAAGTTTAAATTAGACTACCTTTCAATTGAAGGATTCGGCCGTAGTTTACTGAAGCGGTGAGCTTTGGGTCTCTATCAGCCGAAAAAAGCAGAAGCAAAGACATGAACTCCGTGAAAGTAGTCCATTCTATGATCGGAACCATCGGTTCGGCAACTCATACAGCGCGCTTTGCCTTGATACCGCCACGTGTTCCCCGCTTTTTTCAAACCCCCCAAGTAAGCTAAGCTAACGAACATGGCTTCGTCCATGTTATCTCAAAAACAAAAACTGAAAACAAACACATTTTATTTTCCAAAATATCTTCATTTCGCCACTTGCGTCGGGAAATTTTGGAACTTTCGTTTGAACAAAATATAAAAGATTTTGATGTTGAGTTTCCACTATCTACACTATACTCTTTACATTCACTCAATTTTATTTTATTTTTCTAAATTTAAGTGTATTATTATAGTTGTTATTAAACAGATTTGGAGATGGCGGAAAACGGCAAATCTTCGACAGAGAAAGTACCGGCGGCTGCGCATCCGTTAACCGAAAATCCGACGGAAATAGCAACGGATATCAATTACCACGTGAAGTTAAATACTCATTTCTCGCCGTTCAAGTTTGAGCCAGAACAAGCTTTCTTTGCTACAGCCGAGAGCGTTCGCAATTGTCTCATCAAATTATTTAATATGTCGTTGTTTTGTTTTGATGATTTTATTTTCTTTGTAGAAGTTTCTTTTTCTCTAATTATGGAGTTTTTATTATTTATTTTGTGAAGCAATGGGAGGACACTTTCTGTACTTTGTCAGAGATAATCCGAAGCACACTTATTACTTCTCAATGGAATTTCTTCAAGGACGAGCTTTGACTAATGCGATTGGGAATCTCGGCATTGAAAATGCTTACGCCGAGGCTTTGAATAAGTTGGGACATGAACTCGAAGAGATTGTTGAGCAGGTAATTAGTAAATCAATTTAGTCATATTTATTTTGTTATTGAGAAAAAGGAAGAAACAAATTTAATAGCAGTAATAATATAATAAAAATAAGATGCATCAGTTTTTTTATATCAAACAATTATGTGCAGATAGTAGCAAGAAGCCTGTTTTAGTTTTAAATTGCATTATTTTGATGACTGGAAATGGTGGCTTGGGAAGGATTGCTTCTTGTTTTCTCGATTCCATGGCAACGTTGAATTTGCCTGCTGGGGGATACGGTTTAAGGTATAAATATGGGCTTTTCAAACAGCGGAACACTAAACAAGGACAAGAGGAAATTGCGGAAGATTGGCTTGAGGTTGGTTCAGCTTATTTCACCTTGAAGTTGCATGGAGGCCCTGGAATATTCACTGATGTTTCTGTTTTGATTGGGATTTTTCTTTTTTGCATAAGTTTAGTCCTTGGGAGGTTGTTAGGTATGATCTAGTGTATCCTGTCAGATTCTTTGTAAGTGTTTAGGTTAATCCAGATGGGTCGTAAGTGTTAATTTAAGACATAATATGCTCTAGGTTGATATTTTAACTTGTTTTTGTTTTAAACTTACTCAAAATTTGCAGAGTTAATTCATGCATTTTTAATGATTATTATGTTCAGTTTTAGTTCGTAATTCCTCAATATTATGGTTGTCTTCTATTCACTTTTCCAATTCAGCTTTTAGAAGCAAAAACAAATAGCAAAAGAAACAACAAGATGGACCCTTACAACTTTATATGCTGACGTTTTCATATGAATATGGATTTCATTAACATTTCCTTAATTAGTGTTATTTGATGCATTGCAGTACAAAATGGGTTGGAGGATTCCAGGATATAAAACCAAGAATACAATAAGTCTTCGCCTCTGGGAAGCAAGAGCTCGTGCTGAGGATTTCAATCTTTTTCAGTTTAATGATGGACAATATTAATCTGCTGCACAGCTTCATTCCAGAGCCAAACAGGTGAATTACCAAGACCATTAACGAGAAGCTGGTTTTGAAAGCCTTCGTATTGCAGGATGAACCAACTATGCTAATTGTGAAAGATAAACTGAATAGTTGAATTTTGGTCTCTGGGTACAAAATGATATCAATCACCAGTCTTCTAAATTGATTCAGTTGAATAGCATATATAAGCTTCTGAAAAGGAAAAAAAAATCTACATTTCATACACATCTCACTACATGTTACTTGGCACTTACAGTCTATGAACTTTTTACTTGCAGATATATGCTGTTTTGTATCCTGGAGATGCAACTGAAAGTGGGAAGCTTTTACGTCTGAAACAACAATTTTTCCTCTGCAGTGCATCATTGCAGGTTAGTTGATATAGTTATTGCTTTTTTTCTATATCATTTATGATTCTTTGATTCTTCTATTGCTTGAGGACAATTATTTCTAGCATGGGTTAGTTGCATGAAAACAGATTCTTTTCTATCTCCCAGTGTTCTTTAACCCAAGATTAATTGTGAATCTACCTAAATTAAAAGCAAAGGAGCAATTTTAAATTATACATGATAAGAGGTCTATTGCATGTAAAAGCTACTGCTCGCTTTATAGAATTAAAGTATGAAGTGATCTATATTGAAATAATAATCTTGGTCATAGTTCCAAGTGAGAGTTTTCTGCTCAGATAAGTTTTAGTACCAAGTGAGAGTTTTCTGCTTAGATAAGTTTTAGTACCAAGTGAGAGTTTTCTGCTCAGATAAGTTTTAGTTCCAAGTGAGAGTTTTCTGCTCAGACAAGTTTGTGTATATGAATTTTAAATAGAAAATCACACCTTTTCTGCAATGAAGAATGCCAAACCAAATTTCTTCAGTTCTTACTGAGATAATTTCCCCCCAATTCAACAGTGTCACGGGTTTGATTTCTTCTGATAGAATTTATTCTATTGGTCTCGAATCTCAATATTGGATTATTACAGGACATTATTTCCAGATTCAAGGATCAAAGAGGTGGATACACGTGGTCTGAATTCCCCAGCAAGATAGCTGTACAACTGAATGATACTCATCCTACGCTTGCAATTCCAGAGCTGATGTGCTTACCAATGGAAGATGAAGGACTTGGGTGGGATGAGGCTTGGGATGTGACAACAAGGTGCCTGGTTCAACTTCTAAAAGTGTTTTATAGTAGCTTCTGTTGCTTTATGGCATATGTTGCCATCAGATTTTTTTTGACATTATTAAATGTAAATAACTGAATCAGGACAATTGCTTATACCAATCATACTGTCCTTCCTGAAGCACTCGAGAAGTGGTCTCAACCTGTCATGTGGAAGCTTCTTCCGTGCCATATGGAAATCATAGAAGAAATTGACATAATGGTAATTCACATGTCTTTCCTTTATATTTGTTGAGAGCTAATTGCAAAATTTAATTTTTTCAGTTTCTTGCAATGGTCAAGGACACCCGTCCTGATCTTGAGTATAAGCTTCCTAGCATGTGCATCTTGGATCATAATCCCCCGAAACCAGTTGTGAGGATGGCAAACTTATGTGTCGTATCTGCACATACGGTGAGTAAAATCATTCTACAAAAACCATTGAAGCTCATGAAATTGTAGTCAAAATCTCTATTTTGTCTCCTTTCATAAATCAAAAGTACTACTTTTGAGCTGTTCAGCAATACATCACATGATTTTCGAAGTAACTTCATGTTTCTGACCTCTTTTCAGGTGAATGGTGTAGCTCAGCTGCACAGTTACACCCTGAAGGCTGAGTTGTTTGTAGTTACGTCTCTGTATGGCCCACCAAGTTCCAAAATAAGACTAACGGCACTCCTCGGTGGCTTTGGTTTTGCAATCCAGAGCTCAGTAACATAATCACCTAGTGGTTCAAAAGTGACCAATGGGTGACCAACCTTGACATGCTTTCTGGTCTCCGAAAAGTATGTATCAGGATAATTCTCTGGACTACGATTTATTTTTCTTCTTTCAAACCTATAGTTGCAGTGATCCTGCATATTGAACTCATGCTTCTCCAACAGTTTGCCGATGATGCAAATTTTCAAGATGAATGGGCATCTGCTAAGATGGCTAGTAAACGACGTTTGGCATCAAACATATCGTGTGTAACAGGAGAAAGCATTGATCCAAACAGTTTATATGACATACAAGTTAAGCGTATTCATGAATACAAGAGACAGCTGCTGAACATTTTGGGTGCAATCGATAGGTACAAGAAGTTAAAGGTATCAAAGCATACTGATTGTTCTTGGCATTTTGTTTGCTTAATCATTTACTGGCATTTCAACCAATATAGTATACTTTTTGTCTTATCAAATTTGAAAATCGTCATAACTATCTTATTCTTATCAGTATGCTACTGTGTATGTGCATAATTTTTCAATCCGATTGCTGCCTTTAACATCATGATTTTATCACTATCAATCAAATTATGCAATTAAAATAATTTGAGATTAAACGTACCTACTTAAGAACTCAAACTAATTGCTTCACCTTCTATTAGCTCTTATATATCTTACTTTCCATTCTTTACATTGATTTAGATATTTATTTTTTGGTTCTTTAATGTATATATCAACTCAAAGTCAATGATCAAATAATTCACACTGACTTGTTTTCATGAAACTAATTTATGGTAGCAGAAGAGTCCTGAACAGCGAAAAAATACAACTTCTCGTACTATCATGATAGGAGGGAAAGCGTTTGCTACTTGTACAAATGCTAAACGAATAGTCAAATTGGTGAATGATGTTGGTGAAGTAGTAAACAATGATCCTGAAGTCAATAGTTATTAGAAGGTAAATCAATTATTTTCCACTATTGCTTTCAACTTTTCATGATCTTTTATTGTGTAAGTTCCCTTTTCCCATTTTCCGCTACTTCAATATTTTGTATCCTACTTGTGGAACTTTTACGACACTTTTATTTAGCAAAGTAACCAGCGCAAACATAAATTACTCGTAGTAAAAATGGAAAGACAACACAAAAGAAAATTTGAAATCTCTGATATATCCAGTGAATGTGATAAGATTGAAGCATCGATGCAGTTATAATTGTCTAATTGGTGCAGAATTCCTTAAGCCTAGGGCCTCACTAGTATGTTATTTCTTATACGATGTTCTTTGCTTGTTCTTCGATTGTACTACTTATGTCACTAGGCAAAATATTTGGTAAACGTTTTGATGTGTTATTCATTTGTTCCAATTATGTCGGATTCATCCTACAAACTATATGTTATGTACTTATCATTCTTTTACTCTTCTATTCTTGGAAATTTTCAGGTGGTATTTGTTCCAAAACTACAATGTATCCGTAGCTGAAATGCTTATTCCAGGAAGTGAGCTTTCCCAGCATATTAGTACTGCTGGCATGGAGGCTAGTGGAACAAGTAACATGAAATTTGCTCTAAATGGCTGCCTCATAATTGGAACACTGGATGGCGCTAATGTAGAAATCCGAGAGGAAATTGGGGAGGAAATTTTCTTTCTTTTTGGTGCAAGAGCTGATGAAGTCCCTAGGTTGCGCAAGTATCAAGAGAACAGATTGGTATGGATTATTTGATTTACATATCCAACCATCTATGTTTCTCTGAATGTCTGAAGCTGAAAGTTGCAAAAATGCTAGTTAGTCCAATCTTTTGAGACACAGACACATGCACACCAAGCACACGCATTGCTAATAGTGTCATTAAATTTGGTACTGTAACTTGGTGAAGTTACAGTCGACTGGTTCAACTGAAATTAGCGACTGTTACTGTTAAACATCAATATTTTGCCTAAAATCGATGTGACTAGTCTTGAAAATTATGGACTACTCTGTTGCGCTAGTGTAATACTATTTCAAACTCATCCAACAGTTCGAACCCGATCCTCGGTTTGAAGAGGCCAAGCAATACATAAGAAGTGGAGCATTTGGAAGCTATGACTACAAGCCACTTCTGGACTCTCTAGAGGGTAACTTGGGTTACGGTTGAGGCGATTATTTCCTAGTTGGTCATGATTTCCCTGATTACTTGGATGCTCAGGCCATAGTAGATGCAGCTTATAAGTCTTTACCTTTTTAAAAAAATGCTGTACGTTCCAAGTTACATGAACAAGATGTCATATATCGATACTTCAGGGACCGGAAAAGGTGGCTAAAGATGTCTATACTAAGCACCGTTGGCTGCGGCAAGTTCATCAGCGATCAGACTATAGCTCAGTATGCTAAGGAAATCTGGAACATCCAGGAGTGCCGCGTGCCGTAGCTCCTACCAGTCTCTCAGCAATCAGGTTCTGGTTTTCATGATCATATAAGAAGATCGAATGATAGGATTCACATTCCAAAATCATTTATGTTTAGCAAAACGAAAATAAGCGAGAAACCCTGCATCTGGATTTCACCTTAAATGCAATAAACTAAGTTGTGTTTTACTGAACAGCTTTTACTAGCTTGTGGATTTATAATAGTGTATTAAAATTTTAATTTTAGTAATTAGGATTCAATCCTTGGACACCTTGAAAAATATTCAGGAAAAAAAAAAAGCATGTATATTTTTCATTGCTTTTCCATTCGATATAGAGTTTGAAGTTGTAGATCCTGCCTGGATTACCTGTGCTCGATATGTTGCTTGAGATCGGTTTGGAAAAGAAGAAGCTGGAATTGAGGTTGAGTAAGAAGAGTTCAGGCATCTTAAATTTTGATTCAAGTAAATACAGAAACACCTGATTTGACTTAAATCTTGAAAGAATTTTTGAATAGATTCTATTCTTTTTATAAAAATCAAATTTAAGATTATTTATAAAGAACTTAAAAAATCAAAATTTCGGATCGAATCCTGTCAATTTATTAGATTAATTCATTTTAATCGATTATTTACAAATTTCTACTAAAGTGTTGATTCTATATTTGATTATTTGGATTGATACATTATAAGATATTATGTTTACAAAATAATCATATATTTTATTCCAAATAAGAATTATCATTTAATACACCAATACAAAATAAAATAGCTCCAGGATAATGATTTGTTATATTCATTTATTAAATTAAAGACAAAGAACATTTATCTTAAAACCACATAAATTATATTTTTCATTAATAATGTGTCCAATAATAGTTTAAAATAAAATATATATATATTTTTAAATCTAAATAGAAATACGATGATATAAGTGAATTCCTAACGCTATAGATGAATATAACGGTCAATAAATTGTTTGTGAATCGTTTGTATAACATTTGTCTATGTTCGTCTGTTAAGCTAAATAAACGAGTATAAACAATTTTTTTTATATTTATTCAATAAATGAATCAATACGAATAGAGATATGTTCGGTTCGTTTATATTTACGAACAAACTTATTTATAAGCTCGTTTATGAACTCATATATAAACGCATTTATCAACTCATTCGTTTATGTTCATGAATAAAACATGTTTACTTAGTTCTCCTCCTCATTTTATTTTTTTACATTCTAAATATCAATGGATTTAGACACTAGATTAAATACATGATTAAAGTTAAAATTTAAACTACAAATTTTTAAAAATTTAAACACTAATAACATAATTTTACTATTTTTCTTTAACTTGCAAATGAAAAAGATAAAATTAAAAGTTGAACATATAAACTAGTGATAATAAACACTCAACAACAAAAGTTAAACAAACAAGTTTACATTGGTTAAACGAATATGTTCATAAATAATAAATAAACTTTAAAAAATAAATAAAAAAACATAATATGATATTAAAATTTTAAATAAACATAAACATCCTTAAAAATAAACAAACTATCTTTATCATCATTTACACCATATGCATTCCAGCACTAATAATAAGTCTGGTTTTTAAGCCATTTCTGTTAGATCGAGGCCAAATCTAGCGCAACGCGTAAATGCTTGTAAGGATGATGTCAACTTGATAATTCGGTCACTTAGGTGAAATTCTTTGGTTCTCATGATGTAAACTTGATAATTTGGTCACTGTTACATAAAATTCTTTGGTTCACATGACAACTTCAGAGATTAATCGTGGAGCTTAAAAGCATGTCTTAAACAGATATCGAACTGAAATAACGGAGGAGGTCATGCTATGGCTAATTTCATAATAGATTACTAATAAACAAACAGCTTAAAAAGGGTCAAACATCACATTCTCATGAAACTACTAGCATATAGTTCAATCAATCAATACACACAAAGCTTAGCCGAGTAACTAAAGCAGGCATCTAAATCCCCAACCCTCCTTCATGATCATGGATTAGATCTTGAAGGAGATCTCGAAACCACATTTTGACTTGGACTTGCACTTCTCGAGCAGCTGTCACTAGAGCCTTCCCGCCTCGGGCTCCTCGAGTTTTTCCTAGGCATTGGAGAAATGCTTTGCGAGTAACTCCTAGACCTCCTTTCCGCAGGAGAAGTGCTGCGTGAATAACTCCTTGAACTGCTCAGCTTGGGGCTGACTCTATATGAGTTGCTTCTCCTCGAAGCCCTCCTCAACCGTGGTGGTGTAGGGCTCCGAGAGACGGATCGAGAGGGGGCTCTTTTATATCTATGGTATTGATCATATGAGGAATCATACCTAGAGTTGTATGGTGAGAAGGAACGGTCCCGCCTTCTATAGTACCTATCATCAGGTGAGTAGGAACGGTCCCGCTTTCTATGGTAGCGATCATCGGGAGAGTAGGACCTATCATGCCTACGGTAGTATCTATCATAACGAGAGTAGGACCTATCATGCCTTCGGTAGTATCTATCATAAGGAGAGTAGGACCTATCATGCCTTCGGTAGTATCTATCATAAGGAGAGTAGGACCCATCACGCCTTCGGTAATATCTATCATGAGGGGAGTAGGACCTATCACGCCTTCGGTAATATCTATCACAAGGAGAGTATGAATGGTCCCGTCTCTGGGAGTAACGATCATTTGGCGAGTAGGACCGATCACGCCTTTTATAGTACTGATCTTCGGGAGAGTAAGAATGGGAGTAAGATCGGCTCCTACTCCTACTTCTCTGAGATGAATAACAAGATGATGGACTCCTGCTCCTTGAATAAGGAGAATAACTAGGAGATCGACGAGGTGAGTAGCTTGGTGATCGATGACGCACTGTATGCGAGAAGAAAATTATAACCCTTTAACTATTTGGCTTGAAGATAAATAAAATATTGACAATTATAAAAATGAAGTCCTACCTCGAATAGTTCTCAACCCCAAATACCTTCCTGGGGTAGGAGTTCTCCCCCTCCGTCTTCTGGCCTGCAGCAAACAAAACTCAAAACATGAGATTCTGAAATTACCAAACTGTCCATGAATAAATGGGCCGGAAGCCGGAGATTTTTTTCCTGGAACAGTGAAAAATAAAATGGCGAGACATAAAGCTAAATAAAGAGAGAAATTCAGGGCATACAACCCTAAAAAACTGATTCTTGTTGTTGTGTTTGAATTGTTTGGTTAGTTGTGACTTTGTTGAAGAGCTGCTACACAGCTAACCTGCTGCCACAAATACTTCAAGTGGAAAGAAGCAAACAACTTTCAAAACCCTTAGAAAACTGGTTCCAAATACTTGTGCAATTTGTACAGAACAAACATGAATAACCATCAAAGCATGCAATAATCGAGAAGAAACTGAATTCCAAACTTATTTTTACCTTCTCCACCATAATGACATGCCCTTCGAGAACAGAGCGGTCCAAACACTTGATGCAACGATCAGCTTCTTTGTTGGTGGCCATTGTAACAAAACCAAACCCACGAGACTCCCTCGTCCGTGGATCAACCACAAGATGAACATCAATCACCTATACAAATAATATATCATTTTCTCTCTTCATAAGCGGGTTTTTCATTTTTGGTAAAACCAAAATTCATATTCGAACAACACAAATTATAATAAAATTTAGGTACAATTGTACTCATCCATACCTCTCCCTCACTTGCAAAATGCTTCTCCAACTCTCTCTTCGTGACTCGAGCTGACAAGCCAGTCACATACAAACTGTTCCCGGGGTTCTCAACATCACTTTCAGCACTCCTACATTTCGGAAAACCAATCAGCACGAACAAAATAAAAATTTTGAGGGGACCAAAAATCAAAAGCAGAAGGCGGAATTAGGAGAATAATTCATACCTTGAACGACTTCTTGAACTCGACAAAGATCTGGACGCGGACCTGCTGTATCGCTTGTATGGGGATGGAGAGCGTGAATACCTTGACCTCTTAGAGTACATCTGTAAAGATGAATAAAATATACAGCCCAGTACTTCAATTACAATATTTCCACTATAATCTAAGCACATATAGTCATATTTGAAAGTATTTCTTGAAAGACCAGCAAATCTACCACGTCTGAAAACATTGTTCGTAACAAGGTCCATAACAAAATCTACAATTTCATCTTTATATAGCATATTAATTAAAAAATTTAAAGCTCCATCAGAATTACTTCCCTTGTTAAATTAGAAAAAAGAAAACACTATGTACAACACTCTTGACGTTAATTTTTTATAACAGATAATAGGAATTTAAGCAATTGATTCAACTTATCATATTAAACATTCAATTAAATCCATTTTTTCTTTTTTGTTATAACAAAACAATATTCAAATAAACAAACAAAATCACATCTAAGCAATTAAGTTATGAGCGATTCAAATTTAAGTCCAAACCTATTCCTCGTCCTGCGCAAAGCCAATTTCAAATTCAAAGAAATGAATTCATATTATAACAATTAATATTAACAACAACAGAAAAAACTAATCCGCTACCAAGAATTACATATCGATTTAGGAAACAACACAAACAAATTATTAAAAACAAATCAATAAATTAATTAAAATCGATGAATTACCTTCGAACAAATGAACAATTAAATGCTGAAGGACGAGTCTTTTGAATTCACTCCTGATTTCTCTTTTCTTCACGGGAAATATTTGCTTGGTTAAAACGCGACGAAGTGCTCTGGGAGGGGAAGATTAGTCATATATAAATAGTAAAGGACACTAACAGAAGTTTCTGGAGATGCGGGCGTGATGAGCGCATTAAAATTCGGGTGAATTCTCCGCCATCATGTCCGTGGATGTGACGCGCGTCGAGAATTCTGTTTTTAGGGGGTTTTGGTCCAAACGTGACGCGTGTCGAGAGGAGTGGGATTGCGGGTAAAAGAATTGGGAGGAATAGAATAGGTTACAACGTTTAAGTGAAGGGAAATGAATCCGCTAAGCACCGAAGTAAAACTCGGGTGGTTATCATATATACTAGCTAGTTTTTTAATTAATATTAGTTTCATTAAATAATATAAAATTATTTAAAAATATATATTGAATATTTCTCTTTAAACTATTGGGTATAAATTAGACATCTAAAAATAATAGATGCTCATATAAGGAAAAAAATAAATTTCTAATAAAAAACTTTAACAAATAATAAATTTATTATTGATAGTGAATGATAGAGATGAAAGGATGATGAATCAATGTATTCCTAATTTGTTTGTTGCCAGAATCCTCAAACTCCTAATTCGTAGGATGGTGAATTATATTTCTCTATCATTAGCCATTAATAACATTATTATGTTAATAATATTGTTCTATCATTTGGAATAATATTTCTCTATCATTCACCATCAATAATATTACTATGTTAATGTATTACGAATTAGGAATTTGACATATTTCACCACCCTACTAGCTAAATAAGAATGATGAGTTACGTTAAACTCTCAATTCGTTGATTGTTAAAATCTTTAAAACTAAGTAATTATATCACTCAGATTATCGGGAACTTTCACGTCTTATATCTACTCGTAGAATTGATGGTTTAAATTGGGTGGCGGATCTTATTATCCTTGAAACAAAACATTGGAATTATAATTTCATTAAAGAGAAATTTAATAGTGAAGATGTTGCAACTATTTTATGCATCAGGCTATTGAGAGTTTCTCAAGCAGCGAAATCCGCTTCCAGTTAGTTGCACAAGTCAATTTTATAATTCTATATAGAGGATAAATTGTCCCAAAAAAATAAAGATCGATCTATAGAAGTTTGCCTATAACTATCTCTGCACAATCTATATTTGAAAAAGAATTTCTTCTCATGATTTGTGTCTTAGATGTTCTTTATGCTCAGAGGCGGTTAACCACGCATGTAGACAATGTTTACATGCTAAGAAACTTTGAGAAGCTTTGGCTTTTTATTGGTCATCCGACACTGACCAATAGGGGTTACCTTTCTAAACTAGGTATTCTCTCCAACCAACCAACTCATCCCCGAACTAACTCTGCTGCAAGGTGGTCACCGTCCTCGGCTCCGATGATCAAATTGAATTTCGATGTTAGTTTTTTTATGCAGACAAAAACTTCTTGATCAGGTTTCATCATTCGAGATAGTAATGATCAAAATTTGGGTTCAACGTACCAAATTAACCAGAGCATTAATTTTGTTTTCGCAGCTGAAGCTATCTCTGCTGTACAAGGTTTGAATTTTGCTCACGAAATGAGTTTTAAAGATATCCTTGCTGAGAACGATTATCCGAAAATTATCCTCTCATAAAGAAAATTGTTCAGTTATCAGACCCTCTATCGCTGAAGCAAAACAACTCACAAGAAGGTTTCATACTTGCCATTTTAGTTTCATCGGACAAGAGGGTAATAAGGTAGCCCATGCAATGGCATCCCTTGGTTGCTTCGCCCTTGAGAATCGTTTTTGGGTCGAGGAAGCCCCTGTTGAAATCGCCATTGTCGTAATCTGATCGGCGTTTTCTTGACCCACCTTTGAAGACTATCATCATCAACAACATTTTATGGGTTATTGAACTCTTTGTCCACTATGATTTGATGATCTCTAATTTTCATTTTTGAACCGGGGAAGGGCATGCGTAGGGTAGGATCGAATTTGTGATAAATCCGATCCGATCTGAAAATTATATATTTTTCAATTGAATCGTCCCGAAAATATACATCCTTCACCCGACTCGAACCCGACCTGACTTTTTGAGATAAAATCCGAACTTAATTCGACCCGATTGAACTTAATTGAAAATATATATAGAGAGAGGCATTATTATAATTATCCTTAATTATAATGTATAATTATATGTTTTTTAGGGTTGGGTCGGGTAATATATTTTCACCTTAATCCCGACCCGATTTGAACAAAATATCTAAAAAATCTTACCCGACTCAATCCAAACTTCATTTAAAAAAAATCCAATCCGATCTGAACACATCGAATTCGAATCTCATGTACATCCCTATTTTGAACTGTCGTCAATTAGTCCTCGAATCATCTGATTTGGTCTCTTAAATTTTGAATGGTTATTGTTTAGTTTTACTTTTGATTCCGTTTTGCCTTTCTATTTTGTTTTTTCTGCTTGTTCGAAGGGCCTTAGTTTGTATTTTGGACATTTTCCTAATAATATCAGATGGTACCAATTTCAAAAAAAAAATATTATTAATGATTTTGTGAAAACTGAGTCAAATAAAAAATTTATGTATACAATAACACAAAATTAAAATTAACATATCACATTATATATTTAACTAAAATAAAATTCTAAATTTATATTTTAAATTATGATGGTTATTATTATTATTCATAAGTTACTCGACCTATAAATATTTATACTAAATTAAATTGGGCCTGGCATGCATAAACAAGAGTGGCCTTCAAGAAAGTGGTATTCGAACATTCTCTACCCGCCATCCATCTTACTAGAAGATTTCATTGGCGGGAACCAAACACCTCCAAGCCCTTCCAAGTGAACCTCGCGATTCAAAATTTCTTTCCCTTTTATATAACCCTAACCCCAGAATTCAGAATCTACCTCCCAAAAAAAGCAATTGAAGGAGAAGAGAGAAAAAAAACCCTAAAAATGCTTGAGCTTAGGCTTGTTCAAGGTTCGCTTCTGAAGAAAGTACTGGAAGCGATTAAGGACTTGGTCAACGATGCGAACTTTGACTGTTCGGCGACGGGATTCTCGTTGCAAGCCATGGATTCAAGTCACGTAGCATTGGTATCTTTGTCGTTGAGATCGGAAGGTTTCGAGCACTATCGCTGCGATAGGAACATTTCCATGGGGATGAATCTCAATAACATGTCCAAGATGCTAAAATGCGCCGGGAATGATGATATCATCACAATCAAGGGTGATGATGGCAGTGACACCGTTACTTTCATGTTCGAGAGCCCCAGTAAGTTCATCATTTTCCTGGGTTCTTTTGATGCCATTTTTATGTGTTTTGGTGTAAATATCAAGTCAGATTTTTATAGATTTTCTATTTTTCTTGTCGAATTGTTATTTTGTGTATGTGTAAATGGAATTAAAGCACAAGACAAGATATCGGATTTTGAGATGAAGCTGATGGATATTGATAGCGAGCACCTTGGAATTCCAGAAGCGGAATACCAATCAATCGTTAGGATGCCTTCGGCTGAGTTTGCAAGGATTTGTAAAGATCTTGCTAGCATTGGTGATACTGGTACTACTCAAACTTCTAGCTTTAATTGATTTTGTATGTATCAATGAAATTGATAGAATTACGGAGCTCTAATTGATTATATTTGAAGTTAACTCTTGTTTGATGTGGTTTGCAGTTGTTATCTCTGTAACTAAGGAAGGTGTGAAATTTTCCACAAGAGGTGATATTGGAACTGCAAACATTGTTCTTAGGCAAAATACCACCGTGGATAAAGTGTGTTCTTTGCTCTTTAAGCCTATAATTTCCTGGTTTTTGTTTTAGTACTGGGTGTTTTATACCATGTAAGTTGGTTAATTTGATGGGTTATTGATTTTTCTTGGTAAAACGCTTTGCAGCCAGAAGAAGCAACAATCATAGAGATGAACGAGCCAGTTTCATTGACATTTGCATTGAGGTACATGAACTCGTTTACAAAGGCTACTCCGTTGTCAAGTACAGTGACGATCAGCTTATCCTCGGAATTGCCTGTTGTGGTTGAGTACAAGATAGCTGAGATGGGTTATGTTAGGTTTTACTTGGCACCCAAGATTGAAGAGGATGAAGATGAGATTAAACCACAAGTTTAACTTGATTTTGTAGTATGAATTTGATGTTTGTGCCATTAATGCTTCCATCGGAGTTTTATTTTGGGTTTCAACTTGATAGCTAAACATCGCGTAGTTTAGTATTTGATGGATTATAAGTATTTGTTGCATTATTTCTTCTTATTTTGTCTTAATTTCTTTGCAACTTTGTAGGTTCTCGTTAATCATGTTGAGAATTCGATGGTTACAGTGAATTTGGGAATGTTTTGATAGTAAAGCTATGTAAACTGTTTTAAAGTCTATATAATATTTTACCAATATATTAAAATTTATATAAATATAAAGCACTTTAAACCCAAATATGATTTACTGACACTAAAGATAAAGAATTATAGCATAGATTAGTGATGAGCAAAGTTTGATTTGATTAAAAAAAAGCAGTTTAATTTGATGTATATGGAGAATTCATCAAATTATAAACAGAACACATTCAGACTATTATTTATTGGTGAATTAATTGAAAAATCAAAAGAACAGTCAACAAATTGCAAGCAGCTGGAAAGTTAATAAATTGTTTAGTACATTCGACAACGATTTCAAGGTCTCAAACCATTTAAGGCAAAGAAGAGAATGGCAATATAATCCCCATAAGAAAAGATTGATCACTACGATCTCCAGTCTTCTCCAGCATACACTGCATGATCACCGAGTTCTTGTTCGATACGAAGCAACTGCAGAAAAGATTTATTACCCCCAGTAATTTCAATTATAGCCTTTTTTTCTAGACATTTAATTTCATCTATAGATTTGTGTTGATGGTTCCTACACCAAGCAATACCTATAAGCTATGTGGTTTTAAAAACAAAAATTAGAAAGAGAAGCACTTTAGAAATAGAAGCGCAAACCTGATTGTACTTGGCCAATCGCTCTCCTCTGCAAGGAGCCCCTGCTTTGATCTGACCTGCGCCAACTGCAACTGCTAAATCGGCGATGAAAGAATCATTAGTTTCCCCAAATCTATGAGATACCACCACACCCCAGCGGGCTTCCTTTGCCATCTTTACCACTTCAACAGCCTCTGACACAGTTCCAATCTGACTTATCTGATTCAGAATATAGATCTATTAGAACATGAGGTTTCGTATTCAGATCATATTTATAGTTTTTTTTGCTGCATTTAAATAAATAACATGGAAGAAATTATGTAAAAAAAAATGGTAATTCAACATCATTATTTTCAATAAAATTACTCGTGTTGTGTCCAGTTATCCGTAGCTACCTTGAGAAGAAGAGAGTTGCAAGCAGATTCCTGTATTGCTCTCTCAATGCGCTTTGGATTTGACATCAATAAGTCATCCCCAACCACCTGCAAAATCATCTTACCTCAAATTAGAGCTGGTCAAATATAGGACAGAAGATGAGATTTGGACAAATTGCAAAAGCAACCAATAAGTTCACGACAGCTGATCCCATTTATGTTTAGGTGCACCAAAAACCAACAATTAAACCATTTTGTCAAACAGGGTATGAAAATAAAAGCCGAATAGAATTTTCAAAGTAAAAGAATTTAACCATTTACAAGGAAACCATCTACCTCCAAAATGGTGGGAATATTAACTCTATATTCTTGCCTTTTGTTGTACATATTAAGTCAGATGAATACATCACTAATCAGCTGTATGTTAACAGAAAAACAAACCTGACATAGACCAAGACCGCAAAAGCGTTTACTGTGTTCCCAATCTTCCTTGTCAAAGGGATCTTCAATAGAAGCAATTGGATAATCTAAGACACCAGAAAAGAACCAGGAGCGGCACAGCATTAAATTTTAGTTGAAAAAACAAATCACAAAAAACAAACAGAAGCCTCTACAGAAAAACAGAGATACCACTACAAAGGTCTTTGTACATCTGAATCATATCATCTCCCGACTTGAAAATTTTCCCAGATTTTTGGAGATTTGAATTCTAAATCATACTTTGTACCTGTTTGAAAAGAAAGAAAGCAACTCCTATTTATTATGAGCAAGCCATGTCAACATATAAAAAACATCCTGGGACTCAAAAGTAGATTCTGAATAAGCATCCTAGCACCTAAATCATACATTCAGTTAAATATCTTATATCCTACCAATGAATATAATTCAATAGCATTGCATGGTGATGCCAACATCTCTTATATGAATAGTAGTTTTTCCCCAATCCTTGTCCCTGGTCTTACATTCTTCATAATGATAAAAATTATGAGAAAACATGCATCACCTATGCAAAATTCAGTAGCTGCAGCACCAATTCCTATCTTTATTTTGTCATTATACCCTGTTCTGCCAATAGCTTCTCGGACAATATCCAATCCTTCTTTTATGCTGCCAGAAATAGGAGAAAATCAAACAAAAATTTCCAGCCAGGTTCCTAAAGTAACATAGATAAACTTCATTTCCATTATGGGATTAGGGGCTGACTGCATTCATCAATAATGTGAAAAACGAGGATAGTCAGACTTAATAGTAGTACTTGCCTAGATATGTCAGGTGTGAAGCCACCATCTTCACCAACATTACACCCATTTGCACCATATTTTTCTGTAATAACAGCCTGCTCTTCTTTGCAATAAATGAATCAGTATATGCATGACATTTCTAGTGCAAATCACTTGTAAGAGAGTATACCATGAAAATATTAAGGTTGAGCGGTTTAAAGTTTCTACAAATGATCAGACTAAATGCTTTCTTATAATGACTGCGCATAAACTGATGGTTATGGTATTTCTCCAAAAGGAATAGGTGCCTTTTATGCATGTCTATGAAATCAGATCCATTCTCAATCATGAACTTTTAGAAAGTTTTAGGCATAAACCAATCAGCATACTAAAATCCTAACAGCTACACAGTAAAAAAAACTAGTTGCCAATAGCAACATTATGCAGGTCCATATTACATACCATAATAAATCCACATTTCTACCAAATCTCCTAAATTTATAGACAACAACTGTATCGCACTAGCAGTGTTGCAAAGTTCAAGATAGAAGAGGCATGCTGTTAGTAGAACAATTTCTGGAAAGTGGAACATGGAAAAGTTCAAGAAGGATCATGCACGTGTTTATAGGAAATATGTCAACAACAGTATATCAAGTTATCAACTTATTTACAATGACTAATGAGATAAGAACAACAATAAGATAAAATGGTGATCACCAAAAGAATAACACGCCAAACATAGAAACTGAATCTAAACCACTGCAAAACTCTCAATACAGATTTATTTTTATAATCAAGTTACCAGAACAAATTTCAAAGATTGTTCGACTCATAATTTGTTTACAGGGAAAACTATACTTGGCCAAAGAAGATGTTTGTGATGAGCATGCAACTTAAAACTAAATTCGAAGGGTACAAAATTGAGTTCAACAAAACCACCTTCAAGTGATGATAGGTCTCAGAGCCCATTTGCAAAGCTTCCTCAAATCTTCTAGCTCCTGTTGGGAGAATCAGGATGTCCTGATAGCGGGATAACTCAAATCAAGTCACACAGAGAGAAGAAAGTTTTCAGATACAAAAGAATCTAAATCATCATGCAGCCAGGTGTGAGGCATTTCAACAGAAGCAAAGGAATCATAATAAAAAAATGGTTAGATAATGGGGGCTCCAAGATGCTTTCGATGAATACAAGTAAAAGATCATTAAAAAAATGCTATAAGTCAATATTTAGAATTTAACCCCGAATATGGTTATCTACCTGAACGGGAAGATTATTCCCGGAATGTTTTCCGCCACAGATAATTGTGAAGGCAGGGACAGGAAGGGTTGAATTGGCTTTACCATAAATATCAGTTATGTGTTTGTAAAGAGGAACCTGAATTTTACTTTGGTTAGAAAATTTTGAACAGAAGATATTTTCTAGCATACAAATGCAAAATTGAAATCTATATTGGGAAATGATACCTCCTTTTCAGCAGCCCCAGCTCTGCATGCAGCAATTGACACAGCTAATATAGCATTTGCTCCAAGTTCAGACTGCAATAATGTTCAAAAAAGAACCATAATGCAACCAATCCTGTAAATTAGGATTACAATATGAATCATCCAGCCTAAAATACAAAATAAAGAGATTTGAAAATTGGTAAGGAAAAGATTGGCACAATAATTTATTCCTATTCTATTTATTCTTCACCTCATCTAGAATCCCTACAAATAAAATTATCGCACTTTTTCTCCACTCCACCTAAACCAGATGCCAGTTGACAGGCTCGTAACCTAAGTGCTTATAAAATGGTTTGGCTTCTTAGAAGCACACGGTGAACAGCTAACTCACTCGAGTTTTGAGAAAGAAAGAAATGTACCTTCTTTTCTGTCTTGTCCACGTCTATCATGGCTTGATCAATTTGAGGCTGAACCGTTGGATCCATACCAACCAATGCTTCAGATATTTTCTCATTGATGTTCTTAACAGCTTTTGTTACAGCATTTCCAAGATATATTCCCTTGTCCCCATCTCTCAGTTCAACAGACTCATACCTGAGATGAAATTGTCGGAATTAAGACATCATCATGGAATTTTAATTCTATGATAAAAATAATTTTCCAGTAATAATAAATAAGAGAGTCCAAAAATTAAAAAATAAAAAATAAAACTAGTAAAATGATTCAATTTATAGCAATGAATTGCCATATGAACTAAAACTAAATGCTTTGCTTGGTTCGGGTAATTTCTAAATTCTGAACCAAACAAAAATAAACTTTCAGTTGCCCCCTCATTTCTATTTATCAGCAAGCATAGTAACTTAGAGACAAATTACCGCATAAATTGAAGATTTGATTCATGTTTAATAAATGAAAACATAAGACGTAATTCTAAAAGTTCTAATTTCCATTGCATCAGAAATAGATTTTCTATCAAAAAAAAAGCAGGAAAAAAAAGAGTACAGAAGGGGAGAAATGAATAAGAAGGAAATGAAATTACATCCCACTGGAATCACCGCTAGGCACAGAAGCACGGAACATCCCCTTGTTAGTGAATAAATCAACTTCAACGGTAGAAATTCCTCTGCTGTCGAGAATCTGTCGAGCTTTTACCTTAGTTATCACTGAAGAAACAGCTTTTTTCATATGATTAGACTGCAAATTCATTTAAAAGAAAAAAGAATCACCATCAAAACAAAAAAAAAGTGAAGCAATTTGAAATTTTGCGGCGAAAAAAAGAGACAGAAGTCACAATGAAGAGAACGGGATCGGGAGTTTTGGCTCGGACGGCGGCATTGACGGCGTCTTCAATTTTGCGAGAGAGCATATGCTTGTCAAGGTACTCTTGAACAGACATTTTTATAAAACACTCCGTTAGACTACGATTTGAAGCGGTGAAGATCTGACGGAGATGCTTTGCCTTTCGAGCTTTGATCCCTAAATCTTCACACTTTTGAGATATTCGGGTGTTAAAAGAGAACTGAGTTCCACTTGATTTCCAAACAATCGAAAGCTTACCTCACTCACTCTTTTGTAATCTGAAATTTCAAGCTTTTCAACGAAAAAAGACACCTCTCTTTCACAGTCGTTCGTTCTCCCACATCACTTTCGCCTTCCTCCGAACAATTGAAATCCAATTTTCGGGGAAATTTTCCATTTAACTTTTGAGTTTCTTGGGCCGATCGAGAGAGATTTGGATTAAGCAAGGTGATTTGGGCAAACCCTGGGCCACGCTCAGTTTAAAAAACATATGGTCATACAGGCTCCCTTGATGAATTTTCTCTTTTTCTTTTTAATTATGTAATATATTTAAGATGTTTAAACCCTACACAAAAATTATATAAAAATATAATTATTAATTATAAAAAATAATTTTTAATATGTTAAACATTTATTTTGTGATGCATGTTAAATATATTCTAATGATTCAAATCATATCCACTAATTAAACTATTATTTTTAATTTATTACTCATAAGTTTTTATATTATTATTAAGTTCATTATTGAATTTGTGTCATTAAGTAATCTAAGGTTAATTTAGTTAAAATTTATCAAAATATCATTTCATTAAGATTTAATATAAAATAAGTGTCCAAACTACATATCTTTTTCTATTTAGGTCCTTAAACTTTTATTGGTCAATTTAAATGTCTAACGTTTCCATTGTTATCTTGGTGCCTACACCGTAACCGTTGTTAAAATAAGTTAACCGATCAATATTTGACACGTGACTTGATTTTTTTATTCTTTAACTTTTGAAATTATAAAATTCACACAATTTCAAAAACTTACCCCAACTTTTTTTATTTTTCCTAAAATACCCCAAGACTTTCAATTTTGGCGCCGACCATCACCACCGTTGGCGACCACCCACTCACCCGATGGCCACCAACCCATCGACCCCTCATCCATCGATTGGGATGGATGGGTGTTGAAATTTAGAGATTTATGTTTTAGAATTAGAATTAGAGATTTGAGTTTATGGATTTTGAAGGTTTTAAAGCCACGATTGATAGCCAACGATAAGTGGGTAGATGACAGCCAGTGGGGGCAGGTGTGGTGATGCTTTGGGATTAAGGATTTTGGGACTTTTTTGATATTTTAGAAATGTTTTGGGGATTTTTTTAAAAAATAATAATAATTTATTTTTTTTAAATATTTTAAAAAAAACTATAAGAGATGCCAAATGTCACATTCTTAATGGTTGACGAAATATTTGTAGCGTCTGTCACGGTACAGGTAGAGGTGGCAAACGGGTCTTTCAGAGTAGGTTTGGGTTGGTTCGTGTCATTTCAGGTTTGGTTTTAATTCAAGTCAATGATAATTTAGGTCAGATCGGGTCAATATCAGATCGGTTGATTTTCAGGTCAGGTCAATACTAAACCGATTGATTTTGGGTCATGTCAATATTGGATCGATCGATTTTAGAGTCGAGTCAGGTTGAACAGTCTCGGCTCAGGTCAATATTTAGATTTTCTGGTCAATTTGGGTTGAGCTAAGTATGAGTCCAATCAAGTATATATAAAATTATTGATATATTCTTATAAGAAAAAATATATTTTTGTTTGTCAATCTTATCATTAGGTTCAAGTTAAACATTCATTGTTTCAAATAATAATATCATTTATGGATGACAATTTAACCCGAACCTATAAGACATATTAGATTTCGTGACTTGAATTTCATATTGATCTAACCTAAAAAGTTTGAGGTGGAAATTTTTTGGTGATGAATTAAATTTTAAATTTTATTCTCAATTTAAAATTTTAATTAGATGCTTGATGTTTAATTATAAATATAATATTTATTGAAATTTTAAAAATAATATAATATCAATATTTGAATGAATATTGATATAAATAATTTTAAAATAATTCAAAAGTTATTGGACCAGATACAAATAGGATCTTTTAAATGAAGAAATGTTATATTGAACCATTCAACTATTACTAAAGTCTAAAGGTGCTAGACTAATGGTAACTAGTAGTATAATACAAAATAAGAATAAAATATGCATAATTTTACTATTTATCAAATTTATTATTATTATTATTATTATTATTATTATTATTATTATACTTGGACTCGATTATCGGATTAAAATCAGGTCGAAGTTCGTTCGGATCAAATATGGGTAAATTAAATTCAGGTTGCTTTTTGTTCGGGTTATTTTCAATTTTAGTTGCTTTTGTTTTGGGTTGCTATCGACACTGGTTGATTTCGGTTCGAGTTACTTTTAGTTTGGGTTGTTTTCGATTCAACTAAAATTCGGGTCTGTTTCGGTTAAATTCGGTTTATTTCATGTTTCGAATCAATTTTGGGTATATTTGGGTCTATATCGAGTCTTAGATCGGATAAATTGGTTTGGATAATCGGGTACATGTCAACTTTGCCAGGTCTAGGCACCTAAATGATAACATTGAAAATGTTAGACATATAAATTGACAAAAAAAGTTTAGGCACCTAAAAAAGAACGAATATATTTTAAGCACTTTTGTCCCACTAAATTTGTTTTTTAAAATTTAAAATTTTTAAACATTAATTATTTAAAATATTTAAAATATAAATTTTATAAAATATAAATTTCAAAACTACTTAATTGAAGGTTTTTAAAATATAATTTTTCATATTTTTATCAATAATATAGTTTAATAACAATGAACCAAAGTGAAAAGATTATCTAAAAAAAATCAATAAGGGACAATTTGAGTAGAAACGAAAGAGTATTTAATAAGTAAAACCCTTGATTAAAAATATAAGAACAAATTACATAAATAATTACTGAAACATGAACATTTTTTTATTAAAATTTTAAAAATAATGAAACGATCACTATTATTATCATCGAAAAATTATCATCTAAAATTAACAAAAACGTCAATGCGTTGTTCACTGTCGCCATCCTTGTCACATAAACGGACTTATCATACTTGGACACTGATATGTTACCATTTGACTATATTGACCGGCCATTTTATTAACCCTCCTTAAATCATAGGAAATTTATCATAGACACTAAGACAGACAACCATTTCCAGCCTTTCATTTTAACCCTCTCTTTCTCCGTTAATGCAACTGGAAACAAATGAACAGATAAAATGCACCAATGAAAAACTAAGGAAAAACATTGTTTTGATCTTCACTTTCAAGTTACAATTTTGTACACATTCAAGTTACACACACCCTACACAGTTTCAGTTGCCTCACCGAAGAGCAGAAAGGGTTTATAGAAGAAATGACGGCCGAAAGGAAGACCCCCGTCAACTCCCCAAACCCAGATCTTATTCGTGGTTTAGGCAAGTATTCCAGGTCTAAGATGTATCACAAGGGTGGCCTTTGGGCCATCAAGGCCAAACACTAGAGCGTTTAAGGCCCCCGCTGCCGCTCAAGTTTTACCCAGATTACGATGTTAAGAAACCTCTTCTGAATAAGCGCAAGCCTAAACCCACCAAGCATTACTCCTGAGACGGTGTTGATTTTTTTGGTTCGTAAATTTGTGGCGAAGAGAGTTGTATTTTTTAAGCAAGCAACTTCCTTCTGGTCTTCTTTTGGTCACTGGACCATTCAACATCCCAGGAGTTAACGTAGATAAGTTCGATGACCCAAGGAAGTCGAGAAGAAGAAAAAGAAGGGTGAGGGAGGGTTCTTCGAATCTGAAAAAGAGGATAAGAAAGCTGTCCTTAAGAAAGTCCATCGATCGAGGGAGTCCCGGATTTGAAAGCCTGCAAGATTTTTCCTTCAAGTCTGGCACGAAGCCTTCTACTAGATTGTATTTAGCTTAGCTATTTTACTTTACTCTTCTTTTGGCTTTGAGTATTATACCATCTTTTGATATGTAGAACCCCAAGTATCCGTTTTTTGTGTTTTGTGCTAAAAAAAAGTTATACACACCCACGCAGAAAATCAAAGGAAAAAAGAAGGATAAAATAATGGGAAACTAACGTGTAGAAGGCATAAGATTCAACTGTAGATCATCTTTTTCCAAGACCAAACGTGCCTTACTAGTCTCCATGTTTGTTGTTGTTGCAGTATTATTATACTTGGGATGCAATCTCTTCTTTGTTTGTAAAGGTACGTGTTAGAAGTTTAAGTTAGTTATTTTTCTGTTTTAATTGTAACTGATTGACAGTTAGTTGGTTAGATCAAATTATATATATACATGTATTATTTCTATTCTAATACATGAGGTATTACACAATACAAGTATTTCCAATTTTAACATGGTATCAGTCTCCAGGCCATACCTTCTTGGGTTCTCTGTTTGGCCCATTTATCACTAACCGTTCTAGCCCGTCTCCCATCTGCAGCAGACTCGTTTCATTTCCAGCAGTCCTCTCATTTCATTTACTTTCCCAAATTGATTTCTCTTAGGGTTCATAGCGCTCACAGTTGATCCAAATCACCCTCTCTTCTTGCATCCGTCTGATACACCTGGTGTTCAACTGGTGTCCCTTCACCTCACTGGCGTTGAAAACTATAGTCTCTGGAGCCGTTCCATGCGCATCGCGCTTCTGGCCAAGAACAAGCTTGGCTTTGTCGATGGAAGCTGTCGACGAGACGATTATGAAGGTTTGATGCAGTCTCAATGGGAGCGTTGCAACGCTCTTGTACTCTCATGGATCCTGAATTCAGTCAGTCACGATCTATCTGCTGGCGTCGTTTTTGCCTCGACCCTAGAATCTGTTTGGAAGGACCTTAAAGAGCGTTTTGACAAAATTGATGGTTCCAGAGTTTTTTATTTGCATCGGTCGATTGCAACTCTCGTTCAAGGTGACTCGTCTATCTCCGTTTATTTCACTCGTCTCAAGCTTCTGTGGGATGAGTACACTGCTCTTGTCCCCTTCACTTCTTGCGGTTGTGACGCTGCACAACAAAATTCGGTGCATGTGGCTCAACATCGTCTTTTTCAATTCCTGATGGGCCTCAATGAGACCTACTCTGCGATTCGGAGTCAAATTCTTATCATGAAGCCTCTTCCTACCGTCAATCAGGCGTATTCCATGATAACTCAGGAAGAACTGCACCGAATCCAGTTGTCTACTACACCTCTTGAATCCTCTGTCATGTTCACGGCTACCTCCAAAGGGAGTGAACGAAAGCGGTTCACTGGAACCTACGAGTACTGCAAGGTCAAGGGACACAGTCGTGATCGGTGTTATCGACTTATTGGTTTCCCACCAGACTTCAAGTTCAACAGAA